CAAGGATCAGCTCGAGGGTAAGACAAGGTACGGACGGGACAGATAGGTAGTGAGTGGCACATCCCGGTCGGGGTGAAATCTTGGTTTAAAAAAAGTCAATTCGATTCGATGTGGTAACACAATCTTACCCGTCCGAATATCGGGGTGGCTGGCCGGCTCCTAAACACAAAGACCTCGGGCCAGCTTGGGCCCAAAATGGACAAAAGAAAAAAAGGAAAAGGAAAAGAGAAACACCCAATTGACAACACGGTTGTCTAAGACGGAATACCTACAATCCAATAAATAGAAAACACTCGTTTGTACGGAGTACTGCCTCGGAAAGAGAGTTGACCAAACACTGACCAAAGGTCTCTGAGCTTTGGGTCTTCCACCGTCCCAAAGAGCCGTGCAGCAGCCGCTGCCCGCCGGGACCGCCCGCCGTCACCCCATCAATCAAGATGTTCCAGACCAGGCAGGGCTGACTCCCTTCTCCTGTCGCTGAGCATTGACCTGCGTGGACCAAACACACCATACATACCATCTGTACTTACAGTCATATGCAAGGAAGCACGTCGCAGACACACACACAGCCGGACGTTTGCAAATCATTGATTGAGCCCAAAACATCAACACGCCCGCCATCTAATCTTCCTAGGACAAAACAAACCCCACACAATGCCCGGATGCTCATGAACGAGAAAAACGAGGGCGGAAAAGAACCAAGGTAATTCTATGCAAAATGCTCCCGTGTCCACCCGCCTGTTGTACGCCTTATTTTTCGGTCAACCTGTCTGTCTCTCTGTGGCGGCTTCCCTCTCTTGAACGGTCCCGACTGTCATGATATTCGCCCGTACCATCCTCGTCATCCTCATCGTCCCCGGCAAAGGCATCGTAGAGCTCACGGCCCCGCGTGCGCTTCTCGCCGTTCAGGCCTTCGGCTTCGTCCTCGTTGAGCAACTCGAACTCGTAGTTGTCCCGAGGTGTGCTGTTGCGGCGCTTCCTAATGAAGAACCAGATCCCAAGAGCAGAGCAAAAGACGGCAATGAGACCAATAGCCCCGTACACCCACACTCCGGCCTTGCCAAACGATGGCAGCCAAGACACCCAGTTGGACGGGCTGGTGGTGGCCGCAGCGGTCGGTTGAGCACCTGTCGGCTTGTTCGTCTCCGCAGGCGTCGCCCCTTCGCTGGGCTTGAGCTTGGTGGGACGCTCAGGGTGGTCCGTAGGAATGACAACCGACGCCGTGTTTTCGGCAGGGTGCGTCATCGTCGTGACGGCAGCCGGCAGCGTGGTCGTGGCAACAAGCGCATGGTCGTTGTCGTCTTCTTCGGTCGGCATGGGAAGGAGCGTCGCCTTGCTCGCGTCGATCGACTCACCCCACAGCTTCAGGTGCCAGTCAACAAACGTGCCCTTGTGCTCGTTTTCCTTAGAGTCCTTGACAACCACAGTCCACTTGCCGAGGCCAGACTCTCCCCTAATGCAAGGTCAGTAACCGCGTTTCAGTCACGTGCGCTTCCCAAGATCGACTCACCAGTGGGCAACGCTCATGAAGGTCCAGTCAACGTAGCCAGTGTTGGCCGAATCCATCTTACGGGTGACGGACAGATGGCTGGTAACTCTTTCAGGGCTGATCAAATCAACGCTCAAGTCGCCTCTGCGCGTGTGGTTCACGTTCATAGTGACCGTTACATGTTCGACTCTCTCCAAATTGGCCTCCTTCAGCGCATCGGCGGTGACTTCGAAGCTGACCGCGATGCCATCCTTGCCCTGGGGGATGTCTTTGTTAACGTGGATCCAGGGCGAGTAGTACCACGCCTGCGGCTTGACGTTCTTCCACGTCTTGGCTGCCTCAACCATCTTGAAAGCGTCAATCTTGCCGTATCCATACGTGTGGCTGAACTTCTTTCCGATTTTGGTCGGCATCCACTCTCCATTGGCCTCATCCATGGGAACAGCAGTATCCATAGCGAGCCATTGCATGTCTCTCCATGTCAAGTCAGGCCGAGCTTCGAGAACCAAGGCGTAGACACCAGCGCCCAACGGAGCGGCGGCGGAAGTGCCTCCATGGCCGTTATAGCAGGCGTTCTGGCCGACGTCGGTGGTGTGCTGCGAAAATGTTAGCTCCTCGTCTCGCCAATACGCGATGCGTTTTCCTTACGATGGCGTCTCCGCTGCCACTACTGTAGGTGACAACTAGCTGAGCAGAGCACTTTTCTGAGTAATAAGGATGCTGGCCCTTCCTGTCGATGGCGCCGACGGTGATGCTGTAGATGGAGTTGGTGTAGCCGTCAAAATTGCAGTTGTCGTCGTTGGCGGCGCCGTTACCACTAGCGAAGACGTAGATGGATCCCTTACCGCCACGGCCCTTCTGAATACCCTTTAGCATAGCGCGCTTGATCAGGATACCTGGCGCGTCCATTGAGCGACCGTCATCAGGCGGGCCCCAAGAGCAAGAGTAGATATCGTTGTGCTGGTAGTCGTAGGTCATGGCGACAGCCTCGTCCGCGTCCGTGATCAGCTTGCTAAGGATACGGATGCCGGCAATTTTGGATTCATAGGCCACACCAACGCCGCACACGTCGTTCTTGGCGGCGGAAACTTCACCGGCACAGCGGGTGCCGTGCTTGTCGTCATCGAGAGTAGGCTTGGGCTCTTCCCGGTGGTCATTGAAGTCATAGGAGCCGGCGGCGTAGTAGTTGGGCTTCAAGTCGTCGCTGTACATGTCGAGACCGTCGTCGACAATGGCAACGGTTGCGTTCTTACCCGTGATGCCCTGCTTCCAAACACCGGCGACGTTGATGTCGTGGCCCGGCTGAATAGTATTAAGCAAATGCCATTGCTCGTTGAAGATGGGGTCGCCGATTCCGAGGGTTTTCATCAGGTCGTTCATCTCGGTAACCTTCATGGGATCAGGCTGCTCCTGGCGAGCAAAGTTGGAAGGACCATGTGTGCGCGGAGGGAGCCTCTTCTCCATGGGCTTTCGCAGCTGCTGCTTTTGCGCCAGACGAACGCTGTCGAGAACGTCAAAGCCGCCCATGGAGCGTTTCCTCAGCCTGCGCTCTTGCAGAGCAGGTTTGACGATGTCGTGCGCAGCCTTCCTGGCCGAGAAGATGTGGTGGCCATCCATATTACCGAGTGTACCCTCGTGCCTCAGACCCAGGCGCTCGGCGACCTGATCGGGGGATGAACGCGAATCCAGTTCGAGAACATAATAATCGTTTCTTTCGTAGTTCCGGTGCAAGGAAGAACCGCTGGCGAGGGCGGCAAGGCCGAGGAGAACCGCGGAGGGCTTCATGATGGGCTACCGTGGACCCCTCGAAGGGATGGGATGGGAGAGTGCACAGAAAATGAAGGAGGTGACTGCAGAAGACAGAGTTGAATGTCAGCCTTCGGCGCCCTGATTGAGATCAAACCAATGTAGGAGGAAAGAAGACGATAATGGCGGACAGGTAGAATAACACAAGACGTACCTCCCTCGTTCGCTCTCTGCTTGATTAGGGGAAACAAAGGTAGCCGGACTGGGCCCGTTCAGGGAGGCAAGACGAGACGTGGTCGAGTCGCAAGTGGCAAGGGGTTGCCCCGGGGTTGGCCAAAGCTTCACTATGGGTTTCTGAGACACCTCTCTCTTGTGTCCCCTTAGGAATAACGATTACTGTCTCCTCGGCGCGACGAGCTAGGAATAGCGCTAGTCACCCCAGCAAAACCGCGAATCAACTCTTGGCGATGCAGATTAGGCGGGGACTTGACAGTTGCTGTTTGTCGTCGTTGATCGGTTCTTGGTTAGAAGGCCAGAGTTCACGGGTAAGAAACAGCGGGGAAATGCCGTTTCATCGTCCTCAGGCACTCGATATCGATGGGACGGACGTCTGGGCCACAAGCGAAGCTGGCCCACTCGAGGAAAGGGATAATGCGACAAGTAGGTAATATAGGAAAGTGAGGATGAGGAAGTCAGAACAAGCAGACAATGCAAGTGGTAGACATGGGCGTCCCGCGTGAATAATGCCGATGCTGATGAAGTAAAGGGAACACATAGGTCATGCGCTGACTAGATGTTGTTTCGTGGCCTTCTCGAAAACGACAGGAACCAGAAATGCAGACAGGCATCCTATGCGGATACCTACCTGCTTTCCACGAGTAGACCAGAACTCGCCCCCGCCCCAGTACAACCTGGGGCACCTAGGTAGGTGTGCTTCAATAGTAGGGGTCCTGGTGCTCAAAGGGATACGTGTAGCAACCATGGGGGCCAATGGGGCGGCCCCTTAACGGTTGAAACCGCAGTGTGTGGGCGGGTTCCTTAGTGCTGATGCGCCCGAATCGTCCCGCCTTCCCTTTCAGTGCAGACGCCGAATCCTCAGCTGACAGCCCGTCTGTTCTGTTCCGTCAAGGGATAGCGATTTCCCCAAAGTCCCCCAAGCCGACAAAAATGCCTTGTTGAGTTGTGCCTTTTTTGCCCCCTTTCTCTCGCCTCGATGTGTCTCTGGTCTTGCAATGCGCTGCCGACGTCTCGTTCAAGAGTCTTCCTCTTCCTCGCTCACCCCAAGCAATGAGTACGTATCGGCTTGCGTAACTCTAGCTTTCCACATGCCAATCGCGAGCAATCTTATTCTGGTTCCAGTCATCTTTTGAACAACAACGTTTCCTTGCAGGATGGAGCAGTAAATTATCCGTAACATAACTCTCTAGACCCCCCACCTTCGTGTATATGCACAAGTCTCTGACATTTGTCATTTCTCTTGGGGCCTCTGACAAGAATGTGACACAAAGCGAAAGAGGAGGTCCTCTGTCTTTTTGCGTCAGGGAGGTCCAAGCGTCCAGCCGCGACCGGGCACTTCCGGCATGCTCTTTGCAGGCCTTGGCGCTTGACACAGTTGATCGTTTCGGAATCCGTTTGTTGTGGTGCGTACATACCTAGGGAGTCGTGGACCAAACCTAAGGCCGCAGCGTCCCAGCTAGGTTAGTCAGCATTGCTGTTGAAGTACGTAGATACAGTATTTAATACAACAATAATCCTTGGTTAATTAGGCGTATATTAATGATATCTGTCTATCCGTGCTATGTCCCCTCGTAATCTCTGCCTTGTTGGACTAGGTGGCTCTTTTTTAACCCGATCTGACTAGGCTGTTAGAGCGAAGAAATAGCAAACTCCTGCACTGTTCCACTAGTTACACAGGTTCTCAGATGTTTGATCGCAGTCGCCACTCCAATTGCATAACTAGGATTTTTAGTATGAAAGCAAACGCAATCAAGGCCAGCTTAACTTACATTCAGCCACCCGTTACCATGCCAGCTACCAGCAATGTCAACAATGCAGTAGCCTGGACCCATTCGTCCACCTCTTGCCCTACAGGTAGCTCGTGTATCACTGTGATCAATCACAGTTCTTCTCTGCGCATTTCTTTTCCAACAACTTCTCCAAGTTAGTATTAAACAAGTCAAAAGGGGAACAGATTACATACCTGCATTCATAGCAAGTTGCCTGGACCTGAGCAACAATAAGTGCAAGACTAAGGATAAAGGGAACCTTCATTATAAAGTATGTTGAGTAGATAGAGTTAGTTGTAAGATAGGGTAAGATAGATTAGAGTAGAGTGATTGTGTAGAGATAGACTCTGAAGAAATAGAATTAGGTTTGTGTTTGTAGAGGTAGACTCTAAAGCAATAGGATTAGGTTTGTGTTTAAGTACTTTGTTATCCTAAGAAAATGCAGAGATATTGTCTTATAAGTTATTCTAAACTAGGAAACGGCGGGCAAGCCCACCTGTTAAGAAAGGCCTCCTGTTAGGAAAGAGACATCATTTTACACAACAACAGGAACATTCTTAGACTAGCAGGCCATTAGTCAGTTAGGGCCACCAGTGGGGGGGACAAAGATTATAAGAGCGACTGGAGAGCGCGACCCACAAAACGGAATAAATGCAACCAATGGCTATCAATCTTTTTTTCTAGCCAATGTGAGAGCAGAAGCGAGGGACCGGGGGAGGCCAAGGGCAACAGAATCTCGGGCGGAATAGAATAACCTTTCCTAACGGAAGGCATCTCGGGCGGAATAGAATACCCTTTCCTAACGGAAGGCATTTCTTAAAAGCTACTTTTATTACTTACTGTAACGGGCTGGCCCCTATGGGGTGTATACAGGCAACTAACTGCATCAGCCGTCAGCGCGACACGCGCAACCATTAGGCTATTCGCCCAAAAGGTTCGAGAATGTCAGATCGGCAATCTGACCTCTGGTTGCAACTCATAAGGGTATCCTCGTGTAGTTCCACCCTGATCAGGGCCGCGATTCAATAACAAGGCCAATCACAGCCTAGCCTGTTACACTTACTTTAGTTGGTATAATTTGAAAGCTAACTTTAGTGTCTTTGTTATGCGGACTTAAGGGGATAAATAGTTGCGGAGATTTCCGGTATTTCGACGTATATGCAGACTGATAGGGTTACATCTGAGAAACCTTAAATAGCTCTAGGTATATTGTAGACGTGCTACACCCTAGTGTCAGATAGTCTTTACAGCCATAAATCCATTTTACCTCGGTCTTTTACATAAGAGACTTACGACAACAAAATTAATAAAACGTCCATATATACAGCTATCAGTACTCTAACTAGATAGTTAGCTATGATGTAAAGTTGGATATGTCCCGCAGTGCTGCTAAGGGAACAACCCAGTTTCCCACCGCCCCATATTTACCCTATTCTAACAGGGAAAAGCTTCATTTACTAATAATGAATGTCGGCTCCCAATAGCCTCACAGGTACCCGTGCGTGTAAAATTTCACAGGTACCGTGAAAACGAATATACAAGATACATGTCTCTGCCGCATCGCCTGACGGTGACATCGGAGAGGTGGCCAAAGCAGATGTTGCGTAGCTTCCATTTGACCAGCTCGTACCAGCGTGGCAGCAAACCAGTGTTTTAGACCCTTATTAAAATGACCCCATACAGGGAAGAAACAGCGCTCTACAAGATGGCCGTACAAGGCATCCGGTATAGGTGAACCATCATGGTGTATCCAACCACTAAGAGACAGATCCTTGACCTCGCCCAGTCGGGATTTGGCATAACACCATCGATAGAAGTCAGAGTAACAGTCCGTGGCCAAGCCGAGACACAACACCTGTCTCTCAGGCAAGATGCCTGCTGCAGCTGCGGCGAATCTCAAGCTGCCAGCTGACCAGAAGCTGGCCGAGAAGAGAATACTCTGTGCTATCCGCCTTATGCTCACTAAACACAGCATCCTCCCATGCGACGATCCCGGCCACAACAACCTCAGGACCTTTATCGATCCTCCTGGCACAACAACCACCGGAAAAAGCGGCGCCTAGATATCTCCCCCTCCAGAGCGGTAGGCAACATTCTGGACTTCAACAACCCTGCCAAATGTCACCTCCCAAACGTCTGGCAGTTCGCTGACCAGGCCGATCTCTTCCGCCTTTACGACGCCGTTTTCCATAGCAAAAAGCAGCCCAACTTCCTTAAGTCCTGCGTATCCAATCACGGGTCTGAGGCAGCAAACAATGAGCATAGTCATAAGAGACCTGGCCACTCAATGGGTAGGGTGCGAGGTACGAGTACCCCCGAACTTGGACTTCGGAAACCTCTGCCGTCGCCGGCATTATGTTGGAGGGCGTCCAGAGGCCTGCGTATTTCAGCTGCCTTTATCAACCTCCGTCAAGGCGATGTCTCTGGTTTGTCGACATGAATATCAAGGCGCTGTTCTTTAGTGCTCGCTAGACACACTCCAATCAACCACTGTCAGGAGACTAGTCCCAGTCTTACACAGTACCCAGAAGTCATAAGTTATGCCAGGCTACTAGTCACTTCTCCTAGTTACGCTAGGAACAGCATGGAACACATGTTGCGTGTGGATAACAGATATAATAGGCTCCTCCTTAAAACAGATAACAGGCTGTTTCCTCTGAACAGAGGCAAGTATAAATAGAGGGAAACCAGCTTAACACTAGGAATTAGGCATAACTAGGACCAGTAAGCAGAGAATCTTTGACACTTTAGACCAGTAGTACTGCAACTGTTGGCATATGGGTAATGCGGCCGGAGGCGGTGGGTCACGTGACACACCGCCTACCGGCAGAATCCCCACTCTTGCCCACACGCAAGGGTGCTGCCACACTTATGCTCCCACTTCACCTTGTTAAACTAGTCAACTATCAACAACCACGAATTTGACCACCTTTTCCCAACCTTCGTGATATCACGAGATACGGGATCCCATCAATTAACCAGTGAAAACCAACAGCAACCCTTAAATAGCCAGGACTAGTGTCCTCGCATTAGGAGATTCTAGAGACTAGTCTCAGGCGCACAGCCTAGAGACCAGTACCGCTGTACATAGGCCTACCCTATACCAGTCACCCAACTGTAACCTTAACCAGTTGCTAGTACCACAACCCTAGGTTGTAGTCTTTAGTGCAGGACTAGTAAGCATAATTCAATTATGGTTACGTTCCTAGTAGCCTGTCCCTGCTGATTTCAGGGTACTAGTCACCTATGGCTTCTGATGTGTAGATACCAGTAGCTTGGCATAGAAGTAAATACTAAAACTCTAGTGCATTGGAGGCTGCCAGGTGTTTCCAGCTGTGATCAGCTGTCTCAGTCTCCATAGCTGGCATTCTCTGTTTCTCTCCAAGACGGAGATAACCAAGTACGTCTTAGTCAGGAAGGGGCAATTAGCGCTCTAGAGGTCCACATCGCCCATAAGCAAGCAAACACTCAACCAATTCGTCACTGTCTTCCGCCCAGGTAAGGGGAACTAGAAATGAGGCAGCCAATGGAGACGAACAGGAAAGCCGTGTGCACCCATTGCCTGGAGACGGGAGGATGCACAGGGCAGTACAGCAAGGCATCCTTACTCCCGGCTTCTTTCACAGCAAGTTTACCCGCAAACTAAAACAATGCCAAGGGCTAGGACTCAGGGTGATCACCCAGGCTCACCCTCTCTCTGCTCACCTTTGGTCACCTTCGGCTCAGGTTAAAGCGGCCACAGATCAGTCCCCACGCTTAATGCGGATTCAGGACGAAGTTCTTGTCGCAGGTGACTATAGGTAGCCATGCAGGCCCCCCCTCCCCCCGTGCTATCGGGAAACGCTAGCCTCTGCCATGTAACAATGTCTATGCTTTTGCACTCGCGGGGCCGCCTCAAGTTGCTCTGTCCATGGCAGGTGAGTAATGGGAACACTGAGGTTGACACGAATCAATGAAGCCGCCAATGACATGCCAAAAACGTATTAGTTCGTTAATCACGTTCCTTAAACCTATCTTAAGCTCATCTCCAGTTCTACTTGACTGGCGTCCAATCCTCCCTCCACTTGCATGGTCCGCTCCTCCATACACTGTCAAGCTCGGTGCCATCCGAAAGTGATATTGTGCTAACAACCAGTCCCCCCTTTCATTGGGGATCAACTTCACTCAGTGTTTCATTGTCGAATAAATCACATAAAACCATGGCTTTCGCTTACCCTCTCCTAGTTCAGAACACGGCCCTCTAGTCCTCCAAAGGTCGACCGTGAGGCTCAACTCCAGTGCTGCGCGTTCTCGACACGCCCGCCTTCTCCATCGCATTGACGTACCCCTCCCAGATCTCAATGACCTCGTCGTAGAACTCAATATGAGAGTCGGCAAGACCGCCGAGCTGCTTCTTGAACTCGACCCGCTTGATCCGCTCAAAGTCGGCCACCTCTTTAACTACCTCGTCGTCAAACATCTCGCTTGTCTTCTTGGCCCGTTCCGCTTCCGTGGTAAGCTTGTCAATATTCATCTCCAGTTTTCTTTGGCGATCGCGGCGAGCCTGCTCGTGATCGACTCCGCGCACATCCTCGAGTTTGCGCATCAGTCTGCCACTGGCACCCGACAAGCCACCCGAACCTTGGCCGGACTGAAGTAGATCTCTGTCGACGGTGTTCTTGTTGAGGTACTCTGTGAGCTGCTCATAGTCCACCTGCTTCTGCTCGCGGGCCTTCAGGAGGCTCTTCAAAGCTGTGCTGTAGGCCTGCATGTCCCGGAGACTGCCCAGATAGTCCCCATCGGTGACGTCCTTGAGCTTGCGCAGGCCCAGGGCAGTATCCTCGATCGAGTTCGCGAAATGCCTGACTTCGTTCTCGACGCCAGGCTCAAGCGTGATGAGCTTCTGGAACTGCTCCGCCAGGTCCTTAAAGTCCAGTTCGAGGTCATTCTCCCGCCGAGCCACCCGTGCTACCACCTTCTCGATGTGGGCCAAGTCCTCGTCAAGCCTGTCGCTTCGTTCTCTAACCTCGAGGAACCGCTTGTCGTGCCTGTGTGCCTTGGTGAAGGCGTTGAGGAAGCTGTCGGTGAGGTTGTCGAACACACCGCTGCTTCCGGCATCGCTGCTTGTAGATCCTCTGGTACTGCGACTGCGCATGGTGGCGTTCCAGTCCGGGCTCTCGAGGAAGATGTGGAGGATATCGGCTCGCCGAAGGACGGGATGAAGGGAAAGACGGGTGAGGAAGCGCTGTAGCGAATGCGCTCGACGGTTGGTGAAATCCGGCCCGAAGCGATTGCCACTGACATACTCCATACGCTGCTTGTCGGGAAGGGGGGGGACTGCGGCGGTCGGGTAATCTCTGCTCAGCGTCTTATACAAGAAAACAAAGTCGGTGAATCGCCGGCGAACTGTCGTTTGCGATCTTTGGAAGGAAGGGAATGTGGTCTGAAGAAGTCGTGTCAGCGCGCAGATCTCCAAACAGAGCAGGTTTGTAGCTGGAATCCACAGGGAATCCCGAGCCTCCTCACATTAGTGGTGATCAAATAAGAGACAAAGGTGTCCTTGGAGCCTTCGTTCTCCTTGAGAGGCTCAGAGACGACACAATCCAATACCTCCCGGCCATTGGTGCCGGGTGCATCGCTTTCGTAGGCATTGTGTCCGTTCCTTTCGGTGTCGTCATATTCAGTCGCAGTTACTGAGCTAGAGCTCTCGGCGGCGGTGTGCTCATCCGTGTTCCAGGACACATTGGAGAAGTCATCTTGGTGCGGGTCGATAACCGCCATGGCGTCCAGCTGGGTGGACGTGGGGTTGCGTCGTAGTTGTGATCGGAGGTGTCGCTGGCTGTGTCGGGGAAAGTGAGATTGTGGATCGCGCGGTGGACCTCGGCAGAACGGCAATAAATTAATTCAAAAATCGGGTTTACTTGCTGACAAAGATGCAAGTCTTGAAGCCTTGAGATCGTCTTGTCGCGACGGATGGGAGATGGGCGGAAAGAGCGACTTGTTTGCCGGACAATGGGCTGGAAGTGTCGGCGGCAGTGGTGGGGGAATGGGCAGGAGCTGCTGTCGCTGAACCATGAAAGGTGACGCCGCGAGCTTAGTGTGATGCAGTTGGGCAGCGCGATAGCGGGGAGATGGCTGGTACCCACACCTGTGCGTAATTAAAGCAGGCGAGGAGGTAACTTGCTAGCAGCAGGGCAACGCCGTCAGACCTCCAGTTCCGGAGGGCTATGACGAAGCCTGGATGCAAACTAGGTACCAAACAGGTAGGGAGAAACACGCGGCAGAAACAGGCCAGGGGCTGCCTCGGGTCGTTTCAAGGGCACCAGAAGCTCTGACCAAGCCCTCCGAATGCAGAGAGCAGCGTGCTGAAATAGATGGATTTATCCAACAATTCATGTTCCACATGTTGTTGGCATTTGTGCACAATGGCTGCCATTATACAGTAGTGGAATCTATTTGCTTCCCAAGATGGATAATTCTAGTAACCTGTGAGTGATGTTCCCTTTGGGTGTCATGAACCCTCTTCTTTTAGTACACGCTACCCAGCCGTATGCCATACACGTCTAACAAAGAAAAGTAAGTGCTTGTCTACAGCGCCGAGCAAATTATTTCTCGCTCTTCTCCGCCTTGGACTGTCCGTCCCTCGCGATCAGCATCTCCTTCTCGGCCTCCTTAGCTTCCTGGGCCTGGCTCGAGCCAGCGGCCTGAGCCTCCGCAGCCTGGTGGGTCTCCTCCTTCTCATCAATGTTGTCGATATCACGAGGGGTGGCGAATCCAGTGCTGGCGTTCTCCTCGTTCTGGCTATTCTCCTCGTCAATGAGCTCCTGTTGCTCCTTGAGAACTTCAAGACGCTGCTTGTTGGTAGCGGCGCCCTCGGCGCTGTGCACCTCAAGGGACATCTCGTGGAAGAGCTCATCGGGGATAGATGAGAGAACACCAACGAGAGCCTCGACCTGGCTGTGCGCGGGGACCTGGCCGTACATGTAGGCATTGCTCAAGACCAAAAGGGTAGAAGGGACGCCGTCCTTCAACCTCAGGTCAAGCCACTGCTGGAGATACTCGCGCATTCTCGCCGGGGACACACTGTGGGTACGGATGCCACGGCTGGCACACGCCATCTGGAGTTCCGCAACAGTGAGGCTGTCAACGCCCTCATAAGCGATCTGTCTGTCGTCTCTCTTGATCTGGCGCATGCGGTGACGAATCTGGTATCGCAGCATGTTGTCGGTGCCAAAGGTGTTCAGGTTCATATACTTGCACATCGAGACCAGCTGAGGTCTTGAGAGGTTGTCCAGAGTCAAGTCATCCTTGAAGATCTTGCAGACCTTGATGACGTCCTCGTGCGTCGGCGACTCGCCGGACGATCTGAGTTTCCGGAAGAACGTGGTAAATGCCTCACTCTGGGTGGTCGCAGGAGTCAACGGCAAACCAGTCTCTTTAAGACTAGACCGCAGGAACTGACTGACTTCCTTGCGCGTCGTTCTGAGAATGTTCGCCTTGGCATCCTTGGATTTTTGGCCCTCATATGTGCTAGGCAGCATGTTGGGGAACAGTCGCAGGGCGACAGGGAGCAGCAGCTCGGCGAAAGGGACGATGACGAAGACGGAAAACGGCACCAGGCGACCAAGATCCTGGACGGTGCGTTGCAATTGGCGGTTTTCTCTCCGGCTGAGTTCGTATCCAGCGGCCATCTTGAGTGCAAGCTTGGTGCTGATCTTGACTTCGGTAGCCAGCAGCTTCGTTCCATCCCAGTAGTGATGGGCCTCCTTCTTGACCTTCTGCCAAAGGGTCAATTTATCTTTCTCGTTCTTCTCTGCTTCGGCAGAGGTTCCCTTTGCAGCAGCGAGTTCCGACAATGAAGCGTTGGACTCGGCCTTGTCGGCTGCGGACGCGTCCTTGGATGATGACTTCTCGTTTTGTGCCGCATCGTTGGAACCGTTTGTTGCCTTGGAGTCGCTTTTGACCGCCGAGGTGCTTTCCTTGGGCAGGGGCTTCTTAGCCTCTGCGACGTTGAAGCCCGGCGGCGGGCCAGACGGCTGGCCGTGGTTGTGATGGTCGGTACCCAGATGGCGTACAGGCACAAGGAGCGCGAGGGCGGTTACACGGCGAGGAAGATGTCTTGCATTCCGGCCGAGCACAGCTGACGAAACGCCGAGGCTAGAGAGCGCACGCGCTGCAAGAGGTCAGAAAAGAGATCCAAAGTAGCACCAGCGCAGAGCAGCACGGAGAGCGGAGGGAGGGAGAGCGGGGCAGGAAGCAGCAGACGCAGGAGATGGGCTTACCGTTGCCTAGAAACGGGTTGGCAATCGCCGCCCGACGAGCGACACTGGCGGAAGCGCTCATTCTGCAGCGGTTGGGATGGCAGGCAGAGAGGGTGGATGAATGGGTTGTTGGAAAGATCGAACGAACTACCGGGGAGCAGTGAACATGGGCGATTATTTCGTTGTGAGTGTCCAGTATACTACAAGTAAAGACAAATGATGAAGGAGAGGAAGATGCACTGTAATGCGAAACGGCTCAAGGATTCCGGAATGGAGGGCAACTGATCGCATCAAATGGAATGCTATTACGACCTGTCCTGGCTTTCCGAAACCACCGGGGCGGCCCAGGGACCTGCGGAAATGGCACGTGCAAGATCACGGGGTTTTTCTTGCCTCTTCGCTTTCAGAGAGAGGGGCCAGAAACGGCATCAGCGTCAGCAATCGTTTGTACCCAGGTACGTATCCAGCCTGCGCCCGGACCACTTTGGCAGTTTAGGTCCTCCGCTTTCCGCCCTTGCTGCATCCGTTCATTCGTCCGTTTATCACCCATCGCCACATGGATAGCGAAGTAGACGGCCATCTCCTGTAGATCGGTGGGTCGTCCTGGCCTTAGCTACTGGCAGCTCGATCTTCTGGAGCGTCTGGACTGTGGGCTACTTGCCAGGCGCTGCCAGCTCGGAGTGACCAATATCAGGCAATTTGGCACAGGAGCGGTCTCCCACACCACAGCAGGCAACAGAGGTTCTTTATGGCCGTAATTCATCCACGGTATCCGTGTCATTGACAGTGCGCTAGAATGAGAGAACAGGCGTTTTGATTCGGACCGGTCATCATGACTTGTTTTCCTTGTCGCCGGTGTTCAAGACACAGACCAGATTTACTACCGGTAGTATGCTACGAAATGATGCGGGATTGGAATGGGCTCTCTCTTGATTCTCCCCGCCAAGCCACATCAACCATCCATTGTTTTCTGATTTAGGGGCTAGGAGTAAGAAACGCCGGTGAAATTATTATGTCGCAAAGTGATGAGATGCGAGTTCGGAATGTGCTTTTGTGGATTCAGTAGTGGGCGGCGGCGGCGTCTCTAGGTACTGGCAAAGGACTTGCTTGGGGACCGCCTCAACAATTGTGCTCCCTGAATTTTTGATTTTTTTGTGAACTCCGCTCGACAAGTTTTGGTGGGATACTTCACAAGCTCGTCATTCGATGAGGGGTTGGAGGTCTCGGCCGCTCGGCCGCTGGGTCTCCTGCCAGCTGGCAGCGGACGAGCTTGCTTGGAATTAACTGTAACGATATGCTCCGAGTACGTACCCCATCCTATCATCCTCCGTGCCCGCTGTTCGCATCCTCAGAGGCGATACATAACGCACTGTGCCTTCCCCGGACTTTACAACAACCTAAGACCGGTCGACCATTAAGGGCCCAGGGAGGGGAAAGGGTCTGACGGACGTACTTCACAAGGGATAAGGAGGATCCCGAGCCACACCAAGGCCCGCATAAGCACAGAACACTCACTGAAGCCACCCGTCAACGGCTCGCTGGTGGAGGATGACACCAGCAAAGAGATTTGGCCGTCAGCCTATCTAGGTGCCTACGCAATCTCTAGGTACCTTGGGTACCTACCTACCTATAGGTAGGTAAGTTTCTACCTAACACTACGGACCTCACACCACGCACACGCGCGCAAAGTCCACTCTCGGACCGTCCACACCGAGTCGTGCGCCGCCGCCGCCTCCTCATCCCCTCCCCCTCCTCCTCAACGCCCACCTGCCCGCCGTCTATCGACCGATTTCCAATCATCCCTAGTCCGAGGTGCGCGCCAGCACCCCGGTCACTGCACCTGTGCATCCCACCGCCGCGGTTCTGTGTTCTCCACCCTCCCTTCTCGGCATTCCTTGCACGACCTCGATTTCTGGTGCTGTCTTCTTCTCTTTTCCTTCTCTGTTTCTTCTACCTCAGATTGTCGCCATATACCAACCTTCGTCCTTCCCGTAGAGGCCATGGGTATCTCCTAAATTACCCCCGACCACGATCCCGCTTGGGTTACGCGATTGCGACTCGTTCCTCTTCCCTGCACGTCTTGGGACAAGCAAGCCAGTTCACCAGCCAATTTCGAAGCTACCTACTTTCGTCTCTCTTCACCCCATCCAGTCCCCCCCTCTCTGTCACTCTGAAGTCAATCGTCACCTGCGCCAACCGCCCAGTGACTCGCGTATACTATGAGACTCCGCAAAGCCGCTCGCGTCATTCTCGTCGGTGCCCCGGGTGTTGGGAAAGGAACGCAGTCTGAACGGCTTCTCCAACGGTTTCCGCAGATCCAGTCTATCAGCACTGGAGATCTGCTTCGCAACAATGTCAAGCATCGGACCCCTCTCGGTGAGTGCCACAAGCCTCCGCTACCCCGGCCTCCAAGCATTAGCTAACCCATCATCATCATAGGTATCAAGGTCGAGAACACTATGAAATCCGGCGGATTGGTTGCCGATGATCTGATTATGCGCTTGATCTCCAACGAAATGTACAAGAACGGATGGCTGCTTAACAGCCGCAGAAGGCCCCAGGTCATGACGCTCTCCTCCTCGTCGGCCGCGGTGGACTCGTTCTACGAAGAGCATATGGATGACTGGGTGACGGCCTCGGGCGTGCTCGATAGCCACTCTGCCCCCGAAGCCTCCGAGGACCCTGCGGCATCTTTCATCCTTGACGGTTTCCCGAGGACGGCAGCCCAGGCTGCGGTGTGCGACAAGCTCATCCCCATAAATCTGGTCGTCTCTCTGAAGACCCCGTTCAGCGTGGTGATGGAGCGCATTTCCGGCCGCTGGGTCCATGAACCCTCGGGCCGTGTGTACAACACCACTTTCAACGCCCCAATGGTACCCGGCAAGGACGATGTTACCGGAGAGCCTCTCACGCAGCGCCCGGACGACACCGAGGAGGTTTACAGAGAGCGCTTCCGCAAGTTTCAGGAGACCAGCGAGCCCCTTCTCGAGCATTATGACAAGAAGGGCGTGCTCTGGGAGGTCGAGGGTATGAGCAGCGACGAGATCAGTCCCTTGCTTTTCGACGAATTTGAGCGACGCTTTGTTCATTGATTTGGCTTCTTCAACTTTATTATATATACAGGAGTTACACGTGGCCAAGATACCTCGGGCTGGCCAGAAAGACCCATGGCTGAAAACGGGCGCAGGTCGGACGGATGGGTGAAAATACCCAGGGCGGGGGCGGTTGTAGCGCAAACATTCTTTGTCGCTTCGAATATTGGCCGTCTCTATCATACGTACTTTTATCAATGTACCAAACATTTCATTTCCCATTCTTGGCGCGCTGCACGCTGTGGTATGTGCTCTCAGCGCGATCTCGCACAGATAAAGGTGCGCCCTCTGGCCTCGGGTAGCGGTTCTGGCGCGCCAGTAACGAATGCGCGGGGTAATGACCACCGGATGGCAAGGGTGCCTTGCTGTCATCTTAACAAGTCAAAACGACTACGACCCAGTCTAGCAAGTCTCTGTGCATCCAAAACTCGGGCCACTTTCTCGGGCTTCTTTCACTCTGATCGTCTGGGCTCCCAAGAGCCAACATAGGTATCCCTTCCAAGCGGAGGACCGGGCGAGCCGCGAGCGGGCGATCCACAGCTTCGGCAGCCCAAGGTGCGTCCCGCCCCGTGACGTTGGTCCGGCCGGACTTGATGCATGTCTCACAACCTACGCGGGAGGGGAAGCCACGAGGCACCCGAAGGGTCTGTCGGCTTACATGTGATGTTTGGACGGTGCTGAAGAAGCGTGCTGGTTTCCCCCTCAAGGCTGACTTGGCTTGTTGCAGTTGGTGTGCCGGTGCCCTCCGTTTCTTGGTGATCCACGGCTACCGGTGCTCTTCTTCTATGGATAGTGGTTCTTGGCGTGGTTAGCATGGATTGTATCTAAATGCAGTTGATAGAAGGACTCATAATGATCAAAAGGCTTTTGTTTATGACGTTCATTATTTAATTTAGTAACAAATGTATTTGCTATACGTTCACAATTCCATCGACGGTTATGCACATCTATACGTCGATCACCACCTCCATTGCATTTCCCAGCATTTCCACGATGCCTCGGCCCGGGCAAGAAGTCATGCCGAAGTACGCAGCAGTACCAATGTCAACGGGTCTGGCGACTCATATCCAGCGGCTCTCCGGCCGCCACTCGACGGAGACGTTACGGGCAAGCTTTCCTCCAAACTCGGTCTAACTATACAGAACGGATTTGTCGAACCCGGCGAGCGTCAGGGCTACAGCAGCGAGTGGAGGATAACAATGAATCACGACAACTTTTGACTCGGCAGTGTACCTCGGGTACGCTATATCGTAAAGGTCCATGGCATACGAAGCGGGAGAGAGGGCTGTGTAGGCATCAAGACGGTATGGACCCGGCCTCGAAGGCCAGCTACTGCTCGGGATGAAGAGTGGCTTTCTGCCATAGCCTAGACTACAAACTGCGGATGTCCTCTTGCTTATTTAGAGCATAAATTTAGGCAAAGGGGGCTGCATATGTAGAGGACGGCGAGCTCTGGAACGCAGTACATATTGCCAAAGCAAGTATAAGCCCGCTAGAATAGCGATTTAAACCGTTGAACACTGCTTCAGCGAGTATGTGAACGTGCTTTCGATTTGGTTCATTATCGGGGCTTCTTATATCCGATTCGCTTCATTCACAGTTCTTATCAAAGGCTGAAGGAGTTGATGATAGACTAGGAGAAAAGTAGTCCAAAATCTCATCTTGGTTACTGGTCACCAGTTCGAGAACGAAACACTAACGAAGCTGATCCACGGCTCAATCGGTCATTGATAAACACGAATGGCTGCTGATGTATTCGACCGTCATGAAAGTGGCCGCGCGTCACGGTAGGGTCAGTGAAAGCTTTGAACTGTCACCCGAAAAGCCAAACACCAGGAAGATAGAGTATTAAGCGGGTCTTTCCCGTCCCGACCGGCAAGCGCTGCGAGCCAAAACGGCTCGGATCAAGCTCATGAAAGACAGTCACGATGGCGCCAGTTCTTCCGGGTTATGCTCTTCGGTCTTGCCACCGCATAGCTCCGATCCGGAATTCATTTAGCGAAGTGTCGCAAAGAAAGAGGTCAAGGATGACACTCCAGAACCCACTCGGACACCCGAAGAAGAAAAAGCCCTTGACAGTGGTCTATCGATGGGATAAGTCCGCCCTCCCCGCGTGGAGAGACGTCGGCCCTATCACGTTGTCGAAATCCACAATGCCTCCGAGATGACAGACCATACTTTCCCCCCCAGTCATGTACGCCGCGGGTCGGTCGGGGACTCCGGATTTTCACCGACAAATTTCGCCGGACCTCGTTATCCTCGATCTGCCAACTTCCTTCGCCGCCAATCAAGCATATTTATCGACTAGTATTCCACGTAAGAAACTGAACGAACAAATTCTGCCTGACGTCCGCCTTCCCTGTCAGTTCCCGCGTCTTCCCGAACATCAAGGGCGAACCGACTCCCGTCACTTTGAAACCTATGATACGGCCACGACCAGCCCCCCCAAAGAAATGCCAGCAGCTCAGCGGATCGCAGTCGTGGAGACCTCCACATTTTCCCCGAGTGGGAGCCCGGATGAACTCCCCTTTTCACGCAAGGCGGGAGGATGATCGATTGCACTGGGGGGGAGTTGTGGCTACAATACTAGTGGATTGCAGCCGCCCCCCCCTGCATGGCATGATCATCGGTTGCGAATGCCGACTGAGGATCCAAAGGCCAAGATTCGCCAAAACTGACCCCAGGACCGCACTATTAAATCTTGATTCCTGTCAATCGCCCGAGAAGCAGCCGGGACGCTGCACATTGTGCGAGTCTGATTTTGGACATAGGCGCGCGCACACACTGTTTCGATTTTCGTGGGGGGTCAAGTGTGCATGTTTTCGTCATGGCAGATTCACGCTGCCTTTTTCCCATCCATGGCACCCATGTCATTTGGTTCCACTGTATTATATCGGCTACAGCCACATCTCTAAAAATCGCTTTTTGCTGAGTGAGAAGCAAGTAAGAGGAGGAAACAGAGGAGACTGCACCCGCTGCTCATCTGCCCCTGTCCGGGGAACGACCGAGGCCTATATCCTAGGTGCCCAGCTTTTGACCCTTCCTTCGTCCCCCGCCGCCCCAGACCGAGGAAGCACTTGCCCGCTCATTGCAATCGCCTGGGATACGTAAAAGGAACGAGTTCCTAGTGGGGCGTTTAAGAGAGAGGCGAGAGAGTCGAGAAGCGGTGGGTGTAATTGTAATAGGTACTTGAGCAGACTGACAACCGCGCACCATCTCCACGTCGCATTTCCTTTCCTGGATTCATTGCACCTCCAGGGATTTGGCTGCTACCTCTAAGCGACTGCCGGTGTCTCTTACTTCCCCCGCCTTCTCTTGTTCTGCCGTCAACCTATCTAGCACTTTTCCCCATTTCCCGCCTGTTTTCCCTATCGCAGGCTTATCCTCTCTTCCCATACGACTGTACCGTCGATCGAACCGAGCGGCCCTGACTCACCTGCAATTGCACCTCTGTTTCCATCCACCCTCAGCAAGAGAGACAGCGAGGCAACACAAGCTTCTGCAGCCGCGGCCCGTGGTCTTGTCGAATCTCATCCGCGGGTCCCTGCATGCATCAGTGAGTTGCTGGGCATCCTTGGGGAAACAACACTATACGGAGAGAGCTAGAGGCAAGAAAGCGAGGGAAGGAGACGCAGCGACCAAAACCAACATTGGTTTTGAGGCGAACTGGGACTCTCCCCTCCCCCTAGGTCTTTCACACCCCGCCGCGGGCGTGGCTTGCGATGCCAGCATGGAAGAAGAGAAGCACAAGTTCATGATTCCGGCCCATGAGCGGCGGCCTCAGCCCGGAACCGTCACCAACGACCCGACGTCGCTGCCGAGCCATGACGTCCAATCGCCTTCAGACTCACCTGAGATTCGGCAGATCGAGTCATTTTCACAGCACTCGTATCCCCAGAACGCCCACCTCCCAGGGCTCCCAGCTGCGTCACCACCGTACCCGGAATCGAGGATCAGCTCCGAGGCGCCTGTCGCTCCGACCGCCGAGCGACGCAACCCGGCGCCGCCAGTGGCGCCATTGGATCCCGAACTGCATCAGCAAGGAATGTTAGCGGGATGGAGGCAGAGGTTCGAGAGGGGCAGAGCGGACGACGGGAAGCCGAGAAGAACCATCTTGGGCCTGACCGTGTTTCGGTTCTGGGCCGCAATGGCACTGGGTGTCATCATCGTCGGCGTCGCCATTGCCGTCGGTCTGGCGCTGGGTTTGGCCAACCGGTACGTCTGACGAACGAGGCTTTCTCTTGTAACCCTCTTGTTTCTCTCCTCGACCGTCCTTCCACCCGTTCCTCTTCAGCCTCGGGCTGACGGATTGCCCCACGCCTTCACCAGACGCTTCGGCGACAACTCGAACGGGCCCCAACCTGTCACCCAGATCCTTGGCGTCCCCTCGCCGGCCCCGATCAACCCGTACTGCCCCCAGCCGACGCCGGGCGTAAACACGAGCGTGACGCCCTATGACGCTTCGGGCTCGCCCATCCGCTTCAACAATGACCAGGTCATGTCCTTCGACATCCTGTGCAACACCTTCTACCCGCAGCGCCAGGGCATCAACCCGCAGCTGCGCGACATCCTCGTCATGACCGTCCCGGACATGCTTACCTGCATGACGCTATGCGCGCAGTACAACCAGGGGTATAGCGATGCCGTCGGCGATGACGTCTTCCTTGACGGCGGCGGCATCTGCGTCGGCGTCGCGCTCGTCAAGGGCACCGCGCAGTTCTGCCACCTCAAGAACGCGACGGGGATCAACGCGACGGCGGCGGCCGGCGGCTTCGACGTCGACAGCGCGGTGCTCACCGGCGATTGGACGCGCATGACGACCGTCGAGCAGATTCTAGCGTTTGGGGGGAACATCGAGGTCGCCCCCAACGTGACTGTCACAGCTGGGTGATAAAAAAAGAAAAAGAAAAAAAAAACATGGACTTGTGGTAGGGAAACCCCTGAGGCGGAAAGTCTTTTCTTGGAGCGTATCGGGGCGATTCCTTCTTTGGCGAGAAATCTCTGTTTCTAGGGCAGGCCAAAGGGAGGGCTCCTGATAGGCTTTAGGACCACGGGCATTATTTTGGATACAGGAAACTTTGGTGCTAAACAGCGCATCGACAACAGTAGCAGCGGCGGCGACGGCAGAAGCATAAACGAAGCGTTGCAGCGGACAGTGTTTTTATTTTTTTATTCTTACGAGGTGTGTGTTTGGAGGCCATCCTCCATTATAATACGACGGGAGGACTTACGGACGCGGTCTCAGGCCTGCGTCCAGATATGACTACGAGCTACGGCGGGAGGATCGAGGCATATCACCTCCAACCTCGCTGGGCTGCCAGCGGCTCAGGGAAGGCGAAGGGGGGGGGGGGGTGGGCAAACGGGATATGCCCTTTACAAAGGGCAATTTCGGATTGGTTAGTTTGAGGTTTCAAGCTTCCCCAGTCTTGGATCAACCAACCGGCCTCGCGTGACCTGCTACCATCAAGTGCGCAGCAAAAGACGGGGTAAGAGTACATACTTGGCGAGAAGTCAAGAAGACAATAATCCACAGCATCTTATATATAACACATATATATTTACACATACCCTGAAAACACATTTCTTCTGTATTGGATTTCAAAAGAAAACGTACAAAGACCCCTCGAGCTTTTGTGAGACCCATGCCTAGGTTCCATTGGATGGTTAATTCAACATCAACACACTGTTTTTTTTGCTGGGCATTTAAGCCCAACGGGAAAACCCATAGCACGAATGCGTGCATTCGTGCGTTCTCTCAGTCCATTCATAGCTAAGCCGTTCGTCGCTACCCGAGCACGTCCGTCCCGGCGTCTATCTCAGAGCCACTATTCAACCGACTTCAGCAGCGCAACATGCCTGCTCATGGAGGAGCCGTCTCCTGATCCAAAGTCTAGGTGCGCCACTCCGAACCGTTATTAATTCCGTTGGGCGCGCCGCTGCTCCCGGCCGCGTGGCGCGAGTCATCGTCGTCCTCGTCGTCCAGTACACGGGCAAGCTCATCGGGGTCCTGCATCTTGGCGTCGGGGTCAACAACGCCGTCGAGCTCCTCAGCCCGGCGCTGGTTGTCCCTTTCGGTGTCCAGGACGCCCTCATCGGCACTGACGGAGATGCCGCGGGCACCCCACTTTGGCCGGCCACCCCGGCGAGCATGGCCCTCGTTGTCGCCAAGCGCCGGTGCACTCTCCTCGTCGTCAGACTGCACATCGACACGCTTGCCGAAGATCCTGTTGAGCAACCAGCCGCGGCGCATGTCGTCGGCGTCAACGACGCCGCCGTTGCGGAGCTTGACGCGCTGGCGGGTGTAGTATACCCAGGCAAAGTCGACGTAGAGGGCCGTCTGGATGATACCGAAGATGACGGAGACGGTGTTCGGGGCCTTGTCGTTGATGTCGAGCTCGCGGGAGACCCAGCCGATGAGGTAGAAGGCACGGTAGGAGCCAAGGGTTAGGAGGTAGAAGGAGTCGATGACGGTCGGGACGGTCGTCTGCCGGAGCAGGAGGAGCTGGGGCAAGACGCAGACGGACTCGAGTATCTGGGAGAAGTCCCAAAGCCACTGACGGATGAAGGTTAGCAAAAGCCTGGCTCTAGATCACTGCGCAACCTAATGACTTACGACTTGGAAGCTCCACCAGTTCTCGAAGATGAGCATGACGAAGGGAGACAAGAGCAGCGAGCCGGCAAAGACACCGGCTCCGACCTTCCAGGAAATCTCACGCTCTCTGGTGCGAGGGAATATCCACTGCATCGCTGCGATAATGTAGAACGATGACGAGATGTAGAAGAGCTTGAAGAGGAAGTTCCATAGTGGTTGGGCGGTGAATATATCGAGGTAGCGTGTGCAGAAGACAATGGCGTACAGGCCCTGGGTAATGAGAGAGACGCCTGCGCGCGCGCACACACACACACTCGGTCAGTATCGATTCGATTCACTCGTACGGTTTCGTCAACGTACCCTCAGCACTTCTGTTGCGGTGTATCGCGTACATCAGGATGCATTTTGACAGGAGGTGGGAGATGTCTCCCATGTATCGGAACACCTAGACGAGCGAGTCAGCTAGCGGCTTCGGAGGACGACTGTCGGCCTCGAGGCACTTACGTTCCACGCAGTCATGGTGCTGGATTGGAAGTCGAGCGTCCAGTATATTCCGGTCTATCGGAAAGTTTGTAATGAGGAGGGGGGAGGACTCGGAAGGTGCGGTTGCGACACGCAAACAAACAGCAACGGACGGGGGTGACGGCCGCTCCGTTTCACATCAAACGAGGCGGCGAGCTGGCCCACGGAAGGGGAGTTATGTTCGGATGATGGCTCTGGGTGGTGTCGGCTTCCTTCAATGATGCTTGGAAAGGAGCAGGATGGCTGCACGACGTAAGAAACAGTCGAGACTGAGGATGTTCAAGGTGGAATGCGGAGGTGAAGCTTGTCAGTTCAGGTTCCCGATCCAGCCATATGCCGCGCAGGTTGCCACACTCCTTCAGCTGGAGCTGCCCAGCTGGCCTTATCAGCTTGAGCCTGAGACTTATCTGTGCTGAAGGAAGGTGACGACAGCCCGGACCCCCAGTCATGTAGCGCCACGACTAAGGCCATTGATTGGTTCAGGGGATGGCTGGGTCGCTTATGTAACCCATCATTTGAGGGGGTAGCGCCATTGAGGACGTGGATTTCCCCGGTCGTTGCCTGTCAACCTGCAGCACGCATTGCGAAGCCTATGCCGAATCGAGAAATGCAGTGTCAGGCGGGGCAGGGGACGATAGTTCCTCGAGCAGCTTCGAAACAGGTACGGATAGGTTGCTGCGACTAGAAGGTCGCCTTTTTGATCAGATCAATGGCCCTTCTGAGGACCTCGCGGTCAGACTCGAATGTCAGCTTCTCAACGGCTTCATCGCAGCTAAAGAACCTGGCCTCGAACTGTGTCCCCCCTCCCTTCGTGCCCTCCCTTGCCACGTTGTCGCTTTTGACGGCGGCGACGTTCCACCAGATGAGTTTCACCCCGGCTCCTCCGTCCAGGCTCCTCGTCGTCAGCATGAACGGTTCCGTGATCGCTCGACGCGCGGTGGCCGCGTCCGTTGCGTCGGTATCGTCATCTGGCCCCGGCGCCCGCGTGGCCATGTCGACAGGCAGAAGCCTGCAGCGGAAGCCCGTCTCTTCGAGGACATCCCGCAGCGCCGCCTTGTGTCTCGACTCGTCGCAGTTGCGCCTGCCCTTGGCGAGGAGCCATTCGTCCGTAGCTAAGTAGCGCAGCAAGCAGACCTCTGCGGGTCCCTTGGACAGGTCGAAGGCGATGGCGCCGCAGCTCTCAACAAAGGCCTCGGATGGGTATTGGCTTTGGACAAAGTTGGAAGCCGCCATATTTTAATTTTGTTTTGGGGTTTTTTTTTTTTAATGAGGAGCTGTGCCGCCAGCTCGGAACGCCTATTATTCAGGGTGCAAGAGGGATCTTGTTCCCGCATAGTAGATCTAGCAGGTTGATGTTGTGTTGCAGAGTGGTCATGGAGCGGCCTTGGACGTACCTAGGTAGGTAGGCCATCCCTTTGTCTCACTTGCTTCCGAGTCCCGTCCCGTCGGTGGCCGGCCGAGCGTTGTGACCGCTTTGGCTTGGTTTCCCTATGGGGTGTCTGGGCTGTGTGCCTGCCAAGACGCCAGCCATCCAACAGGAGCCCAGGTCAGCTCGCCTTGAAGGTTATTTTACGGTGCCGTCGGTTCTGATGACGGCTCGTCTAGCTCAGCACGCGAACTGCTGGCAACGCTACACCTTCGGCAGCAGCCGACTCCAAGGTCGGGCCTAGTCATGAGCTGCTAATTGGGTTTTGGGGACGGTCCATCTTCTTCTCTTCTTCTGCGTTCAAGTGGGGGTATGACAGTTTGGCTCTAAAACTTACGAGCTATTGTGCAGGTTTAAAAATGAAGATTGTCGTGTCAAAAGTAAGAAAGACTTACTCTATTGCTACCGAGGTTTGAAGCCGTGGCTGAATAGCAAGGGTTCGCTCCTGGCCCCTGACACAAGTTGTTGGCATTAGGAGGACAGTTCGATTTCAGAGAAGCATGCAATGTCTCGCATGCTGTAAACCCTGGTAAGCAGGTTGAACATCCTTTGACTTCAATGCGTTTGCGAGCAAAGGTCCCGAAGTGACATAAACACGCGAGTACCCTGGTCCAAACGGACTACCGGTAGGTATGTTTTTCGGGAATATTCTTTCACATTTTAAGATACCCGCAGCGGGGAGATTGCCGGTTTAGGTGCCTTTAAGCCTCCGTATTCAGCCCCTCGCCGTGCGCGGCAGCAGACGTCGTCAGCGGACACGCAGCACCAATTTCAAAAAGGCCCCGGAATGTGGGCTGATGGAACTAAGAAGCCTTCCTGGCAAGGGCCAGCCTCAATCGCTCTAGTGCGGAGCAACGGGTCGGCACCGACGGCAGCGCCAGTGGAAGCATCATGACGCGGCCCAGTAGCCAAATGGCAAAGGGTGTACTTCGCAGACGCGTTCGCTCATCGGCCGGGTATCTCGGCCCCCCAATCCCCACAGTACAGAACGATCTATGTATGCTCCCGTTGGTGGTAGCTGCTTGCCTGTCCCAATGCCGCATTGCCGATGGGGGTTTTACTCAGCCTCGCTGCTGAATCGCCGTCACGCTACCACGTTGAGTGTCCCCTAGGGGCTCGCAGCTGGCTGCTGGAATCCGGAAGCCTATTTTTGTTCATCACTCACGCGTGCTTCTCGTTCGATAACGGGGGGGCAAGAAGGCGTACATCGCGGGTCTTGTTGGATCGGACAACCGCCCACCACCCCTGCACCCCAGCATGGCGCCTTTGGTGCCTCCCGCATCGCCCGGGAGTACGCATCAGGTCTTTCGGTGGTCGAAGGCGGTACAAGGGCTGGCACATAAGGGATGTGTAGAAAAAGCAAACGGGTCCCCTTTTGGGCCGTTGGCTGGCTGGCTGTTTGTTGGTTCGATTGATTCATTCATTTGGCTCTGCTTTAGTATACATACCAGAGTGCAGTATCCTCAAGAAACCTCCTTCAGTACCTGACTTGGTTCATTGCGCGAGAAACTTTGGCATCACTGTCAGCTCAACTCACTACGCCTTTCTGGATTTGTTGCTGCAGGAACTGAGGTGGGAGGATCGAACGTGCTCTTGCCCTGCACTGCGCCTTCGATGACGTTTTGCCCAGCCAAACGGCAATACAGATAACCAGGTCCAACAGACGACTAAGCAATCGTGCCGCCCTCGCCGTTTTTGAACCCGAGGCGGTCACTCTGGGAATCGAATAACAAGCGCCAATTCCTCGCGAGCCCAAAATCAACAAGCCAAAGATGCATATCGGACGCCTCCTCCCGGGAATCGTCGCCGGCATCACATTAGCTCAGGCTGCCCCGGTCCAAGACAGGTCTCTGGCTTCATCCACTTCCGAAAACACGGCGGCGGCGGTAGGCAAAGACACGCGGAGCCAGCCGGCAAGCTATTTCCACGAAGCAAGGTATGTCATCCAATTTTCCACTCGCATCGCCGTGTCTGGTTTTGAGACGAGGAACGCCGACGGGATGAACCGCTAGCCTGAAACTCTATATCCTGCAACATGGAAGATTACTGGATATTATTATCGTATTGACCGATCCTCGACAGCTTCTCTGCACGCTATGACGAGCGCTTCGCCTCCAAGCCGCTAAATCAGACGGCTGAGCGCGACGCCCTCAAGGTCTTGGTCCAGACCTACCTGGCGACGCTCGACGACCTGGGTGTCCAGACCTGGCTCGTGCATGGCTCCCTCCTGGGATGGTGGTGGAACAAACAAGTTCGTTTCTCACCCCTTCCCCCAGACCAATGCTTCAAAAGCTTCCCTCCCTCGTGCGGGTTTAAACACTAACAGCACAGATTCTCCCTTGGGATTCGACCGCAGACGTTCAAGTCACAGTAAATGGCATCAGATTCCTCGCCTCCTACTACAATATGACGACCTATTACTACAAGTACTCTTCTATCCCAGACGGCCGCTTCTTCCAGCTCGAGGTGAACCCCAATTACGTCCACCGGGCTAAGGATGCCGTTGGCGAGGCCGACCAGGCCGACGCCCGCTGGATCGACATGGACAGTGGCCTTTTCATCGACGTCACCGCCGAGGGCCGCAACACGTACCTTGACCCACTGTTGGAGACCACCTTTGAGGGTGTCAAGGCCAAGATCCCGTACAAGTACAAGGAGATGCTCATTTCTGAGTACGGAGAGAAGGCCTTGACGCACAAGGAGTTCAACAAGTAAGTTTCCCATAGACAGCAACCCCAAACTGCACGTCTCTAACGGCTACCTCAGCCATAAATTCATCGACAACAAGATGGAGTGGGTTCCCAACGATGAGCTCTGAGGGGGCATATGGAAATGTATGGGCTTCATAGTTGATGCAGCAACTGATCGGACGCTCAGGGTGTGTAATGGGGGCACACAGTTCGCGATAAACCCAAAGTGTGTATGTTCGTATTTGGCGTTAGGGGATACCCAAGGCTCTGATTTCAGCAAAGCAAGCAAACAAAAGACAGCAGTAAAGTTGCAGTTTTGACGGCATGCTCTATTCCCTCGTGACTCTAGTGATTTATCTCATTCAGTAGCTCCTCTGTCGCCATAATATCCATCACAATCCTTTAGCATTACGCATCACACGCCGTCTCAGTTAGTAACATTGGTGTTGATACTTCCAGCGGCATCAGCACCATTGTCTCCATCACGATCCCCTTGAATTTTGCCTTTCTCTCCTTGCTCTACGCCTGGGACGGCCCCGCCCACAGCATGCTTGACTTTGGGCAATAGGCCGTTGATGTGGACAAGCAGGGGACACTTCGTTCCGCCTCCGCAAGTATGCGAGATGTTGAGTGACATACTAGTGACCCGCTGCACAATCTGCGATATCGATGTGTCATCCTTGGAAAGTACGTTAAGGGGCCACAGCCTTTTGTCAGTAAGAATCCTGAGATAATCGCCAATGCGATGCTGCTTGGTGCAGAGTTCGGACCAAAGGATAATCTCGTGGCATGGGTGACACTTTTTGGCAGTGCTGGGATGCCGTCGGCCGCAACTTGGACAGAGCTTGCGGCCGGTGGTGTACACTTGGCTTCGGCTACTCAAAACGCCATCGATGGAGTGGATAAGCTCGGAGGTACAAGAGAACAACTTCGCCACGTTCATGTGCAATCCATCTATAGTCATGACTCATCAGCCTGTGCAAGCTTCTATTTTTCGATGCCACGTATATGGTATCTGAGAAGAAGGTATAGGGAAAGAAAAACCAAAGGTTTTGGGGGTAGGGTTGGCATCTTACTGAGAGATTTGCTCTTGTGTAAATCCCTGAGATCTTGGCTTCTCGCCCATATTTCGAGGAAATTCATGGGGAGGTGATGGGGAGCAAATGCTACCAACTTGGCAACCTCCTCTTCCGCCTTGAAGGTGATTGCCGAGCTTAACAGCATGCCCAGCTCCTCCGTCTTCGGTTGGTCGTGGCCGGCTATTTCCTGGCGTATCGAGTCACACCACAGACATATCCACGGCGCGAGAGCCTTGCCACAATCCAAGATTGCGTTGACTTTGGCGACTTGCAAGAGGTCCTCGGCTGTAAGATGCCGATAGGTGTAGGTGTTTGTGTAGTGCAAGACGGAAAAGATGCATCGAAAGGCATCCACCTCAAGGTCTACACAGTCGTAGAGTCTGGCCACCTTGCGTCCGTCCTGGGTGCCGCAGGTGGTATCGATCAATGTGGCAATAGTCTTCGAGGCCACACTGCAGACTTTTGAAGACAACTGAAAGCCAGCTATGAATGACTTTTCATGACTGAGCAAAATGACGAAGAGATCGCCAACGGGGTAGATAGGCTCGGCATGTGTGGTATGCGTATCCATGATCATACTGACCTCCTCACTGTTAGTTCTTTTGTCAGATGGTGGGTTGATGTCGTCACTGCTTCCTTTAGCAGTGTCAAAGCTGCAATCGATCGCGTCATGGTGGGAGGCCATGATGTGGACGGGGGCAAAGAAACCGACTTGAGAAGATAGAAACGACACGGTAAGAATGGGCGAAATGGATTGAAGAAATAGAATACATATGGTCGAGTGAACATGAAGGCAGCAGTGGGAAGCATACGGGGGGGCAAGCAGGGAATCTGTGTCATGTACAGCTCGATCAGAAGGCAGGCGTGTACAATTTTAGATGACTTCTTTCCCTCGGAGATTATCACAAAGCGCCGCTCTTGCCTTTTTGTGATGGAAATGCAGCCTGCCTTCCTAAGGAGAAAAAACAAAGAAATATGTCTTGGTGCCATTGGTTTATGCGTGAAGCAGTCAGGCAGACAGATTTGTCTCGAACATGCACCCTTTACGACGAGGGTACGATTGCATAAGTTGCGGTATCAAACAATATTCCATTCATAATCCTCACCAACGATAAGCAGGGAGCAACTATAATGTATGCGGAGGCTGTCTCTTCTCTCCTCGTTGCTTGCTGGGTTTCAGGAGAAATATTAGGAAAGACAGAGAGGAGAACGGAATCGCAAGAACCGTGAGCTTTGTGGCATCTTCATCTACAATTCGTTCAAAGAAGTTTCAACGAAAATTGTTCGAATCTCATTCGCTTTACCGCTGAACTGCCCTTTTAATATCAAAGTCAACGCTCAAGGCCCAAACGGCGAGCGATTAAATCCGGCTCAGAAGAGATAGTTAAGTGTAGCAGCCGCCCCAAGCCTTCCAGTCTTAACTGGCGTCAACCTGGCCCTCACCCTTGCCATCATCATCGAAGTTAGTGCTGGGCTTGTCCGTGACGAGAGAACTTAATTTTTGACCCTGAATGCTTCCAATAACATCGACTGCCGCCTCATCCAGCTCTCTCAATCGCTGCCTCAAAGGACATTGCTGATCAAACACACATTTGTGAGTGCGTGTCTCTCGGACCATGTTGAATCGGCGGACTATCTCGCCAATCGTACACTTTCGCCAGGCCTTCTCATTCGGGTAGAGCTGATGCTTCGTCAAGATAAGCGTGCACTCTGCGACGCGTGTTTCCCAGCAGCAAAAGACTTGGTAGTCTCTGGCGCCGGGCTGCTCACCTTCGACTGACGGGCAGTCTGGGCACTTTGATGACCGGCTCTTTTCGTAAATGAGAAAGCACTTGCGGCAGCGGGAACTGTGCATCCAGCCGATGTCGGACTGGTTTGCCACCAAGTCTGACACTGTGTTCTGCAAGAGAGAATATAGGCGCTGGGTAACTTCCTTCATCTTCGAAGTTATGTAGTCTGAGAAAAGTTAGATATTGAATCAAACATGTTTGCTATCATATTGCGGTGTACTTACTGCTAACATCTTCCGAAAGATTGACCGACGACTGGTCTCCAAGCCAAGAGCTGAAGTCAAAGTCGAGAGGCAGTCGTAGCACAGCTAATCGCGAAATCTTCTCAAAAGCCTGTGATTCTCCAATGATGGAAGTGGCCACCAAGAGGTGCCCAATATCTCGAAGATCGATAGTGCGGTTGAAGTTGGCAAGCCATCTCTCCATCCACGGCGTGAGCGACATAGTGCAGCAATACTTATCGCAATGGGTAGCAATGTCCGCAAAACGCTCAGCGCTCATTTTATACCACTCGCTATTATAAGAGTAGTGAAGAATGGAAAGAATAACATCCATTGCATCCGGGTTATCTTCGTGCAGATGAATGTCTGGCTTCGATCCATCTTTGGTCTTGATGCCTTCCTGGAAACCACGAGTGAAAAGGGCGTTGAAATATTCGGAAGTGATTCTCAGAACTTGAGAAGAAACGAGAAATTTCTTGCGCGACTTCTCGTTGGCGACCACCAGAGCAGCGTCCCAAGCTGGGTGAAGCTCTCTGATGGTCTCGTTTGCTATCTCAACCTCCGCCATAGTGGTTGGTTGTGTTTTGTGTGGGTCCGAGTTGCGACGGCTCAATGGTGTTGAGAGCCAAAATCCAGTCAAGTGGACGATGTGGTTGAGGATGTGATGTTGTAGACGATGCGGTCTTAACCTAGGCCCGATATTGAGTGTACTATGAGAGTAGGTGCTATGGAAGGGACTGCAAAGATTCACAACGAGGAAGGAGCGAGAGGACGAATGAAGGCAGAATAAATATAGAAGATTAAACCGAGATGTTGACGAGGGCCTGCGAAAGTTTGATGTAAGTTGTCCAAGGGGGTGTAGTGAGCTCTGATGATCGACCAACCGCCTTGCCTCCTCGGGTTGAGAACACGTAGAATACCAGTGGGATATTCACATGGTTGAGCGGTCTGAGTGATGTATGTTTCCAAGACGCTCTTGTAACAGATGTTTTGTTATAAAAAACGACTAATAAATATGCAAGAGCCTAAACCGAAAGAAAAGGGAAGGGCAAATGTGCATCCTTCGGCAACCATATGAAGTCTGGCTTAAGAGAACTTTGAATACGATTTCTGACTGCGACGATGTCTTGGTCGCACTTTCTACATGGACATAGCATGATCCTGAAAAAAGAAAAACAAGAAGAGAGAAAACGGCGACTGGAATCCACCAAAATCAATAATATTGTTATGCTGCAGCGTGTTTCCGTCAATCTACAATAGCTCTTGTTGTGTCAACATACAGGTTGGGAAGCGGACTTGTAAACGTGGTAGTCCGGAGCTGGTGGTTAATGACGCACGGACCATACCAAGGATGCTGCAGGGATGGACGGCGTAAAGGGGAGGCGCGTGTTACGCTGGGTATCAAGACGCGCCCCTCTACTCTAATCATTTGTCTCTATCGGCTCAAGCTGGCAGCTCTGTGTGTGAACCACAACAGCCCGGCCTCGACGACAAACTAGCTTCGATGATCTCCCAGCCATATTCGGATTACTTTCAGGCACTGTCGCCCTAATCACGTCTCTATAATCCGCGATCATGACCAGTGAGTCTTGGCGCGTGCAGCACCCCGCTAAGGCAAATACTGACATTTGATAGCCCGGGCGGAACGCATGCAACAGCGCATGCGAGGCGCTGGGTAGGACAATCCAATCATCTCTGCCTGAAGATTGCGACTGACAATTCAAAGACATGGCCAGGTTGAGGATGTTTCTTTCCAATTGGACTTTGGCGACGACCTCACAGCAACCGGGATCGAGCCCCAGAACAGCCCGGAGAGACCGATACCCAGAACGACGCCGAACACGTCAGCTAAGAGACGAAGACTGGACACTGATGCGACGCGGCCGGCGATACCAGCGACGAACGATACGAGCCTGACCTCGCGGCAGCCTTCAGGGAAGGACGACCCTTACGAGCTCCAAGAAGGGTCCTCTACCGAATCCGCGCGGTTCGCGGCCGCGCAAACCGCCAGAAGCCCTACTGTCGTCGTCGGCGAACAAAATGACACTGAGCCAGTCGAGTCCCAGCTGCTGCCTAGACCTGCTGCGTCTGCGCCTCCGGTCTCGCCCGTGTCAAGGAGGGGTACGGGGGAACATACCGAAGTGGAAGAAAGCCCCTTGGATGCGCCGGGTAGCGGCCGACGACGCACGGTCGTGAACAGCAGTGCTCTTGTATCGAGTGCCAGATTACAGCAAGCACTCTCACCCGGCGATAACGAAACCGAGACCGTTCCGATATCCTCCCCTTTAGAGCGTAAAGTACGGAGAAATACAGCTGGCACGCGCAGCTCCCGCGGGAGTCGAAACTCTGCCGCATCTGCAGAGGATGTTCCGGATGGCATTTCGCCGGATCACACGGTCAGGTCTCTATTGAAGACAGGATCTCCTGAGCTCTCGTACCGTCAAGATGGGGAAATGGAAGAGCCGACAGCGCCCGTCTCTGAGCCAGTATCCCCATCAGAGGTGGAGCCGGAACCAGAAACAATTGTAGAAGAAGTACGCGAAGTAGAGCGAGATCACGACGAAAGCTTGGCAGAAGAAGTGAATACGAACGAGGTGGCCCAAAGACTGGGGCGGAAACGACCACGCAGAAGCCCCAAACCACCTTCCCCTGAACCTGAACCAGACTCGACTATAGCCGACGAAGACCACGATGAGCCATTGCCCAAGAGACGGAAAAAACAGACACAAAAGAGCCCAGCGAAACAGAAGAAAGGAAGACCAAAGGGAACTTCCAAAGCCAAGGACACTTCACCGAAGGCGGCCCCAAAGCGCAAGAAGAAGCCAGGAGCGGATGGAGCTGCAGAGTCGGTTACTATCCCCGTCCAGCGATTTACAAAAAGAGTGCAAGTCGCGGAAGGCGACGAGGACGACGCGGATGTGCTCAACCAGGACATCCCATTTGCTGGACGTAGCGGAGTCAACACGGTCGATGTTCTGACTCAGGTGTGTGACGAGATGATTGAGACGAGTCTCGATACCCTCAAAGAGGGTGGGCGAAACGCCCAGGATAAATCCGCCAAGAGGGAATACCAAGTGCAGTTCCGAGCCCTAGAGGCCTACCGGGAGGAGCTGAAAAACCGCCTTCTCCAGCATGTGCGTATCAGGTATCTGAGTCCAGGTTGCCATTGCTGACCCCAGTCTAGACTATCCTCCTCGACGCACTTCACAGCTTGCGCAAGCGAGTACGTAGCGTCCAGAAGGAAAGGATCGCTCTTCGGGAAGAAATCATGCGTATCCGAGCCGAGCGGGATCAGGTGGCACTTCGGAAGGATGCCGTCAGAGCCAAGCACGAAAAGGTGACGGAGGAAGCATTGGTACGTCCCCTCGGCCGCACTCTAAGTCAGTCAGCCTTATAGCTCTAACATGTACCCACAGAACCAATTGAGCTTGTCTTCGCAGATGCATGATATCGACCTGGCCGTGGAGCGCGGTCGTGCAGCACCTGAGCTTGACCCGGCCGAGAAGAAGACGGCAGAGCTGGCCAACCTCGAGATTTTGATATCCAGAATGACAGACCAAGCCTGTTCGCAGAGCGGTGCAGGGGGAACACTGAAACAGATCAAGGACTTTAATGCTTTGCTTGAACGAGCTGCTGTGGCTCTCGAAGGCAGATGAACGGCAGAGAGGTGTGTGCGAGAGGGTAGAGCTTCTCAGTCAACACAATAACAGTTTTGTTTCGGGAATGCCACGACTAAGGTTCCTCGAGGCGGTTTGTTGTTCTTTGTTACTTACGACATGCTCGGGAGGCTTGGGGGTGGTTGAGGACAGCCACGGGAGGCCTCTGGTCGGAGGGATCCTGGGAAAGTCCGGGTTCGGCTCGGCTAATTGATGACCATGCTTTGTCCTCCCTTGCCATCGACGGGGTAATAACACGGCACTAAGTGCAAACTCTAATCCCCAAATTGAAGTAGGTACCTAGTTTTTAGCACTCTCGTCTCCCAAGAGGGGAAATACGTTACGCAGCGTAACCCGAGGATATTTCGTCAGCCCCATAGCCAGCCACTGCACAGAAAGCGAGTCCCGATCAGACCGATGACGTTCTGGAACCAAATGGTCCCACAGTCTCCTAAGCGACCGTCTCGAACTTTGGGATGCCTACTCCTAATTTGACGTCACTAGCAAGCCTCGTTCGAACTCTCCCCGGAGGTGCCCGTCGTCCCTGCGTGCGTTGTTACCGGTACCATGTTGGTGTGGCCGTGATCAGGGAGTGGTGGCCGGGTGACTTTCACCTGGCGTCTCTGTCCGCCCCTCCGCACCAATTGTTCCTGTTGTCAGCCGCACGTCCCGTGTCATGAACATCCCACCACGGATGTACGGCATCTCCGGGATCCATCGTCAAAGTTTGTACTATGTACTACGTACACGTACCTGGGGGCGGTATACTTGCCCTACCTGACTATTACGTACCCTCCCTCTACTGACCCCTAGTTCCTGGCCAGCCAACGACAAGGAAAACAAGGCGCAGCCAGTGCGCGACGGCGACTGATTGGGCGTTTAGGGTGCTATAGTTGCCGTTTTGCATCCGATAATCAAGGGTGGCTCTGTGTTGTTTCTGGGGGTGGTGGAGAGAGTGCGAAGGCGATAAGGGGGTGTGAGCGTGGGAGCCCTCGTGCATAACCTGGATTGGGAACGGTTTAGGGATCCTTGGCCGCCGACTGGTCCAGTCTGGCACGGGGAATAGCCTAGTGGATAGCGGGTTGACAAGCAGAGGTCTGCTGGTTTGTGCGGACTGAAAGAGTACATAAGGCCGGAGAGGACAGCACATCCTACCATTGATATTTTTTTTGCCAAGATCAATCTACACCTATATACACACCACCCAAAAAGCCTCCCGAGATCGTATGCCAAAGACCATCACCTCCTCTTTTCAACCTCAGATTCTTCTCGCAACCGACAACATGCCCGCTCCCGAGGCTCCCCAGCAGCAGGCCCCCATGGAGGTCCCCGTCGACAACGGCATCGTCACCCAGCAGCCCGTGAGTTTCTCCCTCTTCCTGCTCCTTTCGGGCCATCCTGGCTGGGAACACGCGAACACCGACTAACATGCTATCGTAACAGTCCGCCGAGCCCCAGCCCGAGATGAGCCTCCGCGGTGGTGAGGAGGCCGGCTGTGAGATCTGCTGCGGTCTCTGCGGCTGCGATGAGTCTTGCTGCTAGACGTGTGCTTGAGGATGACCTGACGAAGTGGATTGGAACATACGGGGATAAGCGAATACAAGCTTTTGGGGAGAGGAGGGGGCGGGCGCTGAGTGAGAGATTATGCGCACCGGTGGCTAACCCGTGCCCTCCCCCCCGGGGCGTTTTTGGCGAATTGGACTACCACCAGCTACCCTGCCGTTAGAGCTGGGTTGGATATATTATCGAAACAAAATAAAAAATCCCACATGAATGATGTACAACTCCATCTCGCCCTCAATACTGATAGCACTTAGGCGTCCAACTAGAAGAATGATCGTAGTTGAGGATGTGAGGCCCCATAATCGTTGAGGCTTGAGGTTTGAGCCTTGGGGGGCTGCCAAGTGTGTGCCAAGTGTGTGCCAAGAGATCTACCCGCTCGCATGGAAAGCTTAGCGTGCGACGGCTACTCTCCATCATCCATGGCTTTCCCCCCCTCTCTTTTTCTTCGCTGGGCGAAGCGAGTGCCGCTGCAGAATCCACCAAACTTATGAATTGTTCCGCAGCACAACACATAAAAAGAGCTGCGCCGAACCTTCTGTCGGCGACGATCACTGCACAAAAAACCTCCACTGCCCGGTAAGCATCATTTCCCAGTTGTGACAGGCACGACAGCTCACACTGTCACATTCGTCTGGGTATTTGCTGTGTGGGGGAAGGGGGTTTTGATCACACCACGTCCAGGCGCTTGCTCCAGCTTCTCCACTCGAGGCAACCCATGTTCGAGAACCGTCTTCGTGGCCTGTCGTGTTTCCGGGTTTCTGCAAAAGAGCCTGGTTGCAGCTGCTATGTACTGGCGGGCGGCCGCGAGCTCATCTTCCCCCCCCCCCCCCCCTCGTCGAATTTGCAACCGCGCACAATCGAAAACGCGGACTCTCTGCTCTCGGGTTCCCGTGTGCCCGCACTCCTCCGATGGGCTGCTGCGCTTTTGTTGGGGTACGAGATGGGATGGAGTGCGCTGAGCCACGCTGACCCTGCTGAGGGAATTACGGGCTGCGTTGCTTCGGCCCGCCTCGTGAAGTCTGTCAATGTACGTCACAACTTCAGGCCGCCGTCTGATAATATGGTTGGGGCCAACCGCATGCCCGTGAGACATCGTGATGGTGGGTCCACGAGCAATATTCTCGTTTACTCCCTTTGCCGACTCTCTGTACCAATTTTAGTGACTACACGGACGACGAACCGCCTTGAATAGATCCTTCTTCTGTCGTGAGTATTGAGAGGCTTCGACTGGAGGGAGAATATGCCATTAACAGGCTCCTTTTGTTTTTGCCTTCCAAATAACGCTTTGCTAGAAGTACAAGATAGGTAGTCTACAGTCACTTCTACAATGGCCGAAACCGTCACATCAAGGACGGTCGCATCGACCTCGACAACCCCCTCTGTACAGTACACGGCTCGGTGCCAATTGTCCTCAGGAACTGTGGCCATCTCGGACATGGTGACGCACCCCCTGATGAACCGTAGACACTGATCAACGGCAAACACCGCGCCTCTCACTTGCCGCTGCCAAACACCCCGGTGATGCGATCGTAAATCGTGGCCTTGCCCTCCGCCTTGCGCTTCTCCTTCTCCTTCTCCTGGTCGTCCCATAGCTTCTGCACTTTCCTGGCCACGTCCGCTTTGGCCTGCAGGTCCGCCCGCAATGCCGCCTCCTCGGCCGCCCGCTCCACCTCCGGCAGCTTCTCCAGCTGCTCCTTCCACGACTTCTCCAGGTCCGGTCTGGGCTTCAACTCGGGGGCGACGGGGTCCGCGCCTGACGGCGAAGTGGGTATCGCGAGATCGAACTTGGGCGCGGGGAGGCCCTCCTTCTTGGCCGCCTCGGCCGCCTTTTCTTGCTCGATCATGCGCGCGTAGAGCTGGTCCGCGTGCATCTGTATGTCCTCCTCCACCTGCGCCGGTCGGTTGTGGACGGAATGGTAGCCTAGGGCCCTGAGGAATCTCTAGTGGCGGGGCGTTAGTGATCATGAATCCCTCCCGCTGACAGCGGTGACACGAGTAAACCCCGGGAGGACACTTACCGTCTGCACGGTATAACACCTCTCGAACCGCTGCACCTGATGCCTGCACATCTGCAGCCGGTCCTCCCAGTCGCCGCTCTTCATGCAGTTCACCCACTCCTCCTGCTGGATCGCGCAGTTCTCGAGCGCCGCCCTGCCGATGTTGTGTTTCCGCTGCTTGTAGCCATCCAGCACGTCCGTGAGCTTCTCGTGGTCCGTCTTGGTCTCGGCCTCGATCTCTGTGTAGGGGCGGTACGTCTTCCACAGGTGCGCATACCGCCCGTCCTGGAACAGGCTCTCCTTGGGCACCTTTGGCCGATCTCCTGCTTCCGCGGCGTCCTGTTGTGAATGTACATGCGCGTGCGTCGCCGCATCGGCGGCCCTATTCTGGGCGTCCTGGGCCTGCTGCTGCTGGATCTTGACCGGAGACTCGCGCTCAAGGAACTCGCGGAGCTTCGGGTCGAGGGACTTGAGCGGGTTGTCGGACGCGGGCGCGCCGGACCCGAACCAGCCGTCGAACCACCCCATTGAGAAAATGCGAGCTTTTCGAGTGAAGGAAGGTTGGGAGCTCTTGGGGGATCCCGGGGGTTGTTGCCTGGAGAGCTTGGTGGCTCTCTGGTTGTCGCAAACTTGAAGCTCTGGGAGAATTTCAAGGTGGCCGACTGTGATCCAATCAGATGCTTGGAAAGACACGAAAAGACTGTATGGCGCTCGGCGTCGCACTGTATCGAACACTGTCACATTGGGGTTCAATCATCATGGCCCGCATCAAACACGTTGCTCGGATAGTATTATTGAACTGAACCATCGGGCTTTCCCACTGTCAGACGGATACAACTCAGATATTATATACTATACATTACATCTCATTTCGGGGCATCTGGTAAGTTGAAACACTTGAGGGTTATAGTCAGAACGTGCTGTGCCACTAGGACACACTTCTGGGCAGCAGTTGGTAAATTCGTCGTCGTCCCAGAGTGAAATGCAATATACGAGAGACGCAAGGGATGAGGGGCACTCGGAGGCAGCATATCACTCTGTATCACGAAGAAACAATTACACGCCCAACCATTCCTTATCATTTTTTTTTTCGTTCATTCGACCTGAGGCGTATCGCAGTTTTCCGTTCCCGCAAAAATCACAAGCCCATCGTGTGCCCAAGACAGCCAGAGAAAAAGAACCTCTAGTTCACACCCGAGATGTTTGGCTGATCGAATTCATTTGGTCTCTGATTCTGCATCTATAACACAATCATGTGGATGCAGTTTTCCTGTTGACCTCCCATCCGGTATGTAATGAAGAACCCACACCGCAGTCACGCCGTAAATGCCAATGAGCCAATTTAGAACTTGCTGAACTTCTTGACAGCCTTGCCAGTGCGGGGAAGGACACGCAGGACGTTGAAGCGGACCTGGATTCGACGTTAGTAAACTTGCCTCCCGCGAGAGAGCTCTCGTTTGAACAGCGGCCGTCGTGGTATATCTTTGTAACATACAGTCTTGCTCAGAGGTCTGCACTGGCCAACGGTGACCTGGTCACCCTCCTCGACACGGAAAGCGGGGGAGACGTGGGCGGCAAGGTTCTTGTGGCGCTTCTCGTAACGGGCGTACTTGGGGATGTAGTGGAGGTATTCTCTGCGGATGATGAGGGTGCGGTGCATCTTGGTGGAAACGACGGTGCCGGTGAGGATACGACCGCGGATGGAGACCTGGCCGGTGAAGGGGCACTTCTTGTCTGCAGACGATCCTTCGTTAGCCACTGTATCTTCTGCAGTTCACTCCGTTCCCGACGTGCAGCGCGTGGTGCTTCCTTGTCGTAATCGTCGCATAGTTTCTCCTCTGCTCGTCGAGTCCGTTTCCTAACTGGTCGTGCATTTGCTGATTGCGGCCCTCGAGGGCGTCGCGAAATTTCGTCGTCTTCAAGTGTCGTCCGTCCATCGCGCGCAAAACTCCAACACAAGTTCAATCGCTCTCGCTCGCAAACGTACCGATGTAGGAGCCCTCAATGGCAGTGGCAGGGGTGCGGAAACCCAGACCAACGTCCTTGTACCATCTGCGGCCGCTCTTGCCGGGGCGAGCAGACTTCGCCTTGACCTTCTGGTTAAGGAAGATACCCTTCTGCTTCTGGAAAGCCCTCTCGGACTGGACGGTCAACTCGGTAGCCATCTTGACGTCGTGATGCGGTCGGGTCGACTGGGCGGGGTGGGTGCTGTTGAGGTTAGAAGTCGTTGATGCTGAGCCGCTTTCAACCAGAGCTGCGGAAAAATCGAGTGACGAGCAAGAGATGTGGCCCAGCTTAGGGCACGAAAAAATTAGCGAAAGGTGGGTGGGCCTCCCAAAAACACCCACGTTCCTTTCCGGAGTCGGCTCAGCCACACTTGGACAGTCCCTCCTCCAACAGCCTCAGGCAGAAGCTGCCCCTCCTCTCTGGCTTGTCGAGGACGGTTTGTGGCGCAGCTCTACTGTGGCTGGCAATTCTCTGCATCCGAATTTCCCCCATCTTCAGTGACAGCTTGATGCCACAGCAACAAAGCGCGTCTGTTGACATCATTCCCGACAGGCGAATCAGGTCCCCTGCCGCACGTAAACACAACCCATGACAGCCCACTCACCCTGCTTTTTGGGGGGAACTAGCATAGGTATTCACGCCATCGATATAAGCAAGCCGCGCTCACACACACCCATACTTTAACAAGTGACATGCGCACGTCTAGCTCTTCGATTTGAAGCCCAGCCCATCAACAGAAACTCCGATACTCACCATGGCTTCGTTAGGCGACGCGACCCTGCCGTCGACGCGTCGGACACGCAGGTCTATCGGAGCGACCAGTTTGTCGAGGAAGAATGGCGACAAAGAGAACGCGACCATTGACGTGGGTAGTAGTCTTGCTGAAAGTCGCAAGAAGTCGCGAAGCAAAAGTATTGGTCCCGGAGGCCTGGATACCCTCAAGAACGGAAATGGGAACCGCAGAGCTGTGAGTATGCTCTCTCTTGCCGGTCACACGCACCCGCGCCTAACACATACCCAGTCCCTGGCAGTGCCTTCACGGCCCCCGCCTCGATCGATTTTGAAGCCTACGATGCCTCTATTGCCCGAGATACCGCCACACCGCAAACGGGGGGCAGACCTCATCGATCTCGGTCCGCCGAGGGCGAGCACTCCGACGACGACGGGCAGCACCGATCTCACTGGTTCTGGATCCAAGATTGCGCTGCGCACAGAGGAGGAACAACAGGCTGCGGCTAAGGAACGGGAGCGCAGAGATGCGCGCCGCAAGTCTCTCGCCAATCGTCGCGTGTCATTTGCAGCCGAGGCCACCCTTCACACATTCCACGAGATTGAGTTCATGCAGGACTCGACATCGTCAACCGACTCGACGCGCCGTAGGTCATCAGCCGCAGGCAGCTCCAACGAAGCGCCGCCAAACCGTCCGTCGACACCACGAGACCAGGAAGAGGATATTGTTCCACAATCACCAGACAATCAGCGAGAGCTGCACCAGAAGAAACGCAGAAGAAGCTCCACCGCTCCTCTGATTGAGTTTACAGAAGATGAGGAAGATACCATGGCGACCGGTTTCAGTTCCGACTCGGAACCGGCAGATGCTGTAGAGGAAGTCGGTGACGAGGAAGAAGAAGAAGCCTCAGACTCCAATAGTGACTCTGACGACGGCACGATGATGACAGTCGATGACCACGAGGTCACCGGCGCATCAGTTATGTCTTCGCGCACCACCGGAACGGACGATGATCATGACGAACTGGATGATGCACTTCGAGCGGCTGCACGGCATGCTGGCACACAAAGGCTGGGCTTCGATGACAGTGACGACGAGGAGGTGATTCCTTCTTTCGGGTGGATCAAGAAAGACAAGCCCCAAGCAGAGGCAGGTCAGGACCAAGAGAACGTTAAGCCACAACCGCTTGTCCGTAACAGCCCTCCTCAGGATGACGAGGAGGATGACATGGACATGGACTTCACTTCTGCCGTCGGAGGAATCCTTGGCAACCAGACGTCTCAAGGTATCGAACCTGACGAGGAAATGTCCATGGATGTTACCCGTGTTTTGGGAGGCATTATGTCGAAGAACAACAGCCAGTCAGCATCGGCGGAAACAACCTCCGAGGACCAGACTATGGATTTCACTCAAGCGGCTGGAGGTATCCAAAGGTCCAAAGCCAACGGCCATCTATTCGCTGCCGAGGACGATAACGAGGACATGTCGATGGAATTCACCAGTGCAATTGGTGGTTTGCTGCCGACGCACACCAAGAGTGGCACGGCACAGACGCGCCGGAGAACGATGACTTCCAGTAACAACCCAGAAGAGTCAATCATGGACATGGATATGACCGTTGGCGTCGGCCGGATCTTGCCTAACACAGACAACACATACCACGGCGACCAGACAATGGGCATGGACATGACTGTTCCCGTGGGCCGCATTCTTTCGACAGAAAACGAACCTGCAAATGAAGAGGAAGCGACGGGGGGCATGGACATGACTGTCCCCTTCGGCAAGACCTTGCCTACAGCGGATCAGTCGCCTGAGGAGGAAGAGATGACGATGGGAATGGACATGACCATTCCTGTCGGCCGGATTCTGCCGTCTTCCCAAGCTGCGGATCACGAGGAAACCACGACGGGTATGGACATGACTTTGGCTGTTGGGGGCATCATCAGACCGCCACAATCTCCTGAGGCTCGGGTTGCTGCCAAGAAACTCATGGAAGCGGAAGTAGACAAGCCCGACACGCCGAGCAAATCTATGTTAGGCAAACCTGCATCGCCTGCCAAGAAGCTTGCCGCTTCGGTTAAGAGAAACACTTCATCAGCATCAGATATTGGAAGCAGTCCCGGGTTCAATCCTTTCCAGGGCAGAGGTCTCCGCCAAAGTATGCCACGCGCAGGCACCGCTTCGATGTCGCCGGACCGAACGAGAACGCCCAGCCCTTCAAAGTCTACAGCTCCCACTCCTACCGTCGCCGAGACCCCACTCGATAGTTCGCCAGTCAAGACGCCGCAATCACTCAAGAAGCGAGGCCGCCCCAAATCACCCGTCAGGAAGCCTGCTACTCCCTCTCCCGAAAAGGCGGTTAGTCGTCTGAACATTTTTCAGCAAGACCCAACCACCGGCGCAAGGACCCCGACAGTCGTCCTTACTCCCCAAACCCGCAGACATTCCGGTATCGGTGCAGATAAGCCTGGACTGGGCTCGCCTCGAGTTGCCGCTCTTTTGGACCGCAGAGGATCACTTGGCGAGACCGTTAAAGAGTTCGTACCCGGCAGGACCCGAGGGGTCAAATTTGGCGACCCACAAGTCATCGAAGAAGAGATCGACAGAGACCGTCAGGAAGAAGAAGACAAAGAAAACGGCCGGAAGATACTCGAGCGTGAGGCCGACGGCGGCGAGAATGAGAAAGAGGCGACCCTGAACCTAAGGGAAATGATTGAGAGCTTGAGTCCGCAGAAGAGTCGCATGCGAAGTCGCAAGAGTCTTCATGTCGGGAGCGCAAGAGGGCTACTCGGCAAGCGGCCCGCTGAGCTCGATGATGAGGATGGCGAGGACCACGATGGCGTCAAGAGGCTCAAGGGCCATCAAGGCAGTCCTGTCAAGAATGTCAAGCTGCAACAGCCGCCCAGTAAGGCAGAGACCACTGGTCGCAGATTGACTCGGTCAGCCCGGAAAAGCATGGAGGAAGACGCCGCATCGAAAGCCACGCCCACCCATTCCGGTTCCCCTCTGAAAATGGCGACCTCGGCCAAGTCACCAAAATCGCACGGTCGTTTCAAAGACGTCGAAGACGACACAATGTCTCACCCGATGAATCTCGATGGTTCTCCTGTCCGAGACGAGGACGACCTCATGAACGAACAGGCTGAAGAGCGTATTCATTTGCAAGACTTTCTGAACATGACTTCAATTCGTTTCATGGAGTTGACAACTACCAAACGAAGACACACGCAGGCCCCAGAGATGTTCAAGGACGGGCTGTTGGGCGGGAAAGACGACTTGTCAATGGAGCGCTGCGTCGTAGCCGGTGCCTGCACGGTGCCCATGCTTGAGCTTTATCAACACTCCTGTCGCGAGCTGAAGAAGTACATCTCTGAAGGTCGCAGCATCGTTCGGGAGATCGAATCGGAGACCTTCGAAGAGAACCCACCGCTGTTCCGCGAGTACATGTCGGCCACGCCCGACTTCAAGAACATCCTTGACAACCAGTTCAAGAACAGCAAAACTCATGCTCGCCTGGAGAGCAAGGCCATGTGGTACGAGTGGCGAACGAAACTCCAGGAAGGTCTGAGAGAGGGCCTTGTCAGGATCGCTGAGGGCATGGCCGCCGATGATGAGGTCCTCGATCAACAGCAAAAGCTGCTCTCTTCTGTCTTGCCTGCCATTGTGACTCGCTTCACTGCCCTTCAACAAGAGCACGAGAATTTGCAAGCCGTCGCAGAAGAGCTTGCCGACTGCGACCCGGAAGAGCTCGAGGCCGCCAGGTCTGACTTGGCTAACATCGAAAATGATGTGGAAGAGAAGACGCGGCGTGTTGCTGAGCTTCGACAGGAATTGGAGGAAGCAGAACAAGACGTGGAAGAATTGAAGCAGGAGAAGCAGCAGTGCCACGAAGACATCAAGGAAGCGGAAAAGATCCGCGAGGAATGTCGGGGCTGGTCGATTAGCGAGATCAGTGCGCTCAAGGGTAAGCTCCAATCGCGATGGCATTTCTACCCCCACAAGACTAACATGGCTTGCAGCGCGAGTGGATTCTCTCGAAAAGCAACATGGCTGGGCCGTGACCGGGGTTTCCGGGAGCACCATTTCGATGACGTACCGAAAAGAAATTGAGCTGGTGTTTGATCTGGCATCCTTTCAGCATGGCCGGAAGAACTCGCGGATCGATCTTTGGTACATCGCTGCAAACCGCGACACCAACCCTGTGCCGTTGACAACCGAAAGGGACTTTTTCCTGCAGTGCATCCGGGACCACATCCGTGGACTGCCGCAGAGCCGCACTAAAATTGCGGACCTCCTCCACCTGGTTCGTGCCGCATGGGACAACGCTAATTGCACCTCCAACCACATCCGGCAGCTCAACATCACATTTCCCACGGCCATTGCCAGGACGTCGGACTCGTCCGTTGCTGTGAAGTCATCCCTCCTCCTACCCCAAATCGAGACCAAAGTGGAAATTGCCCTCGAGATCCGCGGTTCGAGCAAGCCTGACGGCATTGAGTTTACCCTGCACCCCGAGGCCAAGGTTGTCTATGGAGAGCACTTCAACACTGGAAAGATGGGAGAATTCCTGACGACGCATCTGGGAGACCGGGCATTGTCTCAGGAGGAGGGTGCGCCGTCGTGGAGCAATGTGGTCGTCGACCTTCATGAAAGGCTTCTGGCGAGAGGAAGGAAGCAGGGCTAGGAACGGGCTATTTCTATCTTGTAATGATTGATGATGGTGGAATATTCATTTCAAAGGCCGTGATTTCGGCCCATGGCGCTTGTGGCGGATACCCAGAGCACGATAGCAAACATTAGCTACGCGTCGTTGATTACATGCATATGCCACTGTCGTAACCATGGCCCTTTGAATGCATCTTTACACCGCATGATTTCTTTAAGTCCCTCTCCAACATTCAGTCCTAGATCGGCAAATGGCCCTTACTCGTGCCCAAGGATCAGACTGCATGTTCGTCCGAAGTCTCCTTACAAAGTCAACATTTCAACGACCCCAAACCACTGCTGATACTTAAGGTGAATGGGAATGGAGGGATACTTCTCGTAACCGCGGTTCGAAAACACTGGGCATGCCAGCAGCTGCTTTGTACTCCAGTGACTGGTGCTCATGCTGAGCGAGTCGAATGAATGACGGGGGATCAGCTTCTTTGAATCGATGAACCGCCTAACGGTCTGGTCTTTAATAACATCTATCCAGGTTTGCCCCCTTGTCATCTGCCGCTGTCGTCAATCTCCGTCGTCCGTCCCCGTCCGTCCTTGACCGCCCTCCTTCTGCCGGTCTCAACTCCTGAAGACCATCTCACCCGCCACTTCACCTCACCTTCGCCCTTCCGTCCCAACCCACCAGACCGAAGCGAACAACCGGAAGCCCTCGCTCGCCTACCGTCACGTGCCCAACGACCAGACCGCCTACCTGTTTGCCTATATTAGCTTCTTCCACACTTCTGAGGTTTCAGAAAGAAAGAAACCTCTTTCTCTCTTCTCTTTCGTCATGTATCGATTCGACTATTGCAGCTGAAGTTTCGCGCATAGTTATCTTGATACATGTCCCATTGATACAACCCTCTTTCTCCTTTTCATCCATCTCGCAATACCAACTTGATCTCAATTGTCAGCATCAGCATCAGAACAGTCAACATGGACGGCTTTCTCAACTGGGTCTGCCCCCAGGCGGAAAAGATGTTGGATTTTCTTATCGACACGTCCGGCATCATTTTTGGTCCGATCATTTATGGATTACTCTGGATGACCGGATTTTTTTCAATCGGGTTCGCCATTTGGATCATAGTTGGCTCCCTCATTCTCAGTGCCCGCAAGCTGTTCCAGGATGCGACACGAAGTCTCAAGTATCAGTGGCGTACCCTGTTAGACAACGACCCCAACAAGCCCAGGATTCCTGGTACCTGGCCTGGAACGGCGATTCTGAACTTCTCCTAGTTTGAGAAGTTTGGTATCGCCGTCCCGGTTATGTGAGTCTCACCATCCGGTATTCCATCCATCCTGACCATGAGCTGACCATACTCCCAGGCCCCTTTCGCCACCGGATCAGGCGGTGTGCGACCCCATTACCAACTCGTCGAACTCGTCCAATGATGTTAAGAAGAAGAAATCGGACAAGAAGAAGTTGAGCCTTAAAGTCGTTCAGATGAAGGTCAAGAAGACTACGACACGGTTGAGAAGGAAGACATCCAGACTTGAATACAGGCACCGGCAGGAACATGAGACGAATCCCTGGTCCACGAGGAAGCACCAGCAGACTGCAGAGCTGAGCAGCGAAGTCGAGAAGCTCAAGAGTTGCATCCTCGAACTCAGTGCCTATCTACGGACAGTGGAGGAGAGCCGCGCTGAATTGTTACAACGTCAGACAACCTGGATTTACCCATACGACAAGGACTTGGAGATCCCCGGCCGAATTCCGACCATTTGTGCGAGACTGCCAGTGCCCGAATTCCGCATCTCAGACGTGATTGACCGCCGGAGGGCCAAGCCAGTTGCCCCTTTCAATATCACGTTTTACAGCATGCCAGAGACTATCGTTCGATCCAAGGCCTCTGCTCCTGCCGCCCGGTCTCTTTCTAGCGCCAACAGTAAGACCATCGACCAGGCCGCCAACCAGCCCGTCACGAGCCCCGCTATCATCCCATCGCTAGTCCTTTCTTCGGTTCAGTCTTCAGTCCCGTCTTCAGTTCTTTCTTCAGTCAAGTCTCGTATCGAATTTCGGACTCGGAAGCTGATACGACTTCAGGCTCGTGCGAACAATAACGCCTCAGTCTCGTCATCCTCTTATGCGCCGACTTATATACAGTCTCCGAGCTTACTCCCAAACCAGCCCATCGCGATTCCCACCGTCAATACCCCCCGCAAAATTCCTAAGCACACCGAGAGCCCTGTTAAGAGTATTCTCGAGCTCACTCAGCCCGCATCCATCTCTGTGCCACTGCCCAAGTCCCCCCCGCAGCCGCTCGCACAGCCTGCTTCAACCCCGCCCTCGCTTGTTCACCCAAGCTCACAGATTGCTACCCCTGCTTTCTCCGCGGTATCCAAGAACAACAACTGGGAAGTGAGCAAAGAAGGCAAGCTTGCCAAGGAATCCAAAAAGAAAGCTTCAGACTACAATGTCAGCTCTGAAAGTAATAGTGACGAGAACGGCAATACTGCGCTTCCATCGATAGCAGAACCAGATGGAGACGACGGCAAGAGTAAAGATGACAGTCTTACACTGCTTCCGGATTCAGATGAAAACGACGTCGAAGGAAGAGACGATGACTTCCCGCCTCTTCCAGATTCGGATACTGGTTCGGATGGAGAGAATGATCATAAGGACCACAACAACAGACCGGACAACGCAGGCAGTATGATTCCCTCTGTAATTCAGCAGCTTGTGGAAACTTTTTCCGATCCTGCACCTGCCCAAGAGTCCTTTTTTGCGTCTTCCTCCGTCCCTGCTATCATCAAAACCAAGGTCCAGGGACCTTCTATTACCCCCCTGGGTACCCAGATGGAAGTTGACGTCCACGATAAGAATGTGGCCGAAGAGGACCACACTAAGATAGATGCGATGGATGTTGACGTCCAGAAAGAAACAAGTGAAAAGGAACATGACGCTGCTAAAGACGAGATGGAAATGGACATCGAACACGAGAAGACCAAGGATGACACTGGAAAAGACAAGATGGAAGTTGATATCGAGAACGAGACTGGCGCTACGACAGACGAGATGCAGCTGGATGATCTGGATACAATCCGAGGTCTAAAGGACGTCGACATGGTAAACGCGTCGCAGAAGATCCAAAAACCGACGGGCGATATCGAGATGAGAGACGGGTCAACAACCCCTTACATTGCGCCTAGTACCAATGTCTTTGCCGGAAAGAACACTCAGCATACAATCGCTGAAAAACCTTCGACTCCTCTGCCGAACGAACATCGCTCACAGCAAGTAATGCTGCGTCTACAGGCATCCAATGTCCGTGGCGAAACTATGTCTGACGAGGCACCTCCCCCGGCCCTGGAATCTAGGGACCAGAGGCCAGTCATTATCATTCGGCGTAGGCCAGCCGACCCAATGGTGAAACAGAAACCTCGGAAATCAAGTCAACAACAACGGCCGCAACGGCCAACAACGCCGACGTCACAGGCAGGGAATCCGCCAACCGTGCGCATACCTGGACCGCCCAGTCTTGTGAGCGGTGCTGCATCCGAAGGAACGGTGACACTTTTCCTCATGTCCCAAGCCCGAAGCAGCCCGAAGCCCCCTACGCCCTCGTTCAGGTCGTCAGTGCGATTGTTCCCAGACCGTCCGGCCCGGAAGCACAAGTATGACGAGGTGGCTGCGATCGATCAGGATTATAACGGAGATACTGATCTTTCGATGCCCTTTGATGTCAACGGACCGCCCCGCGATATTTTACCCTTACCAAAACGAGCACTTCAAACTCTCTCGGCTACAGATAACGATTTGCGCCGCCGGCGAGCTCTCGAGGCGAAGCGGCGTTGGCTATTGGCACAAGAGCAGGAAGCCGCCGCCGCTCCTGAGCCCGCCATGGAGCAGTTTAGGAATAGACCACCGCCCATGGTATCATCGCAGGGAGTCTCCGCCAGAGAGAACCGTCTTCTGTTGTCCGGAACGGCCGAGCTGAGGCGAGAATTACTTCACAGGCTCCAGGCCCTGTGGCCCCTTCTACCGAAGGCCGAGGTCGATCGGGTACGGCTGAACAACTTGAGGTCAAAGTCACTCGCAGAATGGCGAAAGCTCCTGAACCCGGCAGGCAAGCATGCGCTTCCGGACAATACCTACATCCCCAGGGACGCGTTCGAACGGGAAGCGGCCGAGTGGATGGAGAAGGTTGTCGAACTGATGACCAAATTGAAAGTCATTCCAGAAGTGGGATCCCTTCTGGAGACATGGAGGGAATGTGTGGCCCGCCAAGAGCCACTTCCCGAACCTGAGGATAACTAGAAGCAGTAATCGACGATGCGAACTTTTGAGTGAAGATAAAAAAGAGTTGTTGCCACCCAGAAAAGACAAGACACGAAAAAAAAGGCTTGGAAAATCAGAAAAACTGAAAAAGAACACCAACACCCACTCACATCACCATTAGAGGAGGCGAGGATTGAAGCTCACAGAGAGCAATGAAATGGCCATTTCAAGTACAGTCATGACTTTACGTTTGGTTTACCTGGTTTTCACTTTTGTCCAGCCATTTGTACCACCACCACCACCAGCCCGAGCCATCTGACCTTCGCCATCGTCAATAGCCCACGCATCATCCTCTAGAACCTCCCATTCCGGAACGGCAACCTCACTGACAAGCTTCTTCTTGAGCTTATCGGCAAGTTTCAGGGGGCTGGGAAGCTTGAAACTGCGAACGAATTCGGATCCCTCCGCACTGCCAAGAAACGCATAAGCTGTGCCATGTGAGTACCGTCCCACCCAAGACGAAGGCCTGCCAAGCTCTTCCTGGTCGGGTGTTTCGTGCTTCGCCGCGGGCGATGGAGTTGTCGGGGGGTAAAGTCGACCAGTATGGTTACTGTGTAATTGTTGGCCGATGAGCAAATTATACAGATTGCGACCCATGTGGCAAACGTCCTCGAATGAGTTGCGATCCCCCACGAAGACCCCCTGAGTGCTGCATGCCCAGGCGATGTCATATGCCAACAACGTCACACCCTCCAAAAAAAGGGAATAGGTAGCGGGATCTTCCTTGGCTAGAATGGGCAAAGCCTTGTCGACAAACAGTGGCCGCGGACGAGGGACGTAGTGCGGCTGGCTATCGCGCTCATCCGAAGCAAAGCTGGGGATGGTTGAAGTGCCGGGAAACGGAACATCGCCGTGTTGGTATGACGAGGCGAGGTTGAAAATGGTGGGCCGCGGGTAATCACGATGGGGCAACGTGATTTCTGCGGGAAGCCGGATAGTGAGATAATGAGACGTTAGCGCCAGAATATGAGCAATGTTGGCCAGGGAGGTCGACAAGACTTCAGGCGATGTCGCTGCCAAACAAGGGTCAGTATCATTTTCAAGAGCAACCGGACGTGAAACTCGCCATTCATAGATGAAAGGTCAATCACATCAACGCCACCGATTTTGAACTCGTATCGAGACGAGGAGCCCTTCTTGAAGCGGCGAAGACCGTAGAGTTTCGCGGCTTCCTTGCAGAGAAAGGATCGGGTGGTCGACATTTGGTCAGCATTGCGACCCCATTTGTACTTGGCGACCGAGATGGAGCGCTCGGCCTCCTCGAGCTGTCTGGTTCTCCGAGCAGTGATGCCACTCGATGCAGATGCAAGATCCGACTTTCGGCGAGAAATGGCAGCCTTGCGATCGGCAATCTCCTTCCTGGCAGCGGCGACCTCATCCCTCAGCTTATCGGCCTGGGCGATGATTTGGTCCGTTCGATCCTCGGTCATCTTCTGTTGGGAGACAGAGTCTTCAAGAACGACAACCGGGTTGGGCGCACCCGCTGTTGTGTCTTGAGCAAGCAGGTCATTGATCTGTTTCTGAAGACTCTCATTCTCCATCAACGCCTGCAGGTTCTTGAGGCGACCTTCATAGCAGTGATTGCGAGCGTCAACGGCACACAGAAATGGCAGCCGCTGCGGGCTGTGAGGTCTTTGACAGATGTTGCAGTTCATTTTGGCGAAACCGGTCGAGTCCAGGTAAGCGGCGACTCGGAGCTCGATACAACAATGGCGCGCATGAACAAAGCGTCGCTAGGGATGACGTTGGGGAGATTGTGTTTGTTTCTGGCAAGCGGATCGCGCACTATGAAGGAACTCCAGCATGGGGAGGAGGAAACAGCGACTTGATATACGACAGCTTCCGGTACGGGGGTGAGTCGCTCAGACGACCTGTGAGTGCAAGTTGTTTCTAAGGTTCGCCGAGTCACGGGGACTTGGTCGGGTGAGAGGCGATGAATGGCCCAGAACGGGAAACACTCAACTGCTATCGGCGCAGCGCAGCGGACTTTGGCAGGCAGCAGGGGTGCCCCTAGTCACTCTAATCCTCCCTGCGCCACATTTCCTTTCTTGCCTACTTTCAGCCAGCGACGCCACACCGTTCTCTGCCCACCTAGGTACCTACCTACGGTACCTACGCCAGCAGGCACGGGGAGTCGACAGGCGATAATCAGCGCCTTTCTCCACCAAAGGCCCAAAAAGGTAGCATTGCGAACCATCACCCCAAAAGGTTACAGAGTCACAAAAACATAACCAAAAAGCAACCCGGCACCAGCACAACCACCTATCCTCCTCTTGATAAATCCAACATTGCACCTGCCAGTGCAAAGGACTCTTCTCAATTTTATCGCGAAGATGCCCGACGCGGAAACCAACGAGTCTCGGAGACCCAAGTCTCTCCAGACCACCAAGACGCCTGAGCCGAGGCTAGATCAGCAACTGGCCAACGGCCAGAACAATAGCAATACCCCCAGCACACCGGGGACTTTCCCTTCCTTCGACTGGGAAGATTTCGAAGCTCGGTACGAAAAAGCCCTTGCGGAGGCCGACGGAAAGGAGAGAGAGCTCTTGCTCGAGTTCGACAGTCTCGTGAAGGTAAGCAGAACAACTCAACGTCCACTACCAACAGTCAAACTTGCAAGCATGCTAACATGGAAACCGTCAGTACTTCAATGTCTGGGCCTCCACTTCGAGTGCTCATGACAACGAACGCGCAACCAAGCGCCTTCACACAAGGCAGAGGTATGTCAACTTGGCAGAGAAGGATATGGCTCAAAAGGAGGAGCACAGTAAGTCGCTCCTCATCACGGCTTTCCTTTTTGAACGACTGACACGCGTCTACAGTGAAGGAAGTGCTCCGCGCGTTTCAAAGCGCCCTCGCCCTGCTAAGCCGGACTTAGATTCTCAATTCCGGGCTTGGGCGGGCGCGAGGTGATGTTCGACATAATTTTTCGTTGCTCTGATTATGCAAAATAACAGCAATTTGCAAAACTGCACTCACGCTTCCGGCAACAGTTAGGCATGTGCTCTATCGGCTTCAAACGCGATGGATGGTGGTGAAGGTCAAGGGGGGTCTCCACACGTGATCCAAGCTCCAAATTCCAAACGCGTCAGGTCTCTTTTCTGCGCGATTCTCCAGCTCCAGAAGTTCCAACCATCTACATCCTACACATAGCACTACTCTCCTCGGAGAAAAAAGAAAAAAGAAAAAAAGAAAAAAAAAAGTAGCAAATCATTAGCAGAAATTGCCCAAACCACCTTAGCCACAGGGCATGGCTGCGGCAAGAACGAGTCCGATGTCGACACAATCTGCTGCACCAAGTGTCAGCAAAGTAAGTTCAACCGCGCCGAACATTCATTGTACCTAATTGACCTTCTCACAGGATGACATGATGACGTTCTTCGAGACGCACTTCTCAGATGCGGCACTAGAGAGGTTCAAATCCGATTTTTTCAATTCAAACCAGCAATCGGATGCTGTCAACTCTGTCCCCTCGTTCGAAGAAGATGGCGACATCATTGAGGAAGACGATGGCCTCGGCTACTACTCTGACGGCGTGAAGCGCACGCTCACTGATGAGCAAATCGCCATGTTTCGACACTCCGAGCGTGAAGCTCTGAGGCGAGAGCAGGAGCGAGCTGCCGAGCGCCGCTCAACGGTGCCGCATCCAAACCAAGCTGGTGAGGCCGGCAATGATGGCAGCCTTAAGGCTACCGACTCGTTTCACCAGCCGGCCAAGGCAGCCAAGAGCAAGAAGAAGAGAAAGGGAGGGAAAGGCAAGCCTCAAGAGCCTAAACCCGATCTCCGTAAACGAACCTGGGACGTTGTCGAAGCAGGGCTCGACACTCTCGACTATGATTGACTTCGGATCAGAATACAACAAATCGCTGTCAATGCCCGGGCTGCCTTTTGGAAGGGACTATGGGCCGTAAAAACGTCTATAGACCTCCCATGCACGCCGCCGGGGCTGCCTCTGGAAGGGACTGCAGTGAGGGTCATAGCTCGCAGACCTAACATGCATGCCAGTTGCTGCTGCCAGGAAGAACCACAGGCCAGACAAATGTCTGTGGGCCTCTCGTGCGCGCAACAACGTTCTAACTGTCGGCAGAAACTAAGGGCCGGACACACGCTCTTAGATCCGTTGACAATCTGAACACCCAATGTTGAGAGCAGCTATTTCCATCGTCTCACGGGCTTGATACGCGCACACAAGAAATCAACACTTGAAAACCAGCAAAGACCGGAAACCAACAAGTCTGGTAGCGCCCCAAAAGGAAGCGCGATCATTGGTGTGTAGACATCCCCTTTTCTTCCTCCTCTTAACCCCCTCTACCTATGCTGTGATGAAATCCTTTGTATCGTCATCCTTAGTCGGATCCATAGCCAGAGACAGACAGCTACTAGCTTCGGCCAGCAGCTCGAGTCTCACAGAGCTTGGACATGTCGAGCAATAATCTTCTCTCTGAAAGCATGCAAATTTCACTCACTGCGAATTTACAATGCACTATAGCTGGACAGTTGCTAACGATTTCACCAGATGGACTGAAAAGGCACACAGTATGTGTGACCCTGAATGGTGTGGATTGCAGAATCAGCCATTACAAGATGGAACCGGCTAGCAAAAGCATAAAATGCTCGTCCAGCGGATCAGATTGTGAAATGGCATTCATTATTGGCTGAAGTCGGCCAGTATGTAAGACTGACAGACACGCGTCGATAGACAGGTGGGAGGAACCACCTTCATTCATGAATGGAAAAATTGATTGTTCCGATACGCTCATTACCCTGATACCATTCGTCTGACATGACTCGTCGTGACTTCTTTCAAAGTCCAGATGAGGTAGAAAAATTTGTTGCTGTCTACTAGTTACAGCATGGAAGCCTTGGATTGCACACATGCTGGCCCTGGTTATGTGAGCCGACTCCCTGTAATCTATGTCTTGACTGACCTCTCTCATGAGGTCAAATTTACCTTTGTTTCAATCGATCATGTGATAGATAGGCTTTTTGTCAAGGCACCTCGCTGGCGCTAGGTTTTTTCTGGGCGCTTGGATGATGACAACTGCCCAAAACCCGATTTTGCGAAGTTCTGGAAGAGCACTGGAGGAGCACTGCAGCGCTGGCTGTGAATCGAACTACACCATGCTGCCCAAAGGTTGAGCGGCATGAGTGTGTGCATGAATCACTGGGCCTTATCGGGCGGTCTTCTTGGGACGATAAGGGGGGAAAGAGACGGACTCGCCTCGGTCGACAGCCAATCAGAACCCTCTGACCGCTTAGCCTGATTTTGTGCATCCCACCTAGATTTACTCGCTGCCCCGTTCTCCTACCACTACCGCTACCACCAACACCACCACTGAGCCAAGCTACCTCAGCCACGCCGAGACCCCTCCTCGCCTTGCCTCCGCCGCAAAATCCAACCTCACGTCAACATCACCACCCGTCACTTGTCGAGTTCTGCGTGCAATCGCAGGCAAACAGCAGTAGCCCATCATGGCGCGGGTCTACGCAGATGTCAATCAAAACATGCCCCGCAGCTACTGGGACTACGACAGTGTCAACATTAGTAGGTTTTCTATCGCCCTGCCACCCCTCTCATGGGCCTCGATTATGTTGAGCCTCTGTGACCCAAAGGCGCGCCTGTCTCCTTTGACTTCGCTCTTTTCTTGCATCGCAGCTGACCTCTTCATTCTACAGGCTGGGGCGTTCTCGAGAACTACGAGGTGGTCAGGAAAATTGGTACGTCTTTGTGCTTGGGGGAACCCCCGCGCCGCGCGCATGCGCATTTCCGCCCCATATACGGTCACAACTCTTAGAAGCATATCGAGCTGACGAAACATCGCACATACAGGCCGTGGAAAGTACTCGGAGGTTTTCGAAGGCATCAACGTCGTTAACTACCAGAAGTGCGTCATCAAGGTCTTGAAGCCTGTGAAGAAGAAGAAGATCAAGCGTGAAATCAAGATCCTGCAGAACCTGGCAGGAGGCCCCAACGTCGTCGCTCTGCTGGATGTGGTCAGAGACTCGCAAGTAAGTTCTAGACGTCGTCCTATGTGAATCGCGATACATCCGGGCCATGGGCTAACGAAGCGTTTTCAACAGAGCAAGACGCCATCGCTCATCTTCGAGCACGTTAACAACACCGATTTCCGAAGCCTCTATCCCAAGTTCAACGACCTTGATGTCCGCTACTACATCAATGAGCTGTTGAAGGCTCTCGACTTCTGCCACAGCAAAGGCATCATGCACCGCGACGTCAAGCCTCATAACGTTATGATCGATCATGAGAACAGAAAGGCATGTCTCCGTGCTTGGAGTGTGTTTACTTGGGGCTAACTGTCGTACAGTTGCGGCTCATCGATTGGGGTCTGGCCGAGTTTTATCATCAAGGCACCGAGTACAACGTTCGTGTGGCCTCCAGATATTTCAAGGGCCCCGAACTGTTGGTCGACTTCCAGGAGTACGACTACAGTCTCGATATGTGGAGCTTGGGCGCCATGTTTGCCTCCATGATTTTCCGCAAGGAGCCCTTCTTCCACGGTAACTCCAACTCGGACCAACTCGTTAAGATCGCCAAGGTCCTCGGTACGGACGACCTCTTTGACTATCTTGACAAATACGATATCGAGCTTGACGCTCAGTACGACGACATCTTGGGCCGTTTCCAGAAGAAGCCGTGGCACTCCTTCGTCACCGCCGAGAACCAGCGTTTCGTCAGCAACGAAGCGATTGACTTCTTGGACAAGTTGTTGCGATACGACCACCAGGTATGTTTGCCTGCAAATCTTGACAAGTACATGCTGTTGACATGCGAACAGGAACGTCTCACTGCCAAGGAGGCTCAGGCCCACCCCTACTTTAACCCCGTTCGGGACCCAGAGGTTTTCAAGCAGCACCTGGCCAGTCAGACCGCATCCGGTGTCAGCAGCAACTGAATCAAAAGCGTCAACCTGCCCTTTATGGGAAACCTAATCACGCCCATAAATAACACTCCGGATTCTTCCTCTCCATACAGGCTGCATGCACCAAGCACTACGCCGCTGATGGCCCGATCGGGACTTTATCCTGCATCTCCAAATGAGCCTAGGATCTAGACAACACCTACCTCTGTCCAGTGTGAATATGAACCTGATCGGCGGATGAAAAAAAATCGGAGCATGGCCTCTTACTTCATGTCTCACTACACAGAACGATTGCTCAGAATGACTTGTCAAGATCGGTACCTAGTCGCGGACAACGGCACAAATGTCACAACATATCAAGGCGTAAGACGTCAATACAGGCGAAGCGTAAGGAGGGATGGCAGTGTCAGGGAAGCAACAGGGAATTTGGCTTGCGCATGGATCCGGGCTTCACCATATGGATGGGGGACAGGCGTTTGCGAGGTTGAGGCCCCTTTGTCGATTCCAAGTGTCCTTACGGCTCATTGTCCATGACTTTGCATACGCGGGTTTTCACGATTTTTCTTTACAGAAGCTCTCTGGTATTCATCTGATGTAGCGACTAATGAGGAAGCACTCTATGCTTCCATGACCCCTTACTACCGGTTGCAGCTCTGCATATGTTGATGGCGCCGTGGTCTTTTTATCGCAATACCGCCGGGCTGGATCCTCCCATCACAGCGGTAACAAAGCTGCTTTGCTTCTCTCGTAGTAACTACTCATCATCTACAGGCATGTGAAGCAGAAATCCCTGTCGCACCGGAACCCCTCCTCGCCGCAACGGCGCAAGTTCCCGCCCGGCGTGCGGACGAGCGACCCCGACGGGCTGCCGAGGCGGGCCTTGGAGGGGGTAGCGAACGCCCACGCCGCCATGCGCTTCCGGTGTCTGGACGTGGTGGACGCGCCAGAATCCGCGCGGCCCCCGCTCGGTACGTTCTGCTGCACAGGCGTGGCGGTCTTTGCCTGTGGCCCGGCGGGGAGGGCGGGCGTGGAGGGGGAGCCTCTCCCGAGATCTCCCAACGACAATCGGTCCCCGCGGCCAGGAGTCTGGGTCTTGAAGAGGTCCGGAGTGAGTTTTCCGTCGTCTTCGTCATCCGAGAGGAGGGAGATTACGGATATCCTGGTGGACGAGCCCTTGGCCGCGCTGCGAGGTCGTCTCGAAGACGGCGTGTTGGGCTGCTTCGACTGCCGTTTCCTCCTGGGCGGCTTGGGTGCTGGCGAAGCCTGGCAGACGGCCGGTGACTCTGGGGCGTCCGCCACCTCGAAGCCGGCAGCCTGCGAGGCGAGAGCGGGAGTAGACCGGCTGGCGGCGGCCCCTTGGGTTTCGGGGGTCGTCTCGCGCTTGGGGCTGACCGAGGCGCGAGGCCAGACAGACCCGCCGGCATCCGCAGGGGAGAAGCAGGGATCTCCGTGTCTCTCGGGGGGCTGCTGGATCGGAGGATGAGGCCTCGCATGGGGGAGGTGGCGGTGTTTTCGAGGCGTCCCGAGTGGATTGCCGAGGACAGACGGCCTCGGCGGGGCATTGCGGAGAGGGCTCCTGTTGGAGGCGGCGCCTCTGCCAGGGGCGTGAGGATGGGAAGCTCGAAATCCATTGCTTCTGGCTCGGGATCGGTCTCGGCTGTGCTTGTTTCATCCATCTCGTCGAGGCCGAGGGGGACGATGAAGGGTTCGATAACCTCTTTGTTTTTCTCATGCAGGGTGTCTCCTGCTGGGCATTCCTCTTCGGTTTCGACCCCCTCCTGGGTAATATCCGTTCGAACTTCTTCCCGAGCATTGTGTATTGGTACGTCGCTTGTTTGAGCATCTTCTCGAATCTTTTCGAGCTGGCTTCCTTCCCAACCGCCCTCATAAGTATTCCCGTGGGCTTCCGTTTCTTGATATATCTCATCTAAAAGCTCCAAAATCTGCATATCCACATCTTCAGTCGATTGAGGATTCTCTGCGCCCGCCATGTTTATCTCGTTTGTGACATGCTGCTCAGTTATTTGGTGTTTGTCAAGTATATCTCTTGGAGACTGAGAAGTGGAGGCCGGTTGAACATCGGTAGCGGCCTGTGAGACCTCATGACGATGGAGGCCGGGATCGGCTGATTCGTTGGCAGTAGACGAAGGATTGCCATTTTCTGCTACTAATTCTGGCTGTGCTTCAGAATCCTGCCGATCCCCCGAGATGTCCGAAGGAAGCGTTTGTTCAGAGGGTCGAATGCCTGCCACGAAGACTTGTTTCGTAGATTCTTCTGTTACTGGAATAGCGGTGGGCACTTTCTGACTGCGACTTGTTCTTGCTCGCGTGATAGGGATACCGTCGTCATCATCGGAGAAGGCGTAAGCTGGGTCAATCTCGTGCCTGGTGAATTTCTCCTTTGGTGGCGCAGGTGTTTTCCCGGATGTTGCTTCAACTGACGCAGCCGCGTCAGGGACTGCTTCCACAAGCGCTCCTTGAGGAACTGGACTTTTCGAAACCGGCTCGGAGAGGGCCAAACCATTAAGATTCAGGGCTTCCACCGTGTCCTGTCGGGCCGAATTGAATATAACCATATCTTCGGAATCTTCAACTTCCGTAATCTCGTGTGCTGGAGGGCGTTTCGAGAAAATCTCAACGACGATGTGTTGTCTTGGCCTTTTTTGGACCTCTTCAGCCGTCACAATACCGCCCAAGCCCTGCGTAGAGTCCAGTCGAGCGGTGACATCGACAAGAGGTTCCTTACTTCCTTGGTCGGAGGACTCAGTCAGCTGAGCGGGCTTCCTGGATTTCTGGACCTTGGCAGGAACAAGCTGTTTCTTTGAGGTCAACTTTTCCCCCGCTGAGGACTTTCTTGGTTTACGACGGCTGGGTTTCTCGGCCGAAGAGTTTGGTAACGGGGGCTTCGTTTGTGTTTGACCCTTGGCCGCATCTTCTCCGCTCTTCTTCTTCTCCTCCTTCTTCTCCTCCTCCTTCTTCTTCTCCTCCTTCTTCTTCTTCTCCTTCTTCTTCTCGCTCCTGAATTCTCGGTCCGCGATTGAAACACCTAGGACATCATCCTCCTTGTCATCATCGGCAGTAAAAACGTGCAGAGTTTTCTTGGACGTCTGTCTTGCCATCCTCGAGGCTTCTTGTCTCGCACGAGCGAGTTGCGCCATATCGATACGAACAGGCTCGGACGCTGCCTTCTCCTGCTCGCTGTCTTGTCGCGATGCCCACACAGATTGTGATCCTGAATTGACAGGGAAGCGGTATCTTGCTCCACACAGTTTTGCGATTAAGTCGTCGTCCGATTTCTGAGGGTTGATCTCTGGAACCCTCCATGTCGGATCAACAGACTCCGGTTCACGCCCCCAAGGGTTTGCAGAGGAACTCGAGTTACCATTCGCTGATGGATGAGCTGAGCCGAGGTTGGACAGCCGCTGCTCAGATTCAGACCTGGAGGCTGGCAAAGTGCGTGAAAGGCTTGAGCAATGCTGCAAATCAACTTTTGCCTTTTGTGTGAGAGCTGTCGAAGAAGATGTTGCGTCTTTTTTGCGCAATATCCGTTCGTCTTCTTGGTCATCTTCGTCCTCCTCATCATCTTCGTCCTCATCGTCACCAGAGGCAAATGCTTCCTCCAACAGCATACCTTCGTCTTCTTCGTTTTCATCAGGAATCCCCGTATCTCGTTCATTCCGCATACTTGACAAATGGCCATTGTCCGTAATGATCTCACCGGTCCTCAGATCAATCTCGTCACCGATTCCTGTAAAGTCTCTTTCGTATTTTTGAAAGATGTGCTCGAACGTCGACTTTAGCTTGAAGGCTGCGAAAGCACGGGACTGCTCGAGTTGGTAGCCGGGGTCCCGCATCCGAGACACCTCATCGGGCTCGTAGTTGAGCTCATCATCTTCATCTTCTTTTGACTGCTGTTTCAATGGAGACGGGCCAGTCCTTGGTCTTTTCGCCAGAGGCTCCATGTCGTTTGCGAGATGGAGCAAGCCCTTCAAAGTATGTTGTTGAGACAACAGGGGTAGGCAAACCAATGATAGCGGACGGCGACATGGCAAGACGGAAGACGCGCCTCGACGGGAAGTTGAATGTTCGCGTGGGTCGAGTGGAAACGCACGGACCTAGTGGGGGGCTGCTGTTGTCAAAGGCACGCAGCACCCCGAAGGGACATGCATTGTGAGCCGCTAAAGATAGTAACCACTAACCAGATGGAAGCTTGTTATTCCACCACAATCGAAAGATGGCCGAAAGATGGTAGATGACCAAGTAACTGACCTGCTATGCCTGGTTTCCACTTGACTTGCAAAGAAAAGCGGAAGACGGTCATGACTATGCCAATACAACTTTGGTGTCACTTTCATGGGCCCTCTCCATGCAGCATCGGGGAAGACATTGACACTCCCTTGGGCAAGGACCAATTTACTGGGTTGATGACAACTGACAAGTTCCTAGGCCTCATGCACAGAAATTTGGGGGGGGGTTGATACAAGGTAAAGTACAAATACATGTATCGTATTGTATTGTATTTTTTATAGAATACATGTATATGCATATTGTGTCCTTAAGCCGCCCTCTGGTGGCCGCCTTACTAACGAACAATAAAGAGCCCATCGGGCAAGCAACCTTCCGTGCTGTGCGACAACTCGTAAGACGGATGCCTTCAAGTAGAGCGGATAGAGAGTAACAGGCTACCTAGAAAGAAATAAAAAAAAATGTGAAAAGATCGAAACTAAATGGACAAGTCGCAACAGCAGTCAAAACGCTCCTCCATCGGCCATCATTCTGACATACATGGTGACAATGACCCGACCCACGCCACAGGTGTGGCCCTAGCGACCACAGGACATGCGTCCCTTTCCTTACTAGGTGACATCACAAGACCTTCCACTCTACATCCATCAACACCTGCAACTCAAGGCTTGCAAGCATGCGCGCAACAGCGAAATGTATTGTCAAAAGTGTCGCACGCCACTCAAGCTGGACAGCTCCCTTGAGGACCTGAATCCAGCTGCGTACGATCTCCTCGTCGGTCAGCACAGCCCTCTCCCCTCCATCCGGGACAGGTACAGCGCAAGGTAGCTGACGAACGTAGCATCATCCTCACAACAACCGCCCAAGAAGACACCCTCTTCACGACCATACCATCCTCAAGACGGCCAAAGAAAGGTTCTCTACGACAGAGTATCCCAAAATGCGCCCTCTCCGACCTTTAAACGGCATGCCGGCGGTCCATCCAACTCGGCGCAACGAGATTCCACCATGTCCTTCATCTACCTCACAGAATCGCAAGTCGCCCAGCCCGTTCTCTCGCGACCCGAACCCTCTTCGGCGAATGCGAAGAATGCCAGTGACGCAAAGAGTGCATCCAAGGGTCAAGACGACCAACGCGCCGGCAGCAAAGCACACGAGATGGAGCGCATCAGCAAGCTTTTTGAGATCCTTTCCGCGCGATCCGATATCGATCATCCTATATGTGTCGAATGCACCGAAATGCTGGTAGAGGGCCTGCAAAAGAAGCTGGAAATTTCCTCAAGGGAGCGCGACGCCTATGTCGGGTTTCTGAAACAAGTACAGGGTGATCGGCCCAGCGAGGAGGACTTAAAAGCACAGAACGAGGCTTTAAAGAAGGCAAAGGAGGCCGAGGCCGCGGCCATGGCCGATCTTCTGCGTCTGGAAAAGGAGAAAGCGGCTGTGGATGCAGAAATCATCGCTCTCGAGGAGGAATCCCAGCAACTCGACCGCGAAGAAGAGCAGTTTTGGCGCGAGCGCAATGCCTTCGCCACGAAGCTTGCCGACTTCCAAAACGAGCGTGACAGCACCAACTCCAAGTTTGACAACGACGCACAACTTCTCGAGAAGCTCCAACGCTCCAACGTCTACAATGACACCTTCTGTATCAGCCATGACGGCACTTTTGCTACCATCAACGGGTTGAGACTGGGTCGGCTGTCCAACAAGCCAGTCGATTGGCCTGAGATCAACGCGGCATGGGGACATGCGCTTCTTCTGCTAGTCACCGTGGCGGACAAGCTAGGTTACAAGTTCGATGGGTTCGAGCCGCAGCCTATGGGAAGCACCTCGAAAATCATTCGATACGAGCTGGCGTCCCCCAGTGCTAGCCGTCTAGGATCGCACCGAAACGCGCCGCCGCCGGCCCCGAAGAAGCACGTCCTGGAGCTTTTCTCCAACGGAGATTTGCCCCTGGGTCTGACTTTCATGCACCGCAAGTTCGACAACGCCATGGTTGCGTTCCTTGAACTAGTGCGACAGCTTGGTGCTTTCGTACATAGGCAGACGGCAGCCAACGGCCATCCGCTCAGTCTTCCGTACAAGATCGAAGGCGACAAGATCATGGACGTGAGCATTAAGCTCGGTATTGCTCAGGATGACGGCTGGACGAAGGCGTGCAAGCTTACCCTGACGTGCTGCAAATTTTTGCTTGCGCATGCCAGTAACGTCAATACGATCGCAAGGGCTGCTAGTAATCAATAATCACCTGCAAATCCCTTGCATTTGGAATGGAGTTAAAGGGGTTCGGGGCCAAGGCGGCGCTCATATCAAGCGCCATGGAGGATTACAGGAGTTGGGGGGATCACATTTCAGGGCATGCATTCCGAGGGAGCAGGTAATGCTCTCCGTGCCCCTTGGGCCTGGGTAATTAGACAGCTTTCTTCGCAGGCTCGCAAATACATGGTTTGTTGTGTGTCACGGCCAATATAGCTTGCAGGGGCAAAGGATTTGTGCTGTCGCCGTCGGTCTACATTTCAGAGCACCGTCATCCGCCCATTCTCCTGAGCGGCAATGTCCGCCACGCCCGTTACGAATACCATTTTCAGGGTCTGGTAATGGTGGAGGGGATTGTCAGAATAGAATTCGGGCTTGGTACACTTGACAGATGCTAGGCTGGGCTCAGAAGAATCGGAGTCGGACCCAGGTTCTCCTTTGCTTGGAGTCCAGTCAGCATGGATGCCTATCGGCAGCTCACGAATTTTCAGGCAACAGGGCACATTCGAGCTCCAAGCGGGGCTGGTTGCCTGTTGTCTTACACCACAATAAGCCTCATGCAAGCCCAGTGCGACTTCATTCTCGGCCGCCAATCGTTCATTGTGAGGCAGCCATCGATGCCTCGATGCGGGGTGACTGCTCGCCCTATCTTCTGCTCCAATGATGATGCAAGTCTGTGTCTTGATCATTGGCCTACAGCCTGCTCTGCCGCTGCTGCTCGCTGATGGAATGAAGAGCCGCAACAAGTCGTTAGGCTTCAAAAGCACAGCTCCCCCTTCAGGAGCCTGACTGGGTTGCTTCCGTGTATCCTGTTCTTCTTTTATCTCAATCTTCATTCGAAGTGCTTCCTATCTTGAAAAAGGCGACACTCACGTTGACCATTATGGGCGGCCAGACTGACAAGGTGGGCTTGCTGAAAAGCATACAGCTTACGCCTGGACAGAAAGTAGTGTAATAATGCTAACAACATGTTGCAGATCGTCGACGACGATAATGCCTCTACAGCCAGCTTCGAGGAGGTTGGTTTCAGAGGCGTATCGAAAGACAATCAAGCCTTGGTTCTCAAAGAGAAATCCGAAAACAAGCCAACAGCAGACATCCTCTACGTGTTGCAGTACCTAGGTTTCGGTGGCAAAGTTCTTGACAGTAAGCCCTGATTCCGTCACATTTCTCAAGGACCCTTTTAACATGAACAGGCCAGGAGAGCGTTACTCCCTTCGAAGATATACCCGATTATGGAAAAGCCATCAATGAACCCCACAGCTCCAGCATCAAGTCAATCCTTGAGATTGTGACCAAGGTGTCGACCAATGTCAAGATGCCCCAACCTCCGAATAAGCGTGGCCACCGTCATAGCAATTATTTCGATTCGTCATCTTCGGAAAGCGAGGATGAGAGTGGCGTGAAACCCGCCAAGGTCATACGAACATACATGATCATTCATTCGGAATACCTCATCAATGCCCTCAAGGCAGTTGTGGCTTACTATCCCAATGTCAACTTGCTTGGAGACAAAGTCACCATCGAAGCCCCCTACCGCGTCATCGTACACCACCGCGAGGCTTTGAAAAGGTACCGCTACCACCAGCCTGGCACCCATTCCTCCGAGTACGCTCGCTTGACAGCGGAGCATGTGGATGTCCTCCTGGGATTTATCGAGCAGACGGTGGGGGATTCCATCCGCAAAGAGCAAGAGCGACACCAGCGGAGCGTCCCAGTGGCCACTTTCGACAACTACTGGATGGCTCTGAAGCCTGGCGAGGTCGTCTACGTCAAGAAGAACGATCTTTGGGAAGCGCACGTCCTTAGTAGGGTGTTTCAGGATGTCGCAACTGACGGGCGTAGCCGTCAGCTACAAGTCGATTCTTGGTTCCTAGAATTCGGGCATAATCGAATCATACGAACAATGGACGAAATGTTCATCCGTTCGTGGAACGGTGAGCAGGCCATACACTCGCTCAGCGTCATACCTGCGAGCTTGTTCCCAGGCGACCCTGAAGCCATGCTGGAGAAGCAGGTCAGGTTGGGAAAGTTTTACTGGGAACTTCTGCAGCGGCCGACGTACATGGAATACGACGGCTTGCTTGTGCAGGCCTACCCAGGAGTCCACGGGTGGCCTATATCTCGCGGACCCTCGGGCTATGTATGCTCTTCCTTCTTAGCGGCACCCTTTGTCTGGCACTTGGACTGACGAATCTCAGATGACTGGACGCGTGATCTGTGACGCTGAGGCATACGAGAGACTGAACATGCGTGCCCCAGAGAACCGACACGCTCCTCCGCCACCTCCATGCAGGCTGCCATACGGGGTGCCGCAAGCGTCCCCGCCGGGACGAGACCACCTGCCTCACTTCCTTCCACGCTGCGGCTGCGAGGAGTGTGATACTGAGACCGACCGTACAGACTTTTCGCCATTTGCCGAATTTGACAACATCAAACTCCAGGGCTCGCCGGCTCCTACCAATGATATCTTCTACATCGCGTGCAGCAAGGTCATTCCGGGATTTCTCCTCGGCGACCGACGCTGGGGGCATCTGAATCTCGAGTACCTGAAGCCCGTAGTCACCGACCGCGAGGCGTTCAAGTACCTCGTCCTCGACGAAGAGATCAAGATGACCGTCAAGGCGCTCATCGGAAAGTTCGCCGCGGCCGATTCCAGCAAGGTGTCCCCCTGGGCCAACGATTTCGTCAGGAACAAGGGCGAGGGTCGTATATTCCTCCTCCACGGCGCCCCTGGCGTCGGCAAGACGTGCACCGCCGAGTGCGTCGCCGAGCTGACCAACCGGCCGCTCATCTCCCTGACGTCGGGCGACCTCAGCGTCGACTCGGACAGCGTCGAGAACAACCTGTCCTACTTCCTCGAGCTGGGCCGGCGCTTCGGCGCCCTCGTCCTCCTCGACGAGGCCGACGTCTATCTCGAGCGCCGCCGCGCCAAGGACATTGCGCGCAACGGCCTCGTCTCCGTCTTCCTCCGCGCGCTCGAGTACTACCGCGGCGTGCTCTTCCTGACGACGAACCGCGTCCAGGCCTTCGACGCGGCCTTCACGTCGCGCATCCACGTCGCGCTGCACTACAAGAACCTGACGAACGTCGACCGCGAGCGCATCTGGGCCAACAACTTTGAGCGCCTGGACAGGGACTCGAGCGGGCGCGTGCGGGTCGCCGTCTCCACGAGGGAGTACGCCTACGACTCGCGCGACGTCCGCGCCCTGCGCTGGAACGGGCGCGAGATCCGGAACGCGCTGCAGACCGCGCTGGCCCTCGCCGAGAGCGATGCGGCCGACGAGGGGAACGAGCGCATCTGCATCACGGAGAAGCACCTGCGGGCCGTGGTCAAGATGAGCCGCGGCTTCAGGGACTATCTGCGCAGCGGCAACGTCTATGACGGGGATAGCGAGGAGGCTGGGGAGAGCGAGGGCGAGGACGAAGAGATTTTCTCTGACTAAGAGCTCCAGACGTTGGAGGTTCTGTCTATGACTGGGGGGCACTTTATTTGTTTTATTTTAGGCGTTTTCCCTACTTCTGGGTCACGAAGCGTATTATCAGATCGGTATCAGGGACATCGGATACTGAGCACCGCGTAGGCGGTCTCGACTTTACGTGTAACGCCACACATGACGATTTACGACTGGAAGACACCACTTTTATCACTTGTGTTTCAATTATGGCCATAGTAATAACCATCCGTGGCATGGAGCCTCTCCCAAACCTGTGTTGGGTGTATTGACTGAGCTGCGACTGTTTTAGGAAACCGTACTGACAGGGAAGGCACCGCCACTATTATGACAAGCACTCTTTGGGCTTTCCTGTGCAAAAAGGCTTTTACAAGCCGGGGGTGGGGTGAGGGGTAGTACAGGATCTGACCGTGGTCCTGAGAGTGACTACTGTAGACTGGCGTTGTCGATGATAGCTTGTGCTTGTGTCATCATAAAAGGCGCGATTTACGGCGAAGAAGGCACCCTCTGGGTTGGCTACCGCAAATCGAAGTAGCTGTCGGCCCCGTGGAGGGGTAGAGACATGATATAGGAGTCACGGGTTACGCGAGACCTGGCCGAAGTCGTCGATGCTGTCAAGGTCGTGGCTGGCAGCGTAAGGCATAAGACGACCCTGGTGGCTTTGTGCCTGGTGGAAGACTTGCTGCTGGCGATCCCTTGATACAAAACCTGGTCGCGATTCTAACTCGATTAAATATGTGTACTGTGTACCACCTCCGGCCCAATCTTGCCTTTCCCCTCGGGGAAGTATCGGTAGAAGGCATACCAGATTTCAGCGACGGCCTCCGTCTCACGGCCATCATTTTCATTGAACTTGCCAAGTCCGATAGGCAAGATGTGCGCAAGTTCTATGTGTCCAATACGTACGCCAGCGCGCTGCTGAACGAGACCATTCTCAGCACTATCGCTGTCGTAAGCGCGAGAAAACGCGCATCTGAAACCGTCTCGTTTGAGAATGTCTTGCTTGAGTGGACTTTTTCGATATCTGTTCAACGACCAGATAGTGGCATTTTCCCGATATAGGTCAAGTCCGCAGCTTCGGCGTCGGGCGACTCGTCAGAGATATCAGCGGCATGACTGCTGGGACCCGCAAGTTTCACTATTAATGAAAGGCTCGAGACCCAGTCACCAGGCATTTCCACCCTGCTTCCGACTCTCGACTGGCTCAGATAATCGATCCACACCAGGAGGTACCGATTCCCTTTAGTCGTGACTGGGAAGGGTCCCAAGTGATCGTTTCCGACAACCTGCATGGGCTCTGAGATGGTCATAGGAGCGTTTGGGGCTTCTGGCTTTGATGGTGGCACCCAGAAAACAGGGCAGATTCGACTTCAAGTACAAAGCAGCGTGGACATGCCGGGAAGCAGCCCACTACTTTGTGGAGGATGACAAGCTCTGGCATTCATGGCAGGGACACAAACAACTCTGCCTCCTTCCGCATCAAGTCCCTACGGTATTGAGAAAAGCACATGATGAGTTGGGTCCGGAAATTGATAGAGGTTAACACAACGTGAATTAAGGCGTAGTTCAGATAGGGGGGCTCCTTGAGCGATAACGATCACTCTGGTAGGCTCTTCTCCAGCTGGCAGGTTCTGAGGGCCTGTTTCCCAAGGATAGATTGAATAAGCTTGTTGTGAACCTTGATTATGTTAACAGACTTATGGGCTTGGGCTGGTGCGATGACAACAGAAACGCCCTTGTCTGCCATTTTGGACCTGAATCCTTCGGAGGCTAGAGGACCCGACCCGGAAGTGATCAACCGAATCCGTTGTCTTGAAAGATGTCCTGAAACTCCGTGAGGAGGTCCATGATCTTCTGTGTGTCTGGATCTCGCTTGCAGACAGTAATGCCCAATGGATGTTTAACGGAGTCGGATTCAGATACCAACGTAGGTTGCATCAAGTGTCGTTCTGGGCAGCGAATCGAGATGACCCTCAACATCCCGGTGTGGACATCCTTGGGACTGAAGATGGGAGCTGAATCGACGCGTCTATCACCGACGCCCTCAGAACCTGCCAGTTGGAGAAGAGCCCACCAGAGTGATCGTTATCGCTTAAGGAGCCCCCCTATCTGAACTACGTCTTAATTCACGTTGTGTTAACCTCTATCAATTTCAGGACCCGACTGGCCGACAGAACCGAGAGCGGAACTCAGAGCGAGTTGGTCGCCCCCTGTTTGTGGGAGCTGACAGCGCTACAAATCTGCATCAGCATCCTATTCCTCATCCCAACCCTCATGATTAGATAGAATCATTACCTAATCGGCTTGAGAATTGTGTCGTATAGGTAACGTGCGAACGAAGCGAGCTTTGGCTTGTCCGTGACGATGGTCTTGATGTCGGTCATCAAAGCCAATCTTCCGCGTTTCCGGAGCTGTGACTGAAATGTGCCGAGGACTAGACAGGTTTTGTCGCCGGCCTGTTAAGTTTTGGAATAACGATCCAAGATGTTTTCTGTGACTTCCACGGGATCGGAGTAAAGATCGGAGTAATTGTCTGCTGACAGCTCAGATGACAGGCCACTCTGGCTGAGTGGATGATCCTTAACGCTGTTCGGCACAGTAGACCACAGCCGCGGTGGTGGGGTATCCATGCCTGTATGTGGGTGTGGGAAGATATAGAACGATAATGTATATACGACGAAGGAGAAGGAGGAGGAGGACGGGGAGGAATGTGTTGCTGCCCGGCTGAGGGTGCCTGCTCTGAATGGGAAAGGAATGTACTTTGGGTCCGTCACCTTGAGGCAGGTGAGGCAATCGACAAAGGAGTCTGAGATGGATGTGAAAACAAAATTTCTTTGTTAGTAAAGGATGGACGGGTGCAGGAAAACACAGTCACAAGTGCACAAGATATAGCAGCCTGAAGAGTCATCCCCATGTTGCCACAGGTGCTAAGTCACGAGTTTGTCTGCAAAACCCCATGGTCCTGTGTTTCCATCTATCTAAAAGAAACCTAATCTTGTTTGCTTACCTTGAGTGCCTATGGTGTACCCGAGCGGCCTTGAGAAGGCCCGGAAAACACAACTCAGCTGAGGTGCAGAATATCCTTTGACAACGATACTGATTGCCCCTTGCCGCAAAAGTGCCACTCCTAATTACATCCAAACCAATCCTGGAGAATAGCCCCCCGGGACGCCGCATTTCTCAGATAGTACGGGAACAAGTATAGTTATTTGCCTTGAGGACGGGGTGACTAAGGTGGTTTGTATCCTAAGCAGCACCGAGCACGGGTGACGTAGGTACTGCCAATTACTATTCCTATGCGAGTGCATCCGTGGTTCGCGGCGTTCCTAGAAATAAGACCTAAGCTACCCATGGCAGGTTCATTCTCGCCAACGAGCGCTCTTGTGCCGTGGGATTTTGGGAAATCTCTCCACGATAGGCCTGACGCCATGTCATCACGAGTGACAACCCTCAGCTTCATCCAATAGTTGGGTGGGAGGGAAAGGGGCCAAACGATTGATCTCTCAAGGTTGGTTTTTCTTTTGTATTCACTAAAAACAGGTTTGCGGGACCATTTGCTCCGAGCAAAAGTCCGACTTTTTATACCACTCTTTGTCTAAATATCTTTTGCGTTTTTGAAAAGACTCGGGGGGAGGAAATAACAAGGGAATCGCGCCGACAAGGATACAATGAACCAGAAAACAACAACACACAATACAACACAGACACGCGCGATATATATCCTTTTTTTGTTTTTTGCGCGCCTCCAACCCGGGCACGGCGTCATCCCCCCAATCCTCTCTCTCAACCAAAGATGATGTTCTTCAGCTTCTCCTTCTCGCCGCTCTCCTCGCACATGCCCCTGAAGACGCTGTCGTCCTTCTCCCACAGCTCCCTGGGGCTGCCGTACTCGGCGACGGCGCCGTCGCTCAGCACCAGGATGCGGTCAAAGTCGGCGATGGTGCTCAGGCGGTGGGCGATGACGATGAGCGTCGAGTCGTTGAACTCCTCGCGGATGGAGCGCTGGATCAGCGCGTCCGTCGTCATGTCGACGGCCGACGTCGCCTCGTCGAGCACCATGACCTTGGGCCGGGACACGATGGCGCGCGCGAGGCAGAGCAGCTGGCGCTGGCCCTGCGAGAGGTTGCCGCCGCCCTCGGCGATGGGGGAGTTGAGGTTGCGGAACACGTTGGTGTTCTTCTGCGACGCGTCGATGGAGGGCGCCGCGCTGGGGCCGGCGTCGTCGCCGTCGGCGGCAGCGTCGGAGCGCGCGTTGCGCGGTGTCGGCGGGTTCGAGTCGACCAGGTGCACGCGCTGCAGGGAGTCGCGGAGGTCGTCGTCGGTCTGGTTGTCAAAGGGGTCGAGGTTGGAGCGCACGGTGCCGGAGAAGAGGACGGGGTCCTGCGGGATGATGGCGAGGCGGGAGCGCAGCTCGTGGAGCTTGACCTTGGAGATGTCGAGGCCGTCGACGTGGATGCTGCCGGAGCGCGCCTCGAGGAAGCGGAAGAGGGCGAGGGTGAGCGAGGACTTGCCGGCGCCCGTGCGGCCGATGACGCCGATGCGCTCGTTGCGGTTGACGCTGAACGTCAGGCCCTTGAGGACGGGGGCGAGATCGTCGGCGTAGCTGACGACGAGGTCCTTGACCTCGAGGCGGCCCTCGGTGGGCCACGTCGCGGGGGGGTCGATGCCGCCCTGGTCCTCGGTCTTGAGGTTCGAGTACTCGACGACGCGCTCGGCGGCGTTCATGTCGAGCTCGATGTTGGCGTAGTGGCGGATGGACCAGACGATGGCCTGCGAGAACTCGAGCGCGAAGGAGAGGGTGAAGCCGGCGAGGGCGGCGTCCATGGAGGTGGTGCCGAGCACGACGAAACCGACGGCGGTGGAGAAGAAGGCGCCGATGACGGACATGCGCCAGCCCATCCAGCGGTTGAACAGCCACAGGTGCCAGGTGGCCATGCCGTAGTCGTCGAGGCTGGCGTACATGGCGTCGATGTAGACCTGGGCCTTGTCGGCGCCGCGGATGGTCATCATGCCGACGAGCGTGGAGCCGAAAAGGTCGAAGAGGGGCGACTTGGTCGTGCTCTCGAGGCGCTTGGCCGGCCTGGCGCCGGCGAGGTAGCGCGAGGCGATCCAGACGGCGATGAGCAGCAGGACGCAGGCCAGCGGGATGATGACCGGGGAGACGTAGAAGGCGGTGATGCAGATGCCGAGGACGCTGAGGATGGCGCCGAAGACGCCCGAGAGGTCCATGCCGAGGCGGTTGTCGATGACGTTGAAGTCGGCGGTGAAGCGGTTGAGGACGCGGCCGGTGGGGACCGTGTCGAGCCAGCGGAGCGGGGTGCGGAGGACGGTGCTGGTGATGCCCTCGAACATGCTGCGGCTGGCCTTGTAGCTCATGACGAAGAAGTAGAAGAAGCGACCGGTGCCGAGCACGGCGGAGAAGGCCGAGATGCCGACGTAGACGCCCAGGTAGAAGAGGGTGTCCTTGTCCATGGTGACGCTGACGGTGCCGGACGGCGGCGGCACGTGGAGTTCGCTGTGCTGGAGCGTGAGGGCGTAGGCGTATTGGTGCTGGGGTTCGTGGTGAAAAGAGGAGGCGCTGACGGACTGCCCGGATTCGCCAGTCCAGATGCGAAGCCACCATGATCGTCCTGTTGCGAGTGCGTCAGTATAAGATGAACGGATTATTTTCAATGGGGCGTTGTGACGAGACACTTACCGATGACGACAAACTGGTAGATGACGAAGAGTCCGAAACCACACAGCCACCAGGGCCAGCCACCGCTCTGGTTCAGGTACGCGGCGTAGACGTGCTTCTTGATGGAACCCTTTTCGCGGGCCTCGTCCTCGACGAACTGACGCGCAGCCTTTGACGGGACCTTCTTCAGGACGCCGCCGTCTCCGTTGAGCTCGGCGATCTCGGCAGGCTCGATGGCGGATGCCTCCTCCGAGTTGACGGCGGTGCCCTCCTCGTCTTCCATCTCCTGGGAGGACTGCTCGTGGCTCTTGATCAGTTGCAGCGTCCCGTCCTCGTTGAGCTCGGACAGGAAGCCAGAGTGCTGGACGGTGCCGTCGCCGAGCTCGACGAGGAACTTGGTCTTGGGCTCGCAGAGCGCGACGTGGTGGGTGACGAGGATGCGGGTTCTGCCCTGGCAGAGCTCGCCGGTGAGGCACTTCTCGTAGATGTGGCGGCCGACGTGGGCGTCGACGGCGCTGAAAATATCGTCGAGGACGAGGATGCCGGCGCGCGAGTAGATGGCCCTGGCGAGGGTGAGACGCCACTTCTGGCCGCCGCTGAGGTTGATGCCGTTGGCTCCCAGCTCGGTCTTGTCGCCGTCCGTGAGCATCTCCAAGTCCTTCTTCAGAGCGCAGACCTCGATGGTTTTGTTGTAGCGCTCCTCGTCCAGGGGGAGACCGAAGAGGATGTTGTTCTTCAAGGTGGAGTTCTCGATCCAGGGGATCTGGCCGACGAAGAAGATGCTGCTGGGGATGATCCAGTTGCCGGGGTTGGCCTTGTCGTCGTTTCGCTCGTGCCTCGCGGGGGGCTTGGGCGCGTAGATGGTGCCGGAGAGGAGATCGGACTCTCCGAGGATGGCTGCCAGCATCAAACTCTTACCGGTGCCGGTCTTGCCGGAAATGACGGACAGCTCGCCGGCGGGGAAGGTGAGGTTGACGTCGCGCAGGATGAACCTGTCCTCGTCCTTGGTCTCCTCGTCGACGGGCCAGGCGATGGTGGCGTTCTCGAAAGCGACTTCGGGGCCCTCCGTGACGGTCTGAGTCTTCTCGGGCCCGTTCAGGTAGTCCTGAATTCTCTTGACGGAGATGTTGGCGTCGATGACGTCGGTGATGAGCTCGGGGATGACAGCGAGGGTGACCTCGAGGTTCTTGAAGACGCCTATGCTGACGAAAGCGACGGAGGGGATCAAGGTGCCGTTGAGGAAGGCATAGACGGCAAGGGAGACGGCGGCCAAGGCGATGGGGCTGGTGATCCACATGCCGAAGAGCACAGTGTCGCCCTTGAAGACCTGCCAGAGCGCACCGAGCTCCTTCTCGCGCACGTCGAGGATGCGCTTCTCCCATTGGGGCTCGAGCGCGGAGAACTTGATCTGGCGCATACCCACGAGAGCCTCGTTGACGACGGCGAGCTTCTGGTCACGGATCTTCATCAGCTTGTCCTGCGCCTTGGAGTAGACCTTTGCGTAGGTGAAGTTGATGGGGAGGAGAATGGCCCAGGCGAAGAGTCCAGCACAGAGGGGACCCCAGCCGAGCAGGTAGACGAGGAACCAGACGGCAACAATCAGCTTGGCGCTGCTGGAGGGGAAAAGGAACTGGAAGCCGGAGAAGTCGGAGATGCGCTTGGCGTCAACGCCGATCAGATTGATGATGGCCTGCTTTGACTTGAGGACGTTGTCTTCCTCGGGCTCTTCGTCGTCGTCCTTCTTGGACTTGTCGCCGTCCTTCTTGCTGGCCTCGTCCTCGGCGGGTTCGGATTCCTGCTTGGAGGCCGCCTTGACGTTCTTCCTCCGCATGGACTTCTCGAAGACGAGGGCGGACAGGGTGCCGCGGAGGGGGATGCACAGGTCGGCCCAAGACAGCCAGAACATGGTGGCCTCGGCCCAGGCGTCGGCCAAGATGGCGAGGCCGAGCCAGAAGACCAGGATCCAGATATCCATGGGGACATCTTCGCCATGCTGTTTACGCTGGAGGGCCTCAAGAATCTGCAAAGTGATCCACGACGGGGCGAAGCTCAAAAACGCCTTGGAGATGGCGATGGACCACTGGATGAAGAGAGGCACACGGTAGGCCCAGATAATGGACCACCAAAGGTTCGAGTCGGAGTCGAAGTTGTACGCCTTCCATGCCGCAGCCGAGTCCTCCGACCTGGTCAAGTGGTCGGGCTTGGGGAGGTCGGACGCATCGAGATCCTTCTTCTTGGTAGCTAGGTCGATGATCTCGGCACCCCAGCCCCAGGTAAAACGGGAGTAAGCTGGCACTGTCCTGATGCGGTCCACAACTTTGCCGTTATAGTAGACGTCCGGCCTCCTGGGCAGAGCAACGCCCGTCACGACAATACCGACGGTCAGGACTAGGCTTGCGACTTTGAGGCCGAAAGAGACGGGGTTGTCCTCCAAGAGGTGGTCAAGAACGACCGTGTCCTGCAGGACCTGGACGGCGGCGAAGACGAGGCCAGAAAACCACAGCCACAGGCCAAGGTTGTAGGCGTGGACGGAGTCATTGGTCGCGACGATGCCCACGGCCTGAAGAGCTAAGAGGGCCTGTTTCGAGTCAGCATTTGAGCGCCAAAAGACGGAGGTGGTTGGGGGATGGGGGGTCAGTAACATGCCCATATACCGGCTGCAAGCCAATCCGCGATAAACAAACTGTCAAACTTGCCGGTGTGAGACGAGGATATCGACACGATGGAGTTGGCTAACGACACGGCCAGGCCTAGCAAGGCAAACAGGAAGATGAAGGTCTTGGGCCAGCGGTTGGAGAAGGCAGCCGAAGACTCGGCGGTGCTCTTTCCGTCCACATCCTCGTAGAAGTGGTCCTTGGGCCTGCGGGTTCGGAACTGCTTGACGAGGCCTACAAGGGCTGGAACCGAGGTGAGAGCGACGACGCCCAGGGCAGCTCCGACCTCGATCAGCATGGTTGGTTCATTTTGCATGATGGAGCTCGATAATTGGCAGCAGCCCGTGGCGTTTTTTCCTTTTCTTTTTTCTTTTTCTCGGGGTCGAGTTGAAGAATTGAGGGAAGGGGGGCCGCGATTGGGCGAGTAAGACTTTTGCTCCTTCTTTTCTCGAGTCCTTCCGAAGGTGGCGGTTGACAACGGCTTTTGAGCGCGACGGGGCAAAAAAAGCGAGAGCTGGTCAGGGCCCACAAGGATGGTTGGTAAGCTGATTCCGCCGTTTAAGGCCAAGGGCCAAATCGGTAAAGTGTGTCGGGCTTCTCGGGATCCCAGACCGGACCAGGAAGCTCGAGTAAGGGCACTCCCCGCTAGACGGCAAGCCGAGAGGGTGTTGGCGTTGGTCACGACTCTGTCAGATTTATCGGACGGCGGGACGGGTTGAGACGCGCGGAATGCTTGCGCTGTTCTCGGCTTCACCGTCCAGGAGAAAGAGAGAGAGTGTGTGTGTATGTGAGTGAGAGAGAAAGAGAAAAGTCAGGCCTCGAATTGAGGTTTACTGGTCGTTTAGAAAAGGTCTTTGGAAATACAGGGTTTCGGAGGACGACAAGCGGCGCCGAAACGGAGCCGGTGGAGGTGGGCGTCCGTCTCAAAGTTTCGTTTCGTAACGTCGATCGTTTTTTCGCGCGTGCTGCCGTATTCATTCGTAAAGGCAAAAATGGAGCGGGTGCGGCAGACGCTCGGTGCTTTCGGGACACGGGCGCGCGGGTACGGATGCGGCAGCCAGGAATTGAGACAGGCAAATACGGAACGGAAGGGAGGGAGGGGAAGGGGGCTGAGAGAGAGAGAGAGAGAGAGAGAGCGGCAAACAGGCGAGCCAAGACAATGGCCGGGGAAGCCTCAGGATTTAATAGAAGAAGGAAGGCAGACAAGGGAGCCAGGCAGACAGCCAATACGTTGACTTTTTCATAGGTACCTACCTAACTTCGTAGTCAAGATAAAGAAAGGTAAAAGGTATGTATTGTTCACTTAGTCCTCCCGCAAAGCTTAGCTTAGCAGCGCTACCGCCTAAAGCGACTGAGGTATAGCGGATAGAGAGAAACCTTGAGCCGCGTCGCAACTGCGGAATGACTGAGACGGCCATTGGCTAATAGTCAGCGGCATGTGGATGGTTTGCAGAGAGAGAGAGAGAGAGAGACCCCATCCATCCCCTTCACCCATGCTCGTTGCTGCTCCCACGCCATGCCGCTTTTCGCTCACCGGGATTAACTATCTGCATATGGATTTGGATCCCCCCCCCCCCCCCCCCCACACCGTCTCCACGCCATCTCGTTGCGTTCCTCCAGCCTTCCTTGGTCTTGTCCATCAAAACCATGCAGCTCAAAGCAGCGGTTTGAGCTCTCGCCATCCATCGCCCCGGGTCGCCGACCTGCATTGCGTTGCCGCGCCTGTGCAGATGACCCAGCGCTGGCAACTCGGACCTGTGACTCCTCGGGTTTATAAGAACACCAGGCAGCCAATGCAACGTCGCCGATGATGACATGTTCCAACATCTCAACAGCCATGGCTGGATTTGTTGCTGACCGAGCCAGTCGACCTAGCTTTCTCTCTCTCTCTCTTTCTCTATGTGCGAGATACGGCACCACACGGCACTACACGACTCGAGTCGACGTATCTGGAATCCGTTCGTGGCCACACCGTTGCCAGCCTCTCTGGTTTCAAGGACATAACGAAGCAGCCCACGGCCGGGCGACGATGATTGGCCGAAATTTCAATTGGTCATTTGTGGCTGACCGGTTGAGTCACCGACGGATTAGGGAAAAAAAGCGTACTAAAAAAAATGGGCAAGATAAAGATACCAAAAGAAAGAGAAGAAAAAAAAAACCCCCAAGCGATACCACATGGAGGGTGTCGAGCGGGTTTCCACTTGGCAGAAGTTCCTCACTAGACCCCTGAAGTGTATGATACAGCTAGGATGGTGGGGTGTGAGTGTGTTTGTGGGAGAGCGAGATTGTTTGATGAGTGGATGGATGGATGGGGGAGAGGAGACCTCCGCCTCGCGTCTCGAAGAGGGGCCTTGTTAGCGCTCCACCCCACATGCAGTCATCCTGCACTAACATGACCTAGTGCGCGTCCCCAAGCCGGCGTGCTGGGTGACGTGCTGCCATGAACCCCGTGTCCTGCCATCAACTCGATCCTCGTGAACTGAGTTAGCTGCAGCATGCGTTGGCCTCGTTGGCCTCATTGACCTCGCGGGCTTTGGCTTGTGTTGTGACTTCAAGGGGTGGCGGGCGACGCAACTACTATGTAGTACCTAGACCTGAGTTTGAGGTCAATTTGCAAAGCACAGAACTCCTGCGCCGGAGGAAAGGGGGGGAGGCGGGCGGGACCTGACGACGAGACGAGACGAGACCCGGAGACGTCGTCCCCGCCGCGCTGCCGGGCTATCCGGCCGGCTCGTTGGAGCTGAGCCGAGGAAAGACTCATAGACGTGCATAGTTGCTGTACCGTACAATGTACGGAGTAAGGTAGGTAGATATGCTGGACTGCGGATACTTGTGATTGGGACACAGTCATAGGCTAAATCGGGAAGGAGAGGAGAATGCGCGGGCTGTGTGTGTGGAAGGCTCTACTCTGCAATTTGCGCGAACCGGGGAACGGTGGGCTATGCCGCAGGTGCACAACTGGAAGGGGCGGTCAGACTAACACACCGTGAGAGGAAAAGCCGCCGGCAAACCCCTTGGGCCTGGGCTCGGCTCGCTACTACGCTGTGCCCCCCCCCCCCCCCCCGCCTGTTGCTGACGCTCTGCAGGGCGCGGTCGCGGTATCCTTCTTGGCGGCCCGCGTAGGCTTTTTTTCTTTCTTTTTTTCTTTCTTCCCTCTCTCATCTCGATTTCGACGTTCCCTGCCTCTTTTCCGTTCCTTGTGTTTTGAGAGAGGGAGATAGAGAGAAAGAGAGTTTCAGCCACTATCTTGCTATCAACATCAGCAGGGGGCCTTTGATACGGGGTGGCGAACATCCAAGTTCCTCCTTCTCATGCTCCTTACCACACATACTGTCCATAGTTCCTAGATAGGAAAGCTTACCCTCGAACACCACACCTGCCGCGAAGGACTGCAGCTTTTTAGGCAGCTGCTGACACACCATCCTTCTTTAGTGCATCTGATACCTGATACTGATGCAACTACCTACCTACCTGGATAATTAGGTACTCGCTCATTGACTCATTCCGTTCATGTTTGGCCTCTCTTTTGCTGCGTTGACAACCGTCGAATGGGACCGCAGCAACAATAGGCCGCAAGTGAGGCCGCACAAGTACCGTGCCGCAGAACACCACCCGGCAAAACACTGACACCATCTCGCTGCGGTTGGAGATCACGCCCGTCACATCGACTGCGGCCGCTTCACGACATCTTGATTCCGGAGCTGATGTCGCCTTTTTGGGCGCTCCTGGGCATGTGTGGGCGGGTGGGCGGCCACTCGAAAGAGGCGCACACAAAACACGGCGTCCATGTTTCGAAACGAACATTTGGCCGACACAAGACGGGACACTGCTCCAGTTGGTTGCCCATATTGCGCTGCCGGAATTAGCGCGCGTCACGTTGCCAGCAAGGTATGGACGACAGCCGAGGGGCGTCACTCGACGTCGAGCTTGGGCCGGCAGTTGCGTCTAGGCACGCGCTAGCGCGCTAGGCGGTCGAACGGTAATTCCTCTTAGACACTTTTTTTTCTTCTTTCGAGGTTTCCCGAATGGCAAACTGAAGAAGCGGGCAGATCGGACGCCCGACGCGGTGTAACGGTTCGTGGGGCGGCCTGATGAGGCTCCTCGGCCGTCTGCGATTGGGCGGTTGGTTTCGAGACCTGCCGCGCTGTGCCGCGTTGCTCACCGCCAGCGTCTTGCAGGTTGCGTGTACTCTGTATATCGAGACAATCCGGCGCGCGGATGAGTCAAAAACAGTAAGCAAGACACCGGGGAGGTGGCGGCTGCGGGGAGGAAGGTTAGAGTCATCAAGATGGATGTGGAGGGGGCGGTGCTTCGTTTCGACCCGGCCGAAGGGCAGACAATCGAACAGTCCATTTTCTGGCCCTGATCGGGGCGGAGCGGATAGCCGTGCTCGGCATGCATCGTAGATGGGCGCGGACGATCGAAGACGGGCGAGGTCCCGATGCTATGTATTCTCCACCGAGGTTCGCAGGACTTTCTCGGATCGGGGAGGCTTTCGTCAGCGCATCGGGACCCAAAGCTTGGTTTGGTAGGCAGGATAGGCCAATGGCCAGCATCGGCCCAGACCGGGCCGCCGTTCGACTGAGTTTTGCACATGAGCTAAAATACTAGCACCGACACACACGGTCCAGCGACACTGCAGTTTGGCGTGATGGCCGGGGAAGTGTTTTTTCTTTTATTTCTTCCAGATATGCACACAGCCATTGCACACCGATTTCGGGCTCTTGCTACACTGTGGACATGATCAATGAGGCTCTTGTGTGTTTTGCTCAAACAGCTGGAGTTGCCGGATGGGTGGGAGGGCCAAGGGATGCGCACGAACAGCCGGGGCCAGAAAGGGTGGAGAGGCCAGTGGAGTCTTCCATCAGGCAATTTGCATCACACATGCGCTCATTGGCGGAGCGCGTCAGCCCTGTAGCGACCACCAGTCAACTCACTCACTCACTAGACAGTCTGCCAGATGCTTGAGAGTTCGTGTCGAGTAAGATGAGACTGGCTGGCCGCCCCCCCTGACCGCTTCAGCGATGGAAGAGGAATGCAGGGTAGGGTTGTCGTTTGGACCAAAGGCTGAGCCTCGTCGGCCCAAAGGGAGAGACATCAGATATCACGCTGCAAGGGCGCAAGGAGAGGCTGGATGAGACGAGGTCAACGCCGGTAGCTTACCGGGGGGTATAGGCGTTTAAACTTTTCCAAGCCCAGCAACAAGGTAGGTCATGGTGGATGAAGGACCGCCGACTCCCGTCAACGGGCGGCGGGTAAGGCGGGGACGCCGGCCGCATTCCTTGCTCGCGGCATCATGTTGATGAAGAAAAAGGAGAGGGACCGGGGCTTCGGCCAAGTTTCGGCTGAAATGAGTACCGGGAAAGAGAAGGATGGATCAAGAAGAAGAAGAAGAATAAAAATGAAATTGGCAACAGAGTAGAACGAGACAGAAGGCGAGGCACGGGTAAATGAAACGAGAGTAGCAACAACAGCAAAGCAATAGTAATACTCCGTAGTGTTGATGATTATAATAAAAAGGCTGGTTCCAGCACCATGAGAGAGAGGGCCGGTTTTGCTTTGGGAAAACAGCTGCGGCAGCCAACCAAACCAAGGTTTCACGGCCCCAAAGTCTGTGTGTGGGCTTTTTTTGGCCAGTCTCGCGACAGAGCTCTCCGATTGGCCACCACCACCACCACCCGTCGGAAACGGCCTGCGACCGGCTGCTTCCCTGTGCACCTTTTCCTCACCGGGTCAGCTAACCTACATAGGTACCTGCCTACATAGGGAGTAGTATCTTACCTTACCTAGGTAAGGTATCCGTACCTAAGGTAGGTAAGTAGGTGATATGTACGAACACACACATACGACGCACACCATACACGTATAACACTGGTGCCGATGCTGGGCGCTGCGCTGCAGCTGCAACAAGGCCTCCCTCTCCGATCCAACATCTCATCTCGCCTTACACCCCCCACCTGCGGGTGATGAATCCACAGGCAGATCACAGTCACGTCGTGCAGCGCGTCCATTGCTTTGCTTTGCTTTGCTTGCTTTGCTTTGCTTTGCTTTACTTTGCTTTGTTTTGCTTTGCTTTGCTTTGCTTTGCTCGCTTGCTCGCTTGCTTGCTTCTTACTTGCTTAGCTTAGCTTACCTTACTTTGCTGTTTCTTGTTGCGTTGAAGGCCCGTCCCCCCCGTCCGAGCTTCCTTGCAAACCGTCCGCCGGGAGACACTGGGCCAGCCAAACCATCCCCCCCCCCCCCCCCCCCCAAAACTCCGCAACCCTGCCCTGCTCGCTCAGGAACGACCTTTCATCCATTATTAGGCCCCTCGTGACAATTCCTTGCCAAGTCCAATTGTTCATCTTCCCAATTTTCCCTTTCTTCTCTCATTGTTTCCGGGGACAATTCCACACCTCTTCCCCCTTCGCTTGTCGTTACGTACGTTGGGGTACCTATACTAAACACTCGTACGCACACACCATTCCCACCAATCTAACCACCAGCACCAGCACCTGAACCACACCCGCATAAACACCCGCACACACACATCCTCCATTACCTTGGCCCTCTGGCAGCTGCGCAAGCCGTCGACCAACTGCGCTGCTTGCTGCAAGAGCTGCGGGCCACAACACCGACCCCAATCTTTCGAGCTTCCTCTTACCGAGCTTCGTAGTAACGCTCAACCTCCCCCTCGGCTTCAGCCTTGCTTGGCCTTAGCCTGCCGGCCCCCTCATCAATATCAGCTCGCCGCGAATCCCGCACGAAGCTGCCGAGCTTTGCCATTCGAAACCACGATTGGAATCAATCCTCCCCCCAATAAGCTCTTCCTCCCTACCCTTGACGGCGCCGCCGCCTCCCGCCCTACGAACCTCCGTCGTGTGAGCCGACGACGAACCCTCTCCGACTCTTCGAGCTCCCCACGATCCCGCACATGTCTCGAAACGGTCGCACCCTCACGCAGTCACGATGAAGAGCACGCCGCTTATCATCAATTGGCACGACCAGAATGCCCCCGTCTACTCGGCCCATTTCGAGCCCCACGGCAAAGGCCGTCTGGCCACCGCTGGAGGAGACAACAACGTGAGAGTACGTCCAAACCCTGAACCGCCGACCCTGCCTGCAACCTCTTGACGCGGCTGCCCTGGCCTGGCGAGGCTGACACCCCCGACCCAGCTCTGGAAGGTCGACAGCGACGGCGAAGATCGAAAGGTTGAGTACCTGTCCACCCTGACCAAACACTCGCAAGCAGTCAACGTCGTCCGCTGGGCCCCCAAAGGTACCCCCCCCCCCCCTTCCAGCTTGTCTCCTGTCGCGCCCGCTGACCGTTTCCCTCTCCTCCAGGCGAGATCCTTGCTTCCGCAGGCGACGATGGTAATGTCATCATCTGGGTCATGTCCGAGCACACCGGCCCCGCCTTCGGCAACGAAGGTCTTGAGGATAAGGAGACCTGGCGCACCAAGCACATGTGTCGGTCTAGCGGGTCCGAGATATACGACCTGGCCTGGTCTCCCGATAGCTCCTACTTCATCATCGGGAGCATGGACAACATTGCTCGAATCTACAGTGCCAGCTCCGGTACGTCTCCTAGGCGAACCCGCCCTTGCCGCCTTCATCCGCTGACCTATCCAGGTACTCTGGTACGCCAGATCGCTGAGCATAGCCACTACGTCCAGGGAGTCGCGTGGGATCCTCTGAACGAGTACATCGCTACCCAGTCGTCCGACCGATCCGTGCACATATACTCTCTCAAGACCAAGGATGGCCAGAACACCCTCAGCGGCAACCACGATGACAAGCCCTCCAAGATCGCGAGCCACAGCAAGAGTGACCTGCCACCCCGCCGCATATCCTCGAACAGCCCTGCGCCTCCAGACTTCAACATGCGGGCCCACCTCACCCTGGAACAGGCCATAGGGTCCCCCGTGCCGTCCGCCCCCGGCACCCCGACTTTGGTTGCGCTGCCGATGAACCCGCCGAGCGTCATCAGCCATAGTAGGCGGTCCTCGTTCTCGTCACGACGCTCGCCATCCCCCGCACCATCGATGCCTCTGCCGGCCGTCATGCCGATGGAGCCTTCGCCGAAGCCTCACCCATCGGGCGGTCTCGGCATGAAAAACTCGACCCTGTACGCAAACGAGACGCTGTCTTCCTTCTTTCGGCGTCTCACTTTCACGCCCGATGGCAGTCTTCTTCTCACCCCGGCCGGCCAGTACCAAACCCAGCACAACTCGGAGGGCAGCGCGAAGCCAACCTTTGAGGTGACGAATACTGTCTACATCTACACGAGAGGCGGCATTAACAAGGCGCCCATTGCGCACCTGCCCGGCCACAAGAAGCCATCCGTCGTCGTGAAATGCTCGCCCATTTTCTACACCTTGCGGACGTCGCCCCCCGTGACCAAACACATCACCATCGACACATCTTCTTCCGAGGACCCTATACCCGCCCTGCCGGATCCTGTCTCGAAGCCGACGGGAAACATATCGGTCATGGACCCGCCTCCTCCGCCTACTTCAGTCCCCGAGTCGAGCCCTGTCCCGAACAAGGCCGAGCCGAGCGTCGCTACTCCTGGCCCAAAGGCGGCCTTCGCCTTGCCGTACAGAATGATATATGCAGTCGCGACCCAAGACTCCGTCCTTCTCTACGATTCTCAGCAGCAAACGCCCATTTGTATCGTCAGCAACCTCCACTGTGCCACATTCACGGACCTGGCCTGGTAAGTCGTGCTTCGCGTACCGAGTTGATTGTTGTTTCCTAACATTGTGCTCAGGTCGAGCGACGGACTGACGCTCCTGGTCTCGTCCTCGGACGGTTTCTGCTCAACCCTGTCTTTCGCGCCTGGCGAGCTGGGCCAGGTCTATCAAGGAGACTTGCCCACCACCAAGAGCCCGGCCGTGCCCAGCAGCGCAGCAGCACCGACGTCGTCATCGAACCAGAACACCCCGATTCCCACCCCGAGTGCGGTGTTCGCTCCTCCGTCCCCGTTCCACAATGGCGGGACGCATCATCACCGCAATTCGATGAGCTCTTTTACCGCCCCGTCGCCGCCGCCTGCCGGCTTCGTCAGCCAGCGGCCCCAGTCGCCGGCGCGATCAAACTCGACCTCGTCCGTGGCGACACAGTCATCGAACGTGGTCACCAACCCCCCCCTGATTGTCGGTAGCGTGCCCGGCATCGCGGTCGCCAACTCTACCAAGGTCACGGGGGTTCCCATCACCACGCCGCCCGAGACGCCGCGCACCAACGCCGCGGCCACCACAGCAAGCGGCTCGACGAGCGGTACGGCCAGCGGCACAGCAGCCAGCGGGATCAAGCGCGATGCCAGCGAAGGGGAGAAGGAGGAGGGCAGCGAGCCCAAGAAGAGACGGATCGCACCAACGCTGGTGGAACCGAAGCCGTAGCCGTAGACGGCGTCACAAGGTGCATGAGTGTTCGAATCCTGTCGTGTACAATGAGTCATGGAGAAAAAGCGTTGCTTGGTCGAAGAAACATGAAACATGGGTTTGAATGCCGCGCGAAGGCAAATGGAAGACGAGCCTATGTTGGGACCGAGGTGACGGACGAATTTGCTTTGCATGAGTACGGCGTTTGGTACAACAAGGACTTTGTAGCGATATTGTCTCTAGTCTGACTGGAATGAATTGCCCCATTTATATCCGTATAGTGCGTGTGTTTGTTCTCGCAGCAGCGAGATGCCGATTGCTGACGGAAGCAAAGTGGGGCCGTGCAACGACATGTCATGACCCGGGGTTGGAGGTTGTCGGGGACGATGCCGGACAAAAGTAGAGTCACGAGGGGTGGATGGTTAGTTGGTGGGAGCTTTTTTTTTTTTTCTTTTTCTTCTTTTTTCTAAGAAACAAAAAAAGAGAATGAAGAAAAACTCCTTCTGAAAGGGCATGCTATTGGTATCTACAACATTGCGCAGGGCCAGGCTTCCTGGAACGTCGTCACCCCCCCCATCTTGGTATTATTTGACTAGACTTTTTGGTAGAAATCAAGCCCCATTTCCCATTATCTCCCTATATATACCATTCCTTGCCTTGCCCACCACCCATTGACGACCTTGGAGCCGTGCTGAGAAAAAGGGGAAAATCAAAAAGAAAATCACTAGATGTGCAGCGTGGAGTGTCCCCCTCCCCCTCCTGCATCATGAAGGCAAGGTCCTGCTGCTCCAGCTCCAGCATGCGCCCGTACTCCGTCGCCAGCCCCCACCGCGCGCCCAGGCGCCCCAGGCAGCGCTTGATGGCTGCGACGCCGTCGGTGTGCCGCGCCGGCCCCTTCTCGCGGACGATTCACGCGAGGGTGGCGCCGGCGCCGTACAGCGCGTCGAGGACGAGCGGGCTCACGTCGGTGCCGCCGTTGCCGGCGGGGTCGTCTTCCCGGAGCGGCAGCAGCAGCAGGAGCAGCAGCTCCTCGGTCAGCGATGCGGCAGAGGGAGGAGAAGGGGGACGGGTTCGAGGGGGGCGGCGAGGCGACGGTGTGGTGGGTCGCGCGGCCGATGTGGCCTTCATCCTAGGGAACGGTGTTAGATTTTTTCTTCTTTTTTCTTCTTTTTTCTTCTTTTTTCTTCTTTTTTCTTTTTCTTGCGAGTTAGCGAGCCGGGTGGGGGGGGGGGCTTGGTAGAAAAGGATGAAGAAAAAGAAAAGTGGATATGTTTTTTACCCAAATCTCGTTGTCTACGGGAGAGTTCATGTCGTCGTCGGGTTCGGGCGAGAGGTAGCGCTTCCCGTTGCCGAGGCAGATGATGCGGTCGAGGACGAGGATCGCCCACCACGTCCTCAACCGCTCCTCCATCTCCGTCCACGTTGACTTGCCACCCGTGCAGTAATCAGCGGAGGTTCTTTGTTTTTATTTCATTTTTTTTTTCAACCGGTTCAGGGGTAATAACGAGAAACAAAGAGGGGAGGGGGGGGCATACCGGCACTTTTAGCGTAAGGTTGCTCTCGCGAAGCCCCGGCAGGCCGAGAAAGTCGGCGTACCGCATGCAGGACGCGACGGTGAGCCAGGCGGCCGGGTACACGGCGTGCGCGTACTCAAAGTAGGCGACTAGCACCATGGCCTACAGGACCATCAGCGACGCGAAGCCGGCGCCCTCGAGCAGCGACAGGAAGCGCTTCGCGGCGCCGTAGACTTCGGAGAGCGGGGGGAGGCGCGGGGCGGGCGGGCGGTGGCGAGGAAGAGCATGACCAGGTCCGGGCCGCCCTGGGCCAGGGCGGCGCCCATGGGCATGCGCTTCCTGGAGATGATGGGCAGCCAGGCGTGGGTGCCGGCGAAGTAGGCCTCGACGGCCCGCTGGACCGCGGCGCTGTCGCCCAGCAGCCCCAGCACTTCCTGTTCTCAGCGCGCGTCAGCCGGGGTGTTTTTTTCCCCCCTCCTCCTTCCCGCCATCAAGGGGGAGGGGGGTTAGCGGAGGGGACATGTTGGATGCTGTGAGTTGTGGCGGCGGCGACGTACGGCGGGGATGTCGACCGAGGGCTGCGGGAGAGACTGGTTCAACGCTTTGAAGGCCCATATGTCGAGGAACACGTCGGGTGGGTAGTGCGCCGACGTCGAGCCCGGGTGGTCGGAGCCAAGACCGGATCCGACGACCGCGCCAAGGGCCGTTGCCGCGTCTGCGTCGGAGAAAAGAGGAGGAGCGGCGGCGGCGGCGGCGGCGGCGGCGGTGGGCCAGGTCTGGTGGTCCAGCCGGCTCTCAAGCTCGAGCAGCTTCGACTGAAGGGTGGCGAAGTCGTCGGCGGTCGGCCCAGGGTCCTGCTGCTGCGGCGGCGGCGGGTCGGCGTAGTCGCACCGGCGGTCCATGCGGGTGCAGAGCCCGCATGCGGGGAGGGACTTGTCGCACTTCCTCTTCATCTTCCTGCAGCTGGCGCAAGCCTGCGGGCCTTGGCGTCGAGAGACGAGGACGAGGACGAGGAGGTGGTGGTGGTGGTGGTGGACGGCCAGTCCGTGGGTCTGAAGAGGGCCGACATGTTCGTTTTCCCTTGGTCACGGGCTGGGCATGGCGCTGTTGTTGGCTTGATGGTACGAATGATGGGGGTTGAGTGAGGTGAGGTGAGGTGAAGAATGCAGGGCTGAGTGGGAATCGCATTGGTGGTGATGAGAAGATAAAATGCTGACTGACATGTGCTGCTAATCCTGGCTGGTTCAGCTGAAAACCCATCCCCGCCAGGGTTGGGATGTTTCTGGGGTTTCTGGGGGATGATGCATCATCAGAGCAGATATCTCGCTTAGGCCCTGCATAACTAGCCCTATGTACGGAGTACATGTAGTCGATTTAGAGAGATTTAGAGACCATCCGACCTAGCAGACCTGACCTGTAGGCGTCGTACCCGGGCCGGCAATGGTGGGGCCGTTCTTCAGCCTCTCGGCAACATGGCTGCCGCTGCCGCCGTCGCCGTGGCAGCCATCAGTGGAAACAGCGCTGTTCTGGGGGCTGAGACAACAGGCGGGGTCAATCAATTGTCACCATGAATCCTGTCCAGCTGAAGCTGTCTCCTCTCCTCCCACTGCCCAGCCCACATTAGGTAATCCAGCGGGAGGAGCGCATGGATCGTGTCCTAACAACGGAGAGCTGGAGATGCCCCGTCCCTGTCCTTGTCCATACCCATGTTCCCTGACACTGGAAATCTCAGCCGGAGTCGTTTTCCTCCCCCCGACTGGGAATCCATCCCTGCAACCAAGCCGCAAGGCCCCCTCCCCCCTTTATTTGAGCTGGACGACGGGGCAGGCAAGCGGGCCAACATGGTCTGTTGTACTATGTACGTAGTAATAGTGTGGGCTACGTGCGGGAAAGTAAACATGGGCAGCGTGAGTAATTAACCTCACGGGGCCTATGTTCCTTGTCTGTTGTCCTCCACAACTTTTCTTTGTTCAACCATTTCGTCGTCGCCGTCACCGCGGTCGCAGTTGCATTCGCAGTCGCAGTCATACCTCCGTCGTCTCCTCCTCTTCCTCCTCCCAGATTGCGCAGTATTCTTCTCTCCGCCGCCCCCCCCCCCCCCCCCCCCCCGATCATGGCCGAGTCCCCGAGCCGCTCCGGCAGCCTCCGGGTCCGCCGAACCCGAGGCGGGCCTTCGAGAAACTCGTCCGCCCGCTCCTCGGCCGCATGGGAGGACTACTCCTATCTCCACCCGGCCAACTTCCAACAGCAACTGCACCACAGCCTGCGCTCCGCCTCTTCGCGCTTCTCCCTCAACGAGCAGTTCGCCGCCACCCGACAAGAGTACGAGTTCGGCGACGACGACGCCTCGTCCATCATCGACCGCATGACCCTCGCCTCCGACCTCGCCGACGACAGCACCGTCGCTGCGAACACGCACGCCCCCGACCCCGACGCCCCCGACGGCGCCGAGGGGGACTACTACGACCTGATGTGCCTACCCAAGGACCCGTCCCTGACGCCCGACCAGATCCGGAGGGCCTACCACCGCTTGCTGCTGTACCTGCACAAGGACGGCCTGCCCGAGAACATGCACGGCGTCGCGCAGCCCTACTTCGACCAGGTCCAGAGGGGCTTCGAGACCCTGATCGACCCTCACCGACGAGCGCTGTACGATGCGACCCAGCTGAGAGACATGACCGGCGCGGCTGGCGCCCCTCTCGACGAGGACTACCGGTACGCATACGATCTATCACTGAAAGAGCAGCTGAGGCAGCGGGCGGCCGACGTCGTGCAGACGTCGTCGGATCTGGGCATCCGGTTCGATGCCTCCAAGGCCATCCGCGAGAGCTCTGCCGTTGCACCCTTGGATTTCACCCTGAGCCACTCCGTGACAGTGGGCCTTCCGGTGCTCGGCCGGATGGTCGAGAGGACAGCTTTGGCAGCGAGCCGACGCGCCGCCTCCTCGTCGAAGCGCGTGCCGTCCATTGCGTTCAACGAGCGTGAGCAGGCCGATGCCGACCACCACCCGCGGGAGCCCATGGTGTACCTGCCCCCGCCCCAGCTAACCCTGACCGGCTCGGTCTACGGCATCGTCGAGGAGATATACAGGGTTCCTCTGCCGCTGCTGGCGGACCGCTACCAACCACTGCTGCCCCTGACCATACCCCGGAAGCGCATCATGCAGCTCGCGGAGCAGCGCCCATGTCCTCTCATCAGTCTCAAATTCCGACAGGACATCGTCCACAGGACGGCCGAAGATCGCATCGCCAAGACGGCGGTCGAGGTCGAGAGCGAAGTCCTCCCGGAGTCGTCGCTGACGGCCAGAGTGTCACACCCGATTCATCTGCCCGACGACCCGAACCCGATCCTGCTGGAGGGCAGTGTGCGGTCCGGAAGGCCGTGGACGGGGGCGCCCCCTCGCGTCGGGGTCGGGATCCACCGCTGGATGGGTGCCGGGACGGCGTACGCGATCGCCGACAGCGGCGACTGGAGCGTCTGGCCCGGCGAGACGATCAAGTTCTTCACCGACTTCTCCCAGGTGAGCAAGAGCCAGCTGCTCACCGAGTTCCCCATGAAGACGTCCGCAAGCTTCGAGGTGGGCTACACGACGTCGCCGGAGCGGATGCCGTCCACGGGCCACGAAGACTCGCCCAGAGGAGAGTGCGGCATCCGCGGCCTCGACTGCGAGAACAGCGCCGGCAGCGACGGCTCGTGGACGGTCTCGGCCTCCCTGACGGCGGACACGGTGGCCGGCTACCTCAGGTACGGCCGCGACCTGCCGCTGCCGGGCCCCGGCCCCGCCAGGCTCGAACTGGAGCTGTGCTCCAACACCCTCCTGGACCGGTACGTCGCCGTCCGGAACCTCTGGACCGTCGGCCGGTTCTCCAAGCTCGGCCTCGAGCTCGGCGTAAGCCCGCACAGCATGCACCTCTCCCTGTACTGGTCCCGCCTCGACCAGCGCCTCAGCATCCCCGTCCTGCTCTCGCCGCGCGACGCCGTCCACAGCCCGTCGCTCTTGTTCTACGCGAGCGTGGCGCCCCTCGTCGCCTTCGCGGCGCGGCACCTCCTCCCGCGGAAGCCCAGGCGCGCGCCGCCCGCCGAGGTCGACCTGCAGGCCTATGTGGCGCGGAAGCGCGCCGCCGCCGACGACGTCGCCTCGCTGCTCGCGGGGGCCGTCGAGGCGCGCCAGCGCGTCGAGCGCCAGCGGGGCGGGCTCGTCGTGCTCAGCGCAAAGTTCGGCGTCAAGGACGGCGGCGGCGGCGGCGGCGGCAGCGGCTGGGCGGCCGAGGAGGTCGCGGACGTGACGCTCGCGGTGGCGGCGCTGGTGGAGGACGGCAGGCTGCGGATCCCGGCCGGCGTGCGCAAGGGGTCGCTGCTGGGGTTCTGGGACCCGGCGCCGCTGCGGCGCAAGGCGCTCCACGTGAGGTATCTGTGGCGCGGCAGGGAGAGCACGGTGGAGGTCATGGGGCGGGACGAGCTGGTCCTCCCGCCTCCGAGGAGGGACGCGTCGTGATTTGAAGGTTTTTTTTATTTCTATTTTTTATGATGATGAACACGTATTAGATGGCGGGGAGGGAGTAGCATTGTGGGAGTCCTTGGGGGGACGGGGTTGCATGGGAAAGGTGTTTTGCCGGTTTATATATCCCACCTCAGTCATTCCGATAGAACGGAAGAATATGATTCTCATATCACGGTGTCTCGTTATGTGGAAAATGGCATGTTGCTCACTGTCGGGCTTGCTAATTAGCGTCTTCATCCCCGGGGCATTTCTCCGAGGAACACATCTCCCAGCTGGGTCCCTCCTTTCCACCGCCATGCCGAAGGTCAATCGATTCCTTGGCTACTTTCCCGACTGACACCATTAAGAGAAAACAAAACGGCATTACATTGGCCTCTGCATGATTTCACATACCAGCTATCCGTGGCCGTCTTTCGCGGTGCGGACATGGGGCTCAAGGGAGCGAGTCTGACTGCAGGCGAGGCGGATGACTCATCTCTCGGTAAAGTCCTCGCTTTGCCGACGAGACCGGAGAGACAAGCTCGGGCCGCTTCCGAGAATCCGGGGCGCATTGGGCCCCCGCCTCCCCCATGAGGAAACCCTGGCGACCCACCCCGGCGAAACTGGCCTATCGGCATCTTGTCATTTCGCCGTCATCGGTGAGAGGCGCCCTTTCCTGCCTTTCTGACACATCCAAGGTCACAACAGCGAGTGAGTGTGTTCTCGGGCAGTAAAGGGAAAAAAACAACAACACACGAACGTTGGACTGCGAAACCTTATTCCGCCACGGTGTCTCTTTTTGTTCGCGGCATCGAGTTGAGTGCTCCCTCCCCTCTCCCGATGGCAGCATGCAACGAAACCCCGCCCAGCACTGAGGCCGGCAGCAGAAGCCCTTTGGAAGACGGGCCGCTGCCGCCAATCAAGTCGACCGCGTGAGCCCCTTCGAGCAGCCGTTTTCCTATTCTCTGGGGTCCTTTTTTTTTTTTTTTTTTTTTTTTTCCCTTTTTTTACTGACGAGCGTTTGAGCGCATAGCTGTCGCAGATGTCATTCGAGAAAAGTCAAGTGTTCGGGCGACCAGCCCTGTCGAAACTGTCGGCAAGCCGGGAAGGGCACCGAGTGCACGTACCCGCGCCGCAACAGACAGGTCAAGGTCAGGCAAAGGTAAGTTTTGAACGAAGAATCGTGTTCCCCCCGATTCGCACTGGCTGCCTAAGCTTACGCGACATGATAGTTATATCGACGGGCTTCTGGATGAAATACAACGGCTCAAGAGCCAGGTCGCCCGGCACACCTCGTGCTCCACGTCTGCGCAAGACGATGTCGTCGCTCAGGGCAGCCGCGCCGGCAACAGAGCAATGACGCCGTTGTCTGGTCGGGGTAACGACAACGAAGAGGCGGCGACGGCGAGTGCGGCTCTCGAAGTGAGGCCGTGGTTCATCAACGCAAACGTCTTCCGCACGCCGATCCTGATCGGAGAGGTCGCGGACGCCGCATTCTCAACCCGCATCCGCCAGGTCATCTCCGACCCCTTTTCTCTCCAGCCCCGGCACATGCTCCGGGTCAACTACGCGCCAGACACGGAGCTGATGTCCCTCGTCAAGTCCGAGATCGCCTGGCCGACCCCGTCGAGGTCCCGCTTCCTGGTCGAGGTCGCGCTCAAGTACGTGAGCCATCGCTACCACGTCGTGCGCCGGAGTCTGGTCATGGAAAACCTGGAGCAGAGCATCCACAACCCTTCGTGGGGCGATCTCATGCTCAGGTCCAAGCTGTGGGCGCTGTTCGCCATAGGGGAACTCTACTCGACGAGGTCCATCCCCTCCGAGAAGGAGTTCCCCGGCATGGCTTATTTCGCCAAGGCGTCCAGGATACTAGGTGTGCTCGATGAGCGTCCCGGGACAGATTCCATCGAGATTATGCTCCTGCTGGTGAGTCGCGACGGAGCCGTGACTGTATCAGTTCTGACCTGCGCCAGTCCTTTTACTCCCTGGCCCTGAACCGGCGGTACAGCGCCTTCGTCATGTCCGGCACGGCGATGCGCATGGCCATCGTCATGGGGCTGCACCTCAACATCCCCGAGTCTCAGCTTCGCGACCCGGACCTCCGCGAACATCGCAAGCGGCTGTTCTGGACGACGTACATCTTCGACCGCGTCTGGGCATCTAAACTGGGGCATCCGACCGCCATACAGGACAGCGACATCGGAATAGACTTGCCGTCGGAGCCGGTTGCGAGCCAAACATTCGGTGACGATTTCGGCGACACGGCCTATCGTATCGCCAGTCTGCGTCTGGCAGCGCTCGTAACAAAGACTGTTCGCTCGATATATGGCCAGCGCAACCAGGGAGACGCCACCCTCTCAACCAGGGTGCAGCAAGCCCTGAAAGATCTCCGTTCATGGGTGGAAGACCTGCCAAGCCACCTGCGAATCGACAACGCGGGCACGGAACCGACATGCATCTCTCTTCATCTCTCCTTTAACCAGGTACGCACACCTAGAACCCCCCCGGCGAAACATCCGAGACGCTGCTGACGATCCCCCCCCCTTTACACAAGTGCGCAATACTAGCAACGCGTCCGATACTGCTCCACATCCTCCGCACAAAGGTGGCCGCGTGGCCGTCCGAGTCCCCGGTGGCGGAGACGCAGGTGCCGGCGAGCGCAGTCACCCTGTCCGAGGCCTGCGTCCGCTGCGCGCGGCACTCGGTGCGCCTCCTCACGGACTCGTGGATCGACGGGTCCTTCGCGACCTTTGACTACTTCTACACGCAGTACCTCTTCTCCGCGCTCACCATCCTCGCCGCCTCGAGCCTGCTCGGCGGCCCGGACGCCCGCGGCGACAGGGAGGCCTTTGAGGAGTCGGCGCGCTTCCTCTCGCAGCTCAGGGACGCCGGCAACTTCGCCGCCCAGGAGTACTGCCACCACGCCGACGTGCTGCGCGCCGAGCTCGAGAGGTTCCACGCGAAACGGACGGGCCTGCCCGGGCTCGCGTCAGGCCCGGAGGGGCCAAGTGCCGGGCTCGGCCTCCGCTCGGTGCCTCCGCAGTCCGGCCCGGCGATCCCCGCGCACACGACGGCGGGCATGGCGCTGGCGGAGCCGTCGCTGGAGGAGCTCCTGGCGCAGCCGGTCTTGGATCTGCAGTTCTTGGAGGCGTCCTTCTACGACGACCTGCAGGGGCTGTATTGGCCCGATTTCAGCGCGGAGAACTGGGACACTTGGGCTTCGACCTGAGAAGCCTGTGACGCCCCGGTCCCGTAGTGCCGGCCCGTGTCGGTATTGATAACATGTGTTTTTCTGAGAAACCTCAAATCGTTCATCTTCATCGCTTCCGAGGATCATTTAAACTTTTTTTTTCTTTTTTCTTTTTACAAAAAGAAAAAACCAGTACCCATTTCTTGTATAACCTCAATACAAACTCGCAGGACCCGTTATACCGCTTCCCTCTCTTCCAGATAAGCCTGAAACAGCCCCAACAAAAATGAAGTGCTTTGTAAGTGCTACCCCGAAAACCGTTCCGCCGAATTCAAGCATCGAATGCGCAGTCCATGCCGCCCTCACTGCGCGTGGTAGGCGTTGCCCGGCGCCTCGTGAACTTTGGGCATCGGGGGCACTGCTGACAGCTCCGACTGGGTCTGTGGGAACGAAGCTCCGGTATGTGTCGCGCTCAAGGGCGTAGGCGACGCCTGAGGGTAGTGGTTCTGCTGCTGGGGCTGGGCGGGGGGTGGTGTGAATGTCGGCTGCGGCACGGAGACTTGCTGCTGCTGATGCTGCTGGGGGGCGACCTGGTTGATGTAGTTCACATCATGCTGCACATACGGAGGAGCGTTTTGGGCCTGGTGGGCCTGGTTCGGGCCGGGCTTGAAGGTCGTGGCGACCTGCACCCCGTCCTTCTCGGGCACGGCGTTGTTGGCGACAACGGGGGCGGCAGCGGCATAGAACCCGACCGGGTTGCAGTGGAGCCCGGCCTTGCGGTGCCGATGAAGCATGACGCCGTGGATAGACAGCGACGTGATGAAGAGGGCGCTTGCGACCGTGTCAGCGGTGTTTCCCTTGCAGCCGGCGTGCTCAACGGGGAGGGGGGGAAGGGGACTTACAATTCGAGCCCGCCGATTCCGGCCGCGGCAGCCATGCAGGCGGAAAAGATGACCCCGACATCCGGGATGTCCGAGTTGTAGTAGCGGCCGTAGTAGGAGTAGGAGCTGCCGAACAAGTACCCGACCTGGGTGGCGAGCAGGGCGAAGGAGCACAGCCAGAAGAAGAGGAGGAAGATGTCGAGCGCCAGGACCGCCCAGTAGTTGTAGGCCTTGGGCGAGCTGAACTCGGCGACGATGAGCCAGACGGTGACGACCATGGTCGAGAGCGACTGCGGGCGTGTAACATACGGTTAGCCGGGGAGCGAGCGAGCAAGCGCGAACATCTGAGGCGGAACCTCCCTGCCTCCTTTCCCACTTACAACGAAGATCATGAAGCAGTTCCCGTTAATGGGCGCAACAGAGATGCCGAACGCGCAGAGGCCCGTGACGATGACGGCGAGCACCAGCTGGACGATTCTGAGGGCGATGAACCCCTTGGGGTAGAGCGGTATGTGCTCGCGTCCCGCGACCCTCTGGCGAGAATACCTTATGTCGTTTTCCATTGCCGCCAGCGTCTGGAGCGAAAAGTCGTGTGTGATGGTAGGGGGGGGCTAGACGTGCGTTAGGCAGAAAGTAAGAAGACCAGAGCAAAATCCCCGTTGAAGAGAAGCAAAAGGGCTGGCGATGGCGTGAGGTGTCCAGCAAATATGCGCGTATGACAGCGGAAAAAAGTACGGCATCTAATTCTCCCCCTTTTAAGGGACCCCCTTGGTCTTTTCTATGCCTGGCCCCCTCCCTGTGCCAACGGGACAAGATTGGCAGCACAGAATGCCTTGAGCCCGCCATCCGTAAAAGACGCCACGAAAAGCTGCCACGGGAAGCCGTCCATGGGGGGTTCCCTACACCCAAGTTGCCCAGAGTTGCGTCCGTGGCTTCCAGGGCTAGATCTCGTGGCTGGCGCGGCGTGGTTCCCCAGACCTTGGAGACGGAAGCCGAGTGCTGTGTAGGCGCGCTTTGGAAAAAGCCACACACGATGCTAGTCCCGGAATCATGGGAGATGTATGCACAATGTCTGGGACCGGTCGAATAGTTCAACGCATAGTTCGCGGGTCCTTAGGGCTTTTGGGCGGCGAGAACCAAAAAGAGGTTCGATCCGAGAAAGCTTGTTGCAAGACACGGAGGGCTGTGACGGGGGAGCTAAGGAATCAGCAGCAGCAGCGGCAGAACAAACGGTGCATTAGCGCCAATAGGGCCGCTTAACGTTCTTGCAACGACGGGGTTTTGCAGGTAACCCAGCTTTGGACTGTTGTTTGTAGGGGTTTCATTGTACCTGCAAATGCAAGACAGCAGTAGCGACTGCGGCTGAAGACTGCGGCTAACGCTACGGCCTAGGGACAAAAGAAAAAGTGCTTGAGCTGCCGTATCAGCTGGCTCTCATTGAGAGATGTGTGTCTGTGGGGTTGGGGGCAGAGGCAGACGAGGAGGTGAGACAGGCATATTCGAGAGGGTTCCGCGGCCGGCTTAGCTGCGCAGCCCTGCACTTTCTTCTTTGTCTTCGATTCCCAACGCCCGTGTAGACCCAAGAAGCTTAGAACTCTCCAGCCGAGGGGTTTCGGTCCGAAATGAAGATGGTGAGTGTGCAGGCACCACATCAGAAATGACAAGGAAGACCCCTCTGAACCCACACATCCCCCAATATATGGCCAACTACAGCGCATTTCCTCGGCACTTCTGCCTTGATCATGTCTCTCGGATGAGAGAGAATCTGCAGCCATGTTGTAAAGTAGGTAAGTCTGGACAAGAACCAGCCCCTCCCCCAGCGACTCACTTGCGTGCCAGCGGGTTCGTTCAGACCATCTCGCGTAATTCGACGACCGCTTTCCCTTGGAGCGAGCCCACAGCGGAACTGTTGCCGTTGCTATATTCCATCTGCCTGCCCACACGATGATCATTCCGCCGGATGGAGAACCTCAGCGGCTCAGCCGCACTGCCACTAACCCCAAAATCGACCAACACCGAAAGCCACAGGCGCAGAACGCTTGGCCGGATCCTGATCAGCTCCTTGAAGGTGGCCGGGAACGAATGATTGTGGGTTTCAGGTAATTTCGAACCGAGTATCCGTACACCTTGGACAAGACCTTGGGGTGGGCGCTACATCTTGGGGCGTTCGTAAGGGCATGTTTACAGACAACACGGCAACAAAGAGGGTTTGTAGGCCCGCGATACAATTAGCAACCTCATAACAGAGATATTACGAGACCGAAGAGAGATGTTGGACTTGGTATACGGATTAATAGATGTACTGGGTTTATTGTTGCCCAGTGACACTAAGAAGCAATATTACGCGTTATCAAAACAGAGTTTGAATACTGTGAGGGGAGATCCAGACACTACCATAGAAACGTTCCCAGAAGAGACACACGACAGACTACTTTGACATTCAGAATTGTCTTCATGACAGATTGCTTAGCACTAGGCTAGTCAACGAGTTTTCTGAATAATGGAACACGCCATATTGAGTGGAAACAAGGGAAACCACTCAGCAAATCCATCAGACAATGGTTGCCCCAGAGTCATACACGGTGCTTAGTTGCCCGGAGAACCTAGGTCATTCCGACTTCATATTCGAACCGAAAGATGATGAAGTTACGGGGTGCGGAGAAGGGTTGACAATGGGAGAATACAGACAAGCTCTGGTATTACAAACCATGGAAATCTAGCCGGATCTTAACAACACTATGGGAGCTCGAGAATTTCCATAGACCAGAGCATGGGTCCGATGTATGTGTATGACTTGCTGCTAACCGGGATCCGTAAGTGATGCATCTGCTAGAATTCACACACTGCTGACTGCTCTGCCAGGGCTACTGCACGGCAGCTATTCTGGTTCATGAGTGGTCGACCTCCACACAGGTAAAGTGATTGTCCACGTGTGACCGCGCTGATATCGTCCAGCATAAAGAAGCAACAGCTCGATTTGGCGTAGGGAAGACAAGTTTAGGAAACCCAGGAAGAGGAGGAATCTTGTGCTCTGAGATCTGTACTCGATGTTTACCATATAACAAAAAAGAAGAATGCTGTTTCGACTGAACAATAAAACGTGAGTTGAGGCTGGCTACTTCAGTAATCGAGTATGTCGTATCAGCGATACCTAAAACGTGTGGCGGTTGGTCTCTTACGAAGGGCGGCCGACCTTCCCAAACCCGGTCTCGACGCAGACTCTCTGAAGCTGGACATCGCCTCAGTAGCCAGCTCGAAAGAGAGAATCGACACCAATCAATCATGTGAGCCCGTTTGATTTCGTGTAAACCTTTCTACGAGGAAAAAAAAAAAGCCGACGTCGCGGCTGGGTATCATATCCTCCCCCCGGACCCTCGGGGGTAAAAACCTTTTTCACTTCCTCACCCCCATCAGGCCGCGCTTCAGGCCAGCCTGGCTCAGTAGGTCCACGTTCTGCGGCAGGTCAAAGTCTCCCCTCGCCTCGAACCAGAACAGCATCTCTGGTTCAGGGCCTGTGGGCTTCGGCGGCTTCGCCTGCTGCTGCTGCTGGCCCTGCCCGGACATGGCGACGTCGCCATCCCCCGCGCCTTCCTCGTCGCTCTCCTCTTCATCGTCATCGTCCTCGTCGTCCTCGAGGCTGCGTTTCAGCCCCGTCCTCACGTTCTCGACGCCGCGCTCGCGCTCCTCCGCCGTGTAGACGTCGCCCGCCTCCTCGAGGACGTAGCGCTGCACGCGCTCTACGGTCCAGTCACGCACCCCGCGCCAGACCTCCTCAAGACCGGCCTCTCCGCCGCTGCCGCTCCCTGACGCCGATGCGCGCAGCTCACTCGTCACCTCGCGCCCGCGCTCGACCCACTCCTCGACGCCCGGCTCGAGCTTCTTGCGGAGAAGCTGCGTGAGGATGTTCTCGTGCACGCGGCCCGGGTACGCGACGTCCGGGAACACGTGCAGGTGCTGGAAGACGTGGGTGTTCTCCGTCAGCGTCTCGAGGAGGGACTGAAGGTTGCGGAGGAGGATCTGGGATTGCGCCTGGAGGGATGATCTGGAAAGGGGGCCCATGGTTAGCCTGACATATCTCGCGGTTTCTTTTGTGAGGCTTGTTGTAGACGATCCGACACAGAAAATAGAGGAAGGTGTGGTAGGAGTAAGGAGTTAGAAGGATGGTGGAGTGCAACTCACGGCGGCGGAAGGGGGTTGCTCTTCAAGACGTCAATCTTCAAACCCTGGATGCTGTTGGAGAGCTGGAACAGGCGCTGGCGCGTCTGCTCAATCGCCTTGAACTCATCGGCGGAGATGCCGAGCGCATTTGGCTTCTCCATGGCCGCGTGTTACTGTCTAGGAGGCCAGCGGGCGACGCGATGTGGAAGCTTCGATCGGTGGGAACCCGTCGTCCGGTGGGGGGGGGGGGGGGGGGGGGCTCTTCTCAGTCGCGACCGACGCGCCAGAGTCACGTTTTCGGGGTTGAGGTTGCCGCAGATAGAATATTTCGGCAGTGATTGAGATAGTTTGCGACGTGGAATGGAGGGGGGGAGTCGGGTCACTCGTTTGCGAAGGCCCGGAGCTTCGCGATCGTGGGTGGGTTTTGGGGGTTTGAAGTTGAGGTGCGGTTCTAAGAAGCTTCGACCCCCGTCGGGGACGTGACGTTCTAGAAAATCGGCCTGTGGGGTTAAGTGGGGCCCGTCGGGCTCCGCTCTACGCAGTCTGAGCTCTGAGCAGTGCCCCCGCCATCGGTCGGCGCATTCCTGTGAAGCTTGCTGTAGAGGGGGAGCAGGGGCCATGCGGGACGGGCATCTGCGGACTACCTCAAGGGGGATCGACAACTGCTAATCAGGGAGAGCTGGACAGGGACTGTCGTGGGAAGGGCTCAGCAATCAGTCGTCGGAGTATTATTGTGTACCTGTGCGACCTTAAGAGGAACCGGTCCGCCTTGTATATGTACCTTACTTCAGCAATCAGTCACACTACTGAGAAGCAACGGGCCACAATTGGCTTCTCTCGTACATGCTTCCATCCAATGGCGTTCGTGATGTGCCTAATAACACAACAACTATGTCATCAGATGAAGCCAAACAAAGTCTCCATTTCTCGATAGTCGCATACCGCAGTGATCTCGTGGCCAGCTAGGCTTGTGGGCAATGCAAATTGGGGGGTCCCCCCCCGCGAACAGTTTCACTCTCAAGGCGGCACACGGTGGCAAGGTGTTGGTAATAGTTTCTCCCCAACTTTTAGGCCCCACTGTCGGCGACCCTATCAAAACATGCTATGCAGAGGGCCTCTGATCCATCAGGTGGCTATGCTTCAAACGCAATGAATCGCAATGCCGATATCTGCAACAACAACAACAACAACAACAACAACAACAACAACAACAACAACAACAACAAAAGTGAAATGCGTGTTGAAATCCTGACCGAATGCCCCGGACGCCGTCGTGAAAATGCGTTTCGCAAGGTTCATCATCATAAAAGTGTATAGATCGAAAGCCCTTACTGGCCGTGTGACCCAGCCTGGCCGTAAACTCTTTGACTGTTCGTCGCTCTGTCGACTTCCCGGCCGTACTTGTCTACGGGAGGGTAACGAGCGCGCCGCTCGAGATCATCGAGAGGGATCTGCGAGCGGATGTACCTTGGGGATCGTTAGATGCTGGCTCTGTCTTGATTGGGAAAGCTTGACTTACTTCATTCTGCCGTCATCAACCGGGTCGTAGTCCCAACTGGTGAAAGTTCCTTGGGTGAGAGCTCCCCATACCAGCCGACGCTTGCGCTGAGACTGCAGGACCTGCTCGGTGATGGCGTCAAAGTCCCACTTGGCCTTCGTCTCGGCCGTGTACTCCTCGAGCTTTGCCTTCGCTTCCTCCCCCAACAACTTCCCGGAGATGGCCTTCTGGGATGCCAGGTTGATCAGCTCCAGGGGATCGTGTTCAAGGTTGAACAGTTGAGTACCGTCGACAGGGCAATGAATGAACTTCCAAGGGCCCTCACGAATCATCACAAGCGGGCTGATGGTGCCCTCGCCCGTGTACTCGGCGTAGATCTTGTCGTGGCCCGTCCTGCCCTGTAAGTGAGGCAACAGCGACGTGCCGTCCATCGGCAAGCCAGGCGCGGGCTTCGTACCAACCAGATCGCAAAGTGTCGGAAGGATGTCGAGCGTTGACACATTCTTGGTCACGCGGTGAGGCTCGAACTCGTGGGGGTGGCGGACAAAGAGAGGAACTCTGACAGAGGACTCAAAGTAGCTCATCTTGTACCAAAGCCCACGCTCGCCCAGCATGTCACCGTGATCGCCGCTGAAGACGATGATGGTGTTGTCGTCAAGACCGCACTTCTTCAGAACGGACAGAAGCCTGCCAACGCAGTCGTCGACGTAGCTGACGGAGCCGTAGTAGGCGCGGCGGGCTCGCTTAATCTGCTCGTCGGTGAAGTCGTAGTCCCATAGGTCGCAAACCTTCATGAGACGCTTGCTGTGGGGATCTTGCTCCTCCTTGGGGATGCGGACCTTGGGGAGAGCGATATCAACATCCTCGTACAGGTCCCAGTATTTGTCCTCGATTGTGTAAGGGTCATGAGGGTGAGTCAAAGAGACGGTAAGAGCGAAAGGGCGCTTTTCAGGGCCCTGGCGGACGTGGTCGTAGAGGAACTGTGTCGACCGGTACATGACCTCCTCGTCGTAATCCAGCTGGTTGCTTCGCACGCAAGGGCCGGCCTGGAGGATGGAGCTCGAGTTGTGGTACCACTCGAGACGAGTGTCGGGCTCATCCCAGTTCACCACCCAGCCGAAGTCGCCCGGGTAGATGTCGCTGGTGAGACGAGTTTCGTAACCGTGTAGCTGGTCGCCGATGAAGTGCATCTTGCCGGCCAAGGCCGTGTGGTAGCCCTTCAAGCGCAGGTAGTGCGCGTAGGTCGGAACCTCACTCGAGATTTGGCTGGCATTGTCGTATGCACCGATCTTCATGGGAAGGAGGCCGGTGATCAAGCTCATGCGCGAGGGTGCGCACAGCGGCGAGGGGCAGTAAGCCGAGTCAAACTGGACAGACTCGGCGGCAAGAGCATCCAGGTTTGGCGTCTTAATCTGGGACTCGGGGTTGTACATCTTCAGCTGGGGTGCAGCCAGCTGGTCAGCCATGATGAAGAGAATGTTGGGCTGCTTCGCGCTGGTTGCGCCATTGCCGTTGGTCGGCTTGCTGTGAGCAGGCTGCGCCACAGGCGATGAGGGAAGGGAGTTGAGATCGGGAGCCATTGTGCTCTCAGGCACCAACAACATGAGCAAGAGATAAGTTGTCTTCAAAACTCAAGAGGGCCAGCCACCGACGATTTGGAAGTTTCCTGCGTGGGGCGTGTGGTGACAGGAAGGTTCCTTTGTAGTGATAGGCAGGAAGGCGGTCTGGCAGGTTATGAAGGAAGGGGTTGGTTGGTGTGTGCGTCGAGGGTGATAATGAGCAACAATCAAAGTTTATACGTGATCAAAGACAACGCAACGATCGACCAGCAATGTGTGTAAGGGCAGGCACAATCAGCTAAAACTCTAAGGCAACGTAGTGATAAAAAGAGAAAGACCGGATCAGAAAGTATGCGGGAGAAGTTGTCCTTTAAGAAAGTGTGCCACGGGAGGGAGCAGTGACGGGGGGTAAAGAGAGAAGGGGAGATCAGTCCCATCCGTCTCGACTCCCGGCGCCCCATGGAGCCCGATAGGAAGCGACGACGGAACGACGTGGAGAAAGAGACTGAGGAAGCAAAGGTAAGGAGCGACGGCCAAACGGGGTAGACCGTATATATGCATATATATGCATATAGTAAAAGGCAGGGTGGTCTCTTGAGTTCCCCAGGTAAGGATACCCCAGATAGCCATTGCTTATGTGTACACCCCTCCCTGGGTGACCCACCATCACCTCCCAGCTTGGCGGATCTTGTTCCAGTTCATGCAATAACACGGGGCCCTGGATAGGAGGGATACACCAGCCGGAGCCCGCAGTCCACGAAAATCGAGATCTCCTTATCCAGCCAGGTAATGAAAGGAACGTGGTTTTGGGCCGCCGGCCAGACACGCCTTCCCAGTGTCCCGATGTTCTTTGGCCAAAGCACTGGTGGATTGGATGGATGACTCTTTTACTTCCTCGACCTTCTTCTCCTTTCGCTAGTGTAAATGTCATCCATCCATCTACGCCACTACGCATACACCACCGACACACGGATACCAACACGCCACCTGACTAGTTTGCTCCTCAATCGCCTAGGAAGCGGAGGTCGTCGCATGTGTCAAATATGGCGTTTTTCGATCGGTCAATGGCGAAATCATACAAGCGGAGCAACACTCCGCCATTCATTTACCTCTTCCAGGTCGCTCGCATCCAACGTCTTGTTTCGCATCCATGATCGTCGTGCGGACATCTTTGCACCATAAGAAGCCCTACGTTCCTCGTTGGTTTCCACTTATCGTCAGTTCGCAATTTGCTCCTTGTCAATGTGGTTAGCCTCCTATGGCTATATCGATGATTAGATGGCGGTGTGAACAACATCGCCGCCACATGCGATAATCAGCGACAATAACAACGAGAAGAACGGGCGGCTAGACTTTCTAGAACGTCGAGCATGGATTGGCCTGCCCCGTGCCTCTCGCGTGATCAGTGGTCGGACACTCTGGAGCACGAACAGCATTCGTTATGCTTCGAGGAGGAATACAGATTTGTTTTCCCTCGCCTTTTCCCTGCTAAACGGACCCCTGGACCCCGACGGCTAAACCGCAATCGCCCTCTTGCATATTCGCATGTACCCAAACACCAGGCCTCAACCTGCATAAGCGTCATCCAACCCTGCCAGGCTTTCCTCCGATTAGCTGTAGCGGTTGCGAGCTTGACATGCCACAGCAATCAATTTTCCTGGGCGACGGTCAGTCGACGGAGTGAATTCCACCCCACCGTACTCCGTACACGCGACAAGATTACGGAGCACTCCGCTCACGTTTTAACCACATTTCCACAGATAAGGACGCGAAGGCCGGGCAAAGGACGAATAAATAAGATCAGTCTCAAGCGAGAGATACTGTGCATCAGCAGACCACGTCTCCAAGGTGGTGGTCTAATACTACACGTGCATCTACAGACACCCTAGCCTACGCATGCAGGACAAAGACACCAGCAGTTCGGTTACAAATTGAAGCGAATGGGGCGGATCTCCATAATCCAGACGGAAACGAATGCAGCAAGGAACTTATTGGAGTCCGCAGCCGCTGATCTGTCGCCTCGTCTCGGCTTACATTCAGATTCCCACAGCCCGAGCTGATGCCTGGACAATTCTACCGAGCTGTTTTCCTTTGGGGGTTCCGTATTCTACGGCTAGATCTTCAATTTCACAGTTTCCACCACCAAAAGGACATCATGATGGCGTCCACCTCCGTCCTCAAAGCCGCATCACACCCCGCATTTGCGGGGTTACCCTCCTGGAGGCCGGTCACGCCATCGGCATAAGTTCTTATACTCCGGGCGTGGCTTTCACCAAGGTTTGTGTGCTTCATCATCCACGGGCCACTGGCGCACGTACCAATTTCCGCAACAGTCTCCTCATCACTTACCGCCGGCCTTATGGCCCCAGCTCCGGCCAAACCGCAATCACATCATCGCACTCCAGTATTGCTTCATCAGCTAGCAGCGGGTATCCAGGTCAAGTCGTCGTTTCACTCGCAACTAACCCGGCGATTAACGCAGCATCATCACCGCATCTGTCTTTTTTTCTTCTTTTTTCCAGGCTTACCATCCGAGGTCCCAGCAAGGGCGCGAGGATCGAATCTGCCCGACGATCCGTCCCTCTTCTCCCGCCTACCCGCACCGCCGCTTTCCATCCCTCGTGTGCTTGGTCAGCTTCCATGTTGTGTGTCAGGCTAGCAAGCCCATTCTCTTGCAGAGTCGTGACACGACCCTCGCTGCACATGAACGGTCATCTGACGACACATCACACACAACCCGTTAAGTGCATCGCAAGGGTTTGCTCCAGCACAGCAACACCACGTCTGAACCTGCACCCTAACCCCAGGCCCAGCATTAAATCACATCTCATTATGACGAGCTGAGACATGCCCAGGCCCCCCTCAACACAACATCACGCTCGCCAGCGCACCAACCAACAGCGAACAACAAATCAACCTTCCCTCGTCGAGAAGGCTGACAAGATGTGCTGCAAACCAATATATTGCTCTACGACGAAAAGAAACCGCACTACCCTCTCTGCCTTCATGTTATCAGGTGTGGGATCTTGCCCTTCCAACCACACCGGCAACCGCACCGGCAACCGCACCGACAACCGCACCGGCCGGGCCGCTGCTCGTTCCATCACAGACATGATAAGTGAGTAGGCCCCGGCCGCCCCGCCATGGGAAAAGGCGCTGCGAATCGGCCGTCGTGAGTTGTCATCGATGATCGGCCAGAACATTGCATCGAGCTGCCTGTCTAGCCCGTATTGGCCTTCTCGCCCTCTTGGTCTTGCTGGGCACTTCCTCGACATCTGGCGGCAAGGAGCCGCAACACATTGATTCATCCATCCATGCCCCTTTGCCAATGACTATCAAAAACCTGATAGCAGCATAACGCCCGCAGCACGCGCACCCCTCTTTCTAGTCAAGTCTGTATAGTTTCACGTTCCCTGCCCTGCCCTCCCCTCCCCTCTCTTTCTTCCCGCTCGAGGCCTCTCGTTCCTTTGGTCCCCAAAGTCTCAAATAACCTCACATGACTTGAGATGGCGTTTCGCCGTTGGCTCTTGGCAATGCCCGTCCCGCGGCTCCCGAGGTTACACAACGCCACGCCGTCCGCAAGGCTACCTTCTGTCTCTCCTGTGGTTTGCCAAGCATAGCTTGCGGGCACGTCGTCTACCGTCGGCATAGTCGACATAACATGTCCCTGACACACGAGAAACCGGGAGGCACAGGACGAAGAAGAAGAACAAGAAAGCGTTCGACAATGCGGGGCCGCATCATTGAAAAGTTGATTAAAAAAAAGGCGACTACTAAAAAAGACCTAACGTAGAGGGGAATCTCTTATGCAACCCTTTTCCCCCGCCGCATCTCCCAAAGACTCCCCCCCGCTCCTCATCCGTCGTTTGAAATCCCGAGTTTCCCTACTTTTTGGAGGGGGAGGGGGGGAGGGGAGCAACAGCAGCAGCAACCCTTCCCCAGGGAAGGACGGCTGCTCTGCTCACCCAACGAATGCTTTGTTATTGTTGTTATTGTTGTTGTTGTCGTCGTCGTCGTCCTTGTTATCGTAGTCGTCGGTGTTTGCTCATACATACTCCCCACAAGCAATATTCTCCTAATTGATTCCAGTTTTCGTTTTACCCCGCAATGCAATATCGAAGAGAAGACGGAAACGACGAGAGAGAGGGAAAGAAGGCCTTTACCTGGCCCGAGGAACATCCCGTCTCATGCATGCCGGAGAGGGTGAAAAATATCCCGCACGCCCCGCCCACCGTCCCGTCAAAATCCATGTCTCATGTACCCTTCATTCTCTCGCCTCACGCCGGTTTGCTTCATCTTTTTTCTCTCCCCCCTTCTCTTACTGCGTGCGGTAGAACTTCTTGTACAGAAGATGCAGCAGCAAGTTGACGTTCAGCTTGAGGTTCCCTTCGAAAAGGTTCATGAACTGGTGAGCCTCGAACTGTGCCTGTAGCAGATCCTCGATGGGTATTTCGGCGCTGGCGCCTGGCATCTGGATGTGGCCGCGGGACCCCTCGAGGGAGAAGACGCCCACTTCGTCGCAAGAAATGGTGAGGTTGACCCTCTCCCAGTCGGTGACGCCACTCCACCCGACGACCACGCCTTTCTCCGCGAGAGCCCGAGCGCTGTATTTGTAGCTGCCAAACTTGGGGACCCGCCCGGTACGCTCCAGTTCACGCTGGTGGTTGTACTGCTTGGTGAACGGAAGCAGAAACCGTTTCTTCCTATAATGACGAGATTTAGTCAGCTTATGGCGACACACATTATAATGTGAGGAAATGGGGAGGGAAGACCCATCCGGGGTCCGAAAGGGTGGGAGGGGGAGGCTCAATGGAGTTTGATAGACTTACCCTTTGTTCTTCTGTAGCGTCGCCATGGCCGACTCGATGTAATCGTCATAGCTCTTGCGTTGCTGCTCGAGGTACTTGGCTTTCTCGTGCAAGTTGGAAAGAGTCGACCGGACACCCTCCAGTTCGCGCTGCCGCTGCACGCGTCTTCTGCTCTTGGTTCTGATGTCGAGAGCGATGGCGTTGAGGATGTCCTGGTAGTAGTTGTGCTTGGAGATTCTGCCCATGTGCTCCAGTCTCAAGATGTTCTCCAGAGCTATCCGCTTCAGGTCGTAGTATGACATCCGCGTCACGTCCAGCATGTTGGCGTCCGAGTACGCGCCTCTAGTGTTGGCGTCCTTTGTGAAGTCGTCGTGCAGGACTGCCCGCCACTTGTGCTCGTCTTCAGGGTTGATGGGCTTGACAAGGATTTCCAGGAGATTGGCGCCCGTCTGTACGCGAATAATGTAGAGGATGCATCGCTTCGTCTCCATGAAGAGGGCCTTAACCTCTGCTTCGGGGTCGTCAACGTCGTGCAGCTTCGGCGTGAGATACATTTGAATGTCGGATGACCCCGCGGCGAGCATTTCGTTCTCGTTGTTCTTGGCACTACCCAGGTCTTGCAGGATCTCCCGGAGGACATCATCACGGTTGGGGCATATCGTCGGGAGATCGCCAGCAACCAGGTTGTGGATGGCAAAGATGTCCGTCATCTTGATGTATAGGGTGGGCTTGTTCTTGGAATACAGATCGTTGAACTCGTCAATGTCGAAGTTGCGCTCGGCATCCGGGACCGAGATGAGCTCGTGGGTGATCTGAGCAAGTCGCTCCATCGAATCGCCCACGAAGGCGTTCAGTGGTTGCAGGTAGATGTTTTCTCCGCCAAATGGTCTTCCAGACGCGATCTGACCGAGTACCTTGGCGACCTCGCCCAGATTACGCTTCTGGAGAGGGCTCAGCTGTTTCTCTATAACGCCAACGTTCTCGGGGGCAATGACAGCGGGTTGCATGTAAAAGCGCCAGAGCCAGTTCGTGACGATCTGGAGCAGGTGGTGCTGGGGTTCCTTCTTGAAATGTTGGCAGAGAGCCTCGAATAGCTGACGGCAAAGGAAACGGAGACCGTAGGGCATCTTCGGAAGGAGATCCTCCAGAGCCAGCAAATACTGGTCGCAAATCTCTCTGAGGTCGCGAAGATGGTCGATGAAGAGGTCCCGGGTCTCTGGGTCCTTGATGGCCATCTCTCTGGGAACATCCAAGGGGCGTCGGCTGGGACGGCCGGTCCGCAGTTCTTCATTGTTGATGGCTGCTCTGTAGATTTGTAGAGGGTCGCTTTCGAGATCAAGGGCCGGATCCTCGACGATATTGTCTCGCACGATGGGACCAAGAAGCTCTCGAAGGTACTTCCGATCGCGAGGGGATCGTGTGTAGTTAGCCAGGAGCTTGGTCCAGAAGAAGTTGCCTCGCAGGTAATCCTGCAAGCTTCTGCTGCCCTCAATCTCCTCTCGCATGGACCGGGCGAGGAGCTTGAGGAGGTAGTACTCCTCACGACGCTTCTGAGCGTACCCGAACAGACCCATCATCAGGTGTTCAATTCGCTTGCATTCCTTCTCGGGGGTGCCTTGTTCGCGGATGCGCTTGAAGAGACGTGCGAGGTATTGGGGTTGTGTCTGGAGGTTGAAGAAGAGCTGCTGGTACGATTCCAGCTTCTTCCGTGAGCTCTTGTTCAGAGCCTTCAAGTCAAAGTGGTTGGTGGACGATATTGACGAGTTCGCCAGAAGACCGATGGAGTGCCCGCCGTAGTTGTTCTGGTGTCTGATAACCTCGTCCAGGGTGATCTTGTTTTTGACGAGCAGCGCAATCTTGATGTCTAGCTGGTCGATGTATTGCTCCAACATCTCGTTCTGGCGAACTTGCTGGACCACCGTCTTCCGCATTCTTTCGAACTCCATCTCCTCGTTAAAATCGAAGTCGCTATCGTTCAGGAGATGGACAAAGTTCTTGACGGCGTTGACTGGCGGGTTCTTGCCGTGAGTGAGACTCTTGTACGCGTCTCCTTGGATCTTGGCGCGAACGAGGCTCTGGATCTTGACGACCTTTTGCATGTTTTCGTCAAAGTACCGTTTCTTCTCTTCGAACTTGGCTCTGACAATAAAGGCCTTAGCAGCAGCCTGCATTTCGGTGATGACGCTCTCTTCTTCTTCAAGATCCGAGATGAGGTTGAAGACGTCTCCTCTCACCATCATGGCGCGTGCAAGTCCCTGAAGCTTCTCAATCGCTGGAGTGTGGGACTCGAGCTCTCTGAGAAGCTCTGCATGTTGCCGGCGATGCTGGTAACCACGAATGCGCGCCTGGAGTTTGGTGATCTTCGGCTCGGCACGAGACAGAGCGTCTTGTTCGGAAGCAACGCGGCGTCGCTCCATCATTCCGCGGATGAGAGACTGAAAGTCGATGAAAACCGCCTCGTAGCTGCTCAACTCATCAAGCATCTCGGAAACATCGCGGCGAACGGCTGCTGCTCTGGCGTGTGCTTGGAGTTGCTCCACCTCGGTGACGTGCTTGGCGAGCTCTGCCTTTGTGGCCGAGACCCCGAGGCGCACTGCGTTGCCTCGAGCGGCTGCTTGAAGATTTTCAATTTCGGGAGTGTGCTGAAGGAGATCAGCTGTCGTTGCAGCGACCCTATCGCGAAGTGATTTGCCTCGGATCGCGGCTTGGAGGCTCTCGATTTCGGGTGTATGTTGACCGAGTTCCGCCCTAATAGCACCGACTTCGGTACGAAGCGACTGGCCTCGGATCACTGCTTGAAGAGCGGTCCATTGCGGCGCAGAGCCTTGGAGATGCCCTTGTTCCCGCGAAATCTGATCTCTAGTCAGCAGTGCCCTGGCAGCAGCCTGGAGCCTGATTATGCTATCGGCCTGTTTGTCCAGGAGGTAAAGGTCATCGGCAACACGTCCTCTCAACAGCATTCCGCGGACAGCAGCCTGAAGACTTTGAACTTGTCCAGATGTTTGTACCGTTTCCTGCTGTTGGATTACGAGCTCCTTTCGGACCAAGAACCCCCTAAGTGCTGCTTGGATTTTGCGAACAGGTCCAGCATGACGGGCCAATTGAGATCTCTTGTCCCGTACCTCATCGCGGACCTTGTTGGCCCTAAATATACTTTGGAGCTCCAAGATATCGGGTTCCAGCATCCTCCACATGCGCTCCTTGTTGGCCATTCTGTTTCGGATGAGGAATCCGCGAGCAAGACTCTGCAGGTCAACCGCAAAGCGTCTCATCTGAAGCCGATAGCCAATGACTTGACGAGTGAAATCGGCTCGGATGCGCGATTGCAGATCAATGAGCGCCTGTTCAACGTCCCACAGCTGCTGCATGGTGTCTCCCAGGCGCATTCGCACCATGGCTCCACGGGCTTGTGCCTGAAGCTCAACAATGGACGCCTCGTTCTCACCCAATTCACGGTCGATCCTCTCCTCCTCGGTCTCTTCGGGCTCCGGGGTTGCGGGTTCGACGCCGAAGTCAGCTCCCATGTTGCCGAAACTGGGCATGTTAGCTCCGAGTTTATCGAGACCCTTTTGCATGGCTTCGAGCTCGTGGTGCTCGAACTCAAGCTGTCCGACAAGGTTACCAATGCGGAAGTCGACTATGCCCTTTCTGAAGAGAAGCCAACTCAAAGCATGGATACAGTGGATGACTTTGGGAATGTTCTTCTTCTCGTATAAGTCGATAAGTTCGAACCTGAACAAGTCTGGGAGTTCGACTTCGTCCAGGTATCTGAAGAAGATGGCGATGTTGTCGGAGTGTCGGAATTGCAGTTTTTGATGCCGGAAAATGCGAAATCTTCTGTCAGGGTTGAGAGCCTCGACCACCTCGGCGAGCGTGACTCCATCACGAAGGGCCTCCTCCAGCTCAACGATGGGAGGAATCGCCCTGTGAATGATATCCTCTATCCATTCCTTTGCTTCACCGATATGGCAGAGGTATTCGTAGGCCTGGAGAAACTGACGCTGTTTGTCCATCCAATTCCGCCCTTCCCAGCCATATCCGCCGGTGCGCTGGCCAGCGCGAGTTGTGTTGGGTTGGCCTGCCCTCTGCAACCTGCGACGGCCCCTCAGGCCTACCACTTCTTGAGCTGGCGCTGTGATTGCAAAGTCATCAGCAGATTCGGACTGAGCAAGTTTGGATAATGTGCGCAGCTGGCTTGTCGAAGATCTGCCCAGCTTCTCTAGGTCCGGACGGGCAAGTGCCGCGGAGTGCACAGCGGAAGGGGGTTCATAGGCGTGGGGCAGGGCCGCGCTTCCACGGCTGACAGAGTCGGAACGGGGGATGAACATCGAGTTGGGGCGGATTGTCAGAGTTCGTGACAGCGGAGTCGGAGACGTGCTGCCGTCGCGTTGGGCGTGTGAGAGCTTGCCACTGTCAACGCTCTGGGTGCGTTCATGGCGGTAGGTTGAACGAGGCGGCGAAGGAGTTGAGGGCGTCGTCGTCGGCAGGGTGGCAGTGGCACGGGATGGCGACGCGGGAGCTTGGGGGAGTGGACGGAGCGACTGCCTAGCCATGGAGTAGATGTTGTTGTCCTGTTCTCTCTTGTGGTCTTGGTTCTCGCCTCCAAATGAGACTTTTTGCAGCCGTGAGCCATCGCTTTTGCCCCTCTTATGAGAACTTGGTAACGAGTAGCCGCTGGAAACTGAAGAGAGTTGAGTGCTTGCTCTGCTGTTTTCGGAGTACAACGAGTACCCCGAGGAAGCAATGGATGATGTGGTAGAGGACTGACGGTTGAGGTTGCTGGGGTAATCCAGGGTATGCGACTGTCTGAGAGGGTGTGGTCGGTGCGACATGGTGGGCGGCGATGATTATGATACCGGAGGCAGCCTGCAATCGAAAATCTGTGGGCACAGGAATTCGAATGACAACATTAGGGCGCCTTTGTCGGACGTCGATGGTAGTGGTATGTAGCGAGACTGATTAAGGTGGACCTCGGGGTCTCGTTCTTCTATGATGCTCGTAAGGGTCTCTCGACAAGACAAGCAAGCAAACGTCGGGGTAAGATTCGAGGCGGCGCGCTCGGCGGTACGTCGAAAATGCGGGTGAAGAATGGGGTGGTTGGGGGGGGGGCCTCGAGACGCAACAGGAGCGCGCGCTGCGCAAACGAAACAAAAATCAAAAGAGGTTCGACAACAGCGAGGAAAACGAGGCCGACGACAAGGGCAATGATGATGATGATGAGAAGACTATTGCGGCGGAATATTAACAATGAACAGACAGACAGCCCACTTCACGCCAGTGCAGCCACTGCCATTCAAAGCGCAGTCGCAATCTCGTCAAAATGGACCGGGTGTGGGTGGGATGTTGGGTCGATGGAGGGGAGGCGAGGGGAGGGGGGACAGTGGGAGGGAGTCGGGACCTGTTAAGGCAGTTTGTTTGTTTACTGCTGCAAGTGGGAAGCGGCAGCAACCAGCCCAGCCCCCTTGCAGCCAGGGTACCTAGGAAATCCGGGTGGCTTGTGGCTCACCCAGGGTGGCCCCTGCGTCGCACCCGCCCGGCTTCTTCAAAATAAGTGGGTACTAATGCACCCAATCTTCCGTTGCACGGCCCTCCGCCCCCTCCGCCCGCCTCCGCTGTCCGTCAATTGGACTGTCGTCCCGTTTTCTCTGGGCCACACGCTCCCGCGGAGGGCTGCAACCCAAGAAAAGTCAACAAGACGATGACCCGGTGAGGCCCAAAGCTGCCAGGCTGAACAACCTACCTACCTATTGTGAATTTCTGTATAGTATACTCAGGCCCTTGCTTCCCCTTTGGAAACGGTTGTTGAGGAGCGGGCCAAGATGTTGTCTTTCTTCATCTGATTTGACACATGCGGGCGTCTGCTCCATCCAGAGCCCTGTGCCACGTCGACCAATCTAACCCCATTGTCTGTCGTCTCAGAAACGTCGTCGAGTGCCTACCTCAGTTAGTGTACTAGATCGGGAGACTATCTTTGCTGTCCAAGTCAAGGTTTGATGGGTCGTGCCCAATGACCAGGATGAGCATTGCGTTTGCAACCTGCTGCATGGATCATATCGCAAAAAGTGACGAACCCCCCCCTCCCCCCACGAACAAAGTTCTGGCCCATTTCTGTGGCACCACTGTCTTCTAGCTTCATTGACACACCTACGACGTACGGATACCGCAGCGTACGTATGCAATCCGCCAGCGGACAATTGGCATCCGTATGGCTTTGTCGTCTTCCAAGCAAGAGTGCGCCGACGACGATATTTGCCGTTGTTTGGGGTTTTAGTGTATCCATTGTCCTCCAAGTCCCAAAAAAAGACTTGTTGTTTTTGATGTCTTTTCTTTGTTCCTTTTTCCGATGCTGGTGAAACAGCCAATCATACTCTCGTGTTGGTCTCGAGGGGGTCTTTCGCTAGGGGGGGGGGGGTTTCTTTTTTTTCTCTCTTTTTTTTTTCTTCTTCTTCCTCCCACACAGTTTTGCACCTTCAGCTTTTTTTTTGTTTTTTTTGTGGGCCAATTAGGCTCTCTGACGATATGCACACCGATAAACGTTTTGGCTTATGGGCAGACCATCAATATATGAGAAAGGCTGAAGAGTATTGAGGCTCTCGGGGGTTGGATGGGCTCGGTTTCTCCAGTCGCCAACGTCCAACCCTCCAAGTATGCGTTGCACTGCGCGGACATGAACCCGTGTTTCAATCAGACGCTACTGGTAGTTGAGCCTAAGCGACATAAAAAAGCAACAGTAACACCACCAGTCTTATTGCTCCGAGGCATTCGGATTTCCCAACATGTGGCGGCGTGAAGACTTCGGACCTTTTCACTTTTTCACACCTCGAGGGACGGGTTCGACGGTACCTTGTCCCACCGCCTCCCCGTCATCAAGCGCAGGCATGTGTGATGCTCAACGTGTCAGCCACTGCCCAGTTCAGTCTGGTCTGCGCAACTGCAACAGGGGTTGCCGTCGGTCGGTTGCTCTGGCCAACCAGACGCTACAAACTCTGCAGCAAGACGGTTCGACAAGGCATCTTGGTTCTCATTCGAGTTGAAAATTTTCGCACAAACGCAACATGTCGAAATGAATCCGTGTGGGCGTACACCATCAATAAGGGCAATACCCGTTTGTTATCCTCTGACAGACTGCAACAATCAAGGCAGTTCTGTTTAATCTTAAAACCGCTTTTTTCCTGCCCCTCGACCCCCAGGGTCCCATGTGCTGTTGCGTCATTTCAAAGGAGCTCTGATGCCTTCTTACATAAGGCTGGGTCTACTACTACGTATATCTGCCGTGGCCAGACACTGGCTACTGTGCTTAGAAGCAGTTCTGGCTGCACCAGACATACATAGTACATATATATAGAAAGGGTCAGGAACACTCTGATCTCCGGCATCTCGTATTCTATGATGATGGAGGGAAAAAAAGATGAAACACTCGCTCCCTGGTATGCAGGCGGTCACAGGTGAAGGGGAAAAAACAATGTGCATTGTACCATGCTTCTAGGAAGAAAGCAGAAAACGGCCTGTCACAGTACATCTACTACTTTCATGGTTGCGCCGCACTGTCTTCTCTCACCGCTTGCCGCAGTTGCCCCTCGTTTGGCCGCCCGCGCAGTGCTCAGGGTCCGTTCACGTTAAAAAATTTCCTGCGGGGTGTCGTCTCAAGATTTTTTTCCTCTTCTTTCTTACGGGAAGAAGAGACATAACTACCCTTAGTCTTCGAATCGGCCTGACTTTGTTTTTCTTGCTCCAATTCGAACGACTAGCTGTTCCTTCAACTCCGTTTTTTTTAAACCTTTTCTTTCTCCTGTTTCCTCGAGAAGAATTGAAGAAAAAAAACTAGACCCTCCAAGATGCCTTCCACCAACGGAATCAACGGCGCCAAGGTGCTCGACTCCAAGTCCGCGCTGCAGGTCTTGAAGGAGTACGAGAGCCGCGATGGCCTCGACATCCACGAGCTCATGGACACCAAGAAGCACGGTGGCCTGACCTACAACGACTTCTTGCTCCTCCCCGGCTACATTGGCTTCCCCGCCTCCGCCGTCGTCCTCGACTCCCCCGTTACCAAGAGAATCACCCTCAAGACCCCCTTCGTCTCCTCCCCCATGGACACCGTCACTGAGCACGAGATGGCCATTGCCATCGCCCTCCAGGGTGGTCTGGGTGTCATCCACCACAACTGCTCTCCTCAGGAGCAGGCCGACATGGTCCGCAAGGTCAAGCGTTACGAAAACGGCTTCATCTTGGACCCCGTTGTCATCAGCCGCGACACCACCGTCGGCGAGGCGAAGGCTCTGAAGGAGAAGTGGGGATTCGGAGGTTTCCCCGTCACAGGTTTGTCAGCCCTCTCGGATTTCTTTTCGCACTCGCCCACCCACCCTACTCGCTTTCATGATTACAAACCTTTTCAATATAACTTTCGTTCCACCTACTTGACGACCATGTCGTTCTGAGGAGACCTTTATAATATGATCAAAGCCTTCTACACGGATTCCTTACTGCTGCAGCAACCTTGTTTGGGAAAAACATGGCTAACAAAAGTCTGCAGAGTCCGGCAAGCTTGGCTCCAAGCTGCTGGGCATCGTCACGAACCGCGACATCCAGTTCGAGGAGGATCCCAACCAGCCCATCTCCAAGGTCATGGTCACCGACCTGATCACCGCCCCCGCAGGCATTGACCTCCCCGAGGCCAACAAGATCCTGGCCAAGTCCAAGAAGGGCAAGTTGCCCATTGTCGACAAGGACAGCAACCTCGTCTCCATGATCTCCCGCTCCGACCTCAACAAGAACCAGCACTTCCCCCTGGCTTCTAAGCTGCCCGACAGCAAGCAGCTCCTCTGCGGTGCCGCTATCGGCACCCGTCCCGAGGACAAGGACCGCCTCAAGCTCCTCGTCGAAGCCGGCCTCGACGTCGTCATCCTCGACAGCTCCCAGGGTAACAGCATGTACCAGGTCGAGATGGTCCAATGGATCAAGAAGGAGTTCCCCGGCCTCGATGTCGTCGGCGGAAACGTCGTCACTCGCGAGCAGGCTGCCACTCTGATCGAGGCTGGCGTCGACGGTCTCCGTATCGGCATGGGCAGCGGCTCCGCCTGTATCACCCAGGAGGTCATGGCTGTCGGCCGTCCCCAGGCCGCCGCCGTCCACTCTGTCAGCAGCTTCGCCGCCCGCTTCGGTGTTCCCTGCATTGCCGACGGTGGTGTCCAGAACGTCGGCCACGTCGTCAAGGGTCTCGCCCTCGGCGCCTCTACCGTCATGATGGGTGGTCTTCTGGCCGGTACCACCGAGTCCCCAGGTACATCCTTTGTCTCCCGGGAGGGTAAGCTCGTCAAGGCCTACCGTGGCATGGGCAGCATCGACGCCATGCAGGACAAGAAGGCCGGCAACGGCGGCAAGGACAGCCAGAAGAGCAACGCCGGCACCGCCCGCTACTTCTCCGAGGGTGACAGTGTCCTTGTTGCCCAGGGTGTCACCGGCTCGGTTGCCCACAGAGGGTTAGTTTACATCCATCACCATTACCATGTCACGCTCAGAATGCTAACTGTTCCCCAGTCCCATCAGCAAGTTCATCCCCTATTTAGCTGCCGGCCTGAAGCACTCCATGCAGGACTGTGGTATCCAGTCCCTGAAGGAGCTCCGCGAGTCCGTTGACAACGGCACTCTCCGCTTCGAGCTCCGTACTTCCAGCGCTCAGCTCGAGGGCAACGTGAACATGGAATCTTACGAGAAGAAGCTCTTTGCCTGAAAAAAAAGGCAGATGCAGCTTTGCAGACATGATGGAATGGTTACAAGACGTGAATGGGACATAGGCAAAAGGTTGGTGGGAATCAAAAAGGAGGCTGGCCAGGGGAAGGAGGGGGAAAAAAAACAGGGTTTCTTCAAGAAAACATAAAAAGCCTCCCCCTCGGGAGCACACACGTGCACACACATGCCAAAAGAAGGGCGAAGCAAAACCAGGCTTTTATGGGGGTTATAGGGCGGCAGTTCTTCAGTCTAGCGGAGTTTTTGGAGTCTATGCAATGGGAAGTGGGCCGAGTCGCCTGGGGACGATGCAGCGTTCTGAATACCAAAAAGAGAAAACATACACAAACCCTCCATCGGGGAAGAGAAAACTCAACCAATCAAAACCCAAATCTCTTTCCAAAGTCGCCGACGGTGCTCTCTCATGTTGATTTTGGCCTGCCCGTTCTGGGCTCTGACCTGCCAGGCGGGGGGGGGGCAGCCGTGCTCACAAGCCTTGCCAGGTATCCCTAGGTAGTTATGGAAGACACGTAGTACTCGCAGGGCGCCGGGTCCCGGGTGATGGACTAACATGTCAGAAAAGAGGGAGATCATGCACATGTCGATGGAGAACGGGACGGGAATTTGGAAGGTGTCAAAAGTCGTTGTCGTCAAAAAGGGGGAGGGCAAATTCGTCGCAAGAACAGGGAAACGACGCTCCTCTCAACTGACCGAGTTGAACAGATTCAACCTTCCAGGCAAGGAAGGGGGGGAGAAGGAAAAAGAACTCCCGACTCACACGGTCCGGCTCCAAACAGGGGAGTCTGGCTCGGACCGATCAAGACACACACATGTTCTGGAAACACGGACACGGGCAAAGATGCACAAAGGGGAGGGGTCTCGGAACATGATCATGGTAATTAGATGACTTGGGGAGGGGGGGTTCCATCGCGGGGGGAAAAAAAAAATAGAAAAAGGTCATCCACACGTTATGCATGCTAAATCGTATTACCCGCTGAGATGCCGCTGATATAACCCGCCCAGGACGGAGCTAGAAAACAAAAAGTTGAAATAAATCCAGTGAACGATGCTTTTTTTATGGTAGTCCCTCGGAGCCAACAATGATCGATGGCAAAAGCCTTCCTTGCCCAGGCTAGATGCCACCAATGAAGGGCCCTGCATATATGCCTCCCTTCCCGCCCTTCCCAACAGCAAACCAAACGAGGAGGAACAAAACTGATGCCGGTGGATGGTGGGGGAAATGTTTTAATCGTAAGAGGGGCTGGCCGTGGATCTCATGTTTCGCGTCTCATCTTCGAAAGCCGGTTTCGATGGCCAAAAAGAAAAAGGCCAAAAAGGGAGAAATTCCTCTGCATGCCGCGAAAAGACGGCCGCCGTCTACGAACGGGAAGGGCTGACGGCGTCGTACCCCGCCGGCCCGGTCTTCGCACCCAGCAGGGGCGCCGTCTCCGTCGGCGCGGCCTGCCCGCTGCCCTCGCTGGCGTATCCCTCGTCGCTGACGCTCTCGTCCTCCTCCCCCTCGTCGTCATCGCTCGCGTCGGGCGTCTGCGTCAGGGCGTCGTAGTCGAAGAGCATGTAGATGGGGATGGCGCCGAGGAGCGCCGTCAGCGCGAGGAACCAGTACGCGACGATGATGTAGCCCCGGGCGACGCCCCAGCTGAAGGCGGCGCCGGCGGTCGCGGGCCCGAACGCGCGGCCGAAGCCGCTGAACATGGTGGCGAAGCCGTTGAGGGTGCCGAGGATGCGCAGCGACGAGGCCGAGTTGGTGAGCAGGATCGTCATGCAGGGGAAGCCGACGATGACGGCGAAGGCCTTGACGAACATGACGACCATGAGGGCGGCGTAGCGGCCGGTGCTGCTCTCGAAGAGGACCACGTAGGGGGTGAGCATGTAGACGACGGGGAAGGTGATGGCTGGGGACGTTTGTTAGCGAATGTCACACTAGTAACAGAGGGGGCATATCGTTGTACGCACCGCAAGCGCGGAAGCAGCGCAGGACACCAAAGTAGTTGCACAGAGGAGGGAAAACAAAAAACTGGATCACGCCGCAGGTGATGCCGTAGATGGTGAAGATGGTGCCGATGCGGTCCGAGCTGAGGCCGAAGCCGCCGGAGAACTGGAAAGGCAGGTGGGTGTTGTCGGGCGTGTGGGCCTGCACGGGGTAGTTGAGGAACACCGGGAGGATCTGGTCATAGGCCACGGAGTGCAGGGCGAGGAAGGTGTAGCAGAGCAGGTTGATGCTTGTCTGCGCGGTGAAGACCTCCTTCATGCTCGGCGCCTCCGTGGGCTGCTTGGGGTCCTTGGCGTGGGAGTTCACCTTGGTGGGGACCAAGGGCGCGGTGGCCTCGCCGTCGACAAAGGAGGTTCGTCGGACGTTGGGAGGGTGGTAGGTGGGGGGCGGGAGCGGCGGAAGGGGCGGGTGAGGCGTTCGCCGAGGAGGAGGCCCCAGTCGGGCTTATGACGCTTGCTTTCGAGCGTCTCCTTCAGGAAGAGGGTGGCGGTGGCGACAGAGATGAGGAAGAAGACGGCGGCGATGAAGTTCGGCAGAGCGAACGGATACGCGTTGAAGAACCAGCTATCGCCAAACACGGAAGGGAAACGGCGGGCGGGGTTGGCGAAGAAACCGCCAAAGGCTGGGCCGAAGATGGAGCCGACGGACCAGATCAGGGGCATGATGGAGAACGCCCGGGGTTGCAACTCCTTCTCGGGGACCATTTCAGCAACCATGGTCCTGATGATTCCAACTGAAGCGCGGCATTAGCACCCCGCACCCTGTGACAGAGGACAAGCAATAGGAGCTGCACATACCATTTCCGTTTCCGCTGCCCAGGATGGCTCGCACGATGATGGCCATCGGTAGGCTGGTGGACATACCCCAGACGACAAAGAACACCATCGTCGAGATGAGACCAACAATGATGGTCGGTTTCCTTCCGACCCGGTCGGAGGCCCGTCCCCACGCAACGGCGGTCACGCTCTGAGAAAGGGAGAAGACGGCGGATGTGTAACCGGCCCATTTTGCGACATCGTTTTGTGCAACGCCGAAACTCCTAATCATCTCCGGGAGGTAGGGAAAGACTGATGTCAACGCGAGAGGCTCCGCGAACCGTGCAATAGCTGTTGTAGAGTTAGCGTTACACTGAAAGTTCAATAATCGGCAATATTCGGCCATGAGGTATGCCGAAGGCGGTTGTAGTCGAAATTACTTGTGTTATGTCCTCCTCGTACGCGGCCGCCTTGGGCTCGTATGACGTAGTCGACCTCCACGGTTCACAGTGATCAGGCACCCTTGAAAGATCAGGACCACGCTTGCGTCGCATTTTCGAGGTAGGTTCTTGAGGTATGTGTGGCTAAGGACAGGCCGGCGGCAATATGGCGAAACATGCAGGTATCCAACCGTCCCAGAGCTCTCGATCCCAGCGAATGCGACCCCACGACGCCCACAAAGCCTCCCACCGCGTGTTCCCGAGTTTGCTTACGAACGCTTCCCGCCGACCTGATTTGGCTCATCGGCACTTGCCCAGCACCTTGACGTCGTCCGCAGAGAGTCGAGGTTTGTTACCAGGGCAGTCAAAAGCAATCGCCGAGACATGTTCTGAAATGTGAGGGCGTCTTACCCAGGATGGCCAGTTGCTTGGCCGGCAACTTTGGTTGCGTTGGTTTGGTCATGATGACACTGGTAAAAAGGACAAGAGGCCCGAGGAAACCACAGGAACTACTGGACAAGTTCGTGGGAAGTCCGGGCTGCGAGGTCTTGGGCAAGGGGGGCCGAAACCGAGGATCCAGAGCGGGGATTCCGAAAAACGCAGCAAGTCTATATGCGTGATGCGATATGGCAGTATGATGTCGAAGGCGAGCAGGCAGGTCGGAGCATAAAAGGAAGCAGGGTGGTCAATCACTTTAAAGCAAAGACATTTGGAGAATTGGAGAAGGGGAAGAGTCACAAGTACACATACACACAGCCCGGGCAAGCAAAGAAAGGAATGGTTCGTCGAGCGCAGACGGAAAGAAGGGAAGGAAAAAAAAAAAAAAAAAACCTAAACACCTGCAATGCCCCACTTTCCATCTGCAGGCTCGCGGCTGCGCTGCACTGGACAAGGAGTACCGGTAGCAGTCATGCCCCCCAGCTTCCTGCAGGACGTCGTGGGCCGCAAGAGAGCGGAAAGGGACCGGACCAGACCCTTTTGTGTTGCTCGGCGCCGATCCCCGCGCCTCTGCTGACGAAAGAATCCCATGCGGTTACTGGTCAGAAGGGCGGTTATTCGTGGAGGGCTGAGCCACTTGGTTGCTTAGGGATGGAGACGGGGCACTTGGAAGGCCTCGCCTCCCGGGGATTAGCACTGCTAGTGCGATGGATAGAGTGTGAAGTGGGAAGTGGGAATTCCCGCCTGCGGTACCCTGACTTGGCATTCGTACACGCGAGCGAGCTACGAAGGAACCAACTGCGACGACATCCTAGCGCATACCTCATTAGGGGTCAAGTGCCAATGACGAGCGCGAGACGCGAGCAAAATGGTCGAGATGCATTGCGGCAACGGATGCCGTGTGTCTCGGACGCTTTGTACATTGTACAATCGAGTGCGATACCCAGGGGACGCCGGTCTGGCTTGTGTGGTGTCCCGTATCTCCCACGTCTCTCAGGGCTCAAGGCTCTGCGAGCCAAAGTCGATTCCCTGCTGCTGGGGCAAAATAGAGAAAGCAGTTGGTCCGGGCCAAGCGATGCGGCGGGCGGGCAGTGTTGCAGGGAGGGAATGTCGTAAGTGGGGGTTGGCCGGCGTAATGCTTTGAAAGGCTGCCAGGTTGTCAAGACGTCCGTTGTCGGCAGAGGCGTTCACTAGGGCATTCTGTAGTTGTAGGTACTATAATGGCGAGTCGGTGAGGGTGGTGTGCAACGAAGCATGCAAAAAAAACAAAAAAAAAAAAACAAGCAGGGGCTATCGCTGTAGCCCGGTGGTGTGTACAGATACCTAATCCGACCAGGAGTAGGTGGTGGTGCTCTTCTAAGAATCCGCCTCAAAGTCAAAAAAAGATGGAACGAAAAAAATAAGCAGAAGAGTCGAGAAGACCGAAGTCGCCCCCCCCCCCCCCCCCGCCATTGCCATGACGTCCACTTTTTGCCGGTGGGGGTGCCTCTTTTTCCCCGGCGGCGTCTGACCGATTTCGCCGAAGCCGGGGCCGAGCATCGGGAAAAGTGCGACAAAGCTGAGTAATCAGATCGAGGTGGCAGCGCAGGGGTGACCTTTGCTTGTGAGCGCCAGCGAAGAGCGGCGACAACCCAACTGCCCTCCGGAACTCTGTGTCGCGGGCCCACCGCCCCGAGACACACACGCGCATTGCCAGATGGGAAACACACGACGAGACCGAAACCTCACAGGCAATAGGTATCTGATGCATTGAGATCGCAGAGACGCCAGGTTTGGGCGGTGGTGGTTGCCTAGGAGCTCACCGAAAAGACTGATTGGACGGAACCCCACCAATCAACTGCCTGATTGCCGATGTTAGCCGGTACTTTTACCCGTCCCTGCGGAGTGTGCGTGTGCGCTGTGTCTCATCTCTCTTGTCTCTCTTCTCTCTCTCTTTCTCTCTCTAGACTCGAATCGAAGATGAAAGACAGGCGGCGGCGACGGCGTTTCCCTAGCCAAAGCTTACCCCAGTTAAAGAGATAAGATGATGTAACAGCCCGACCGTCACGAGTGCCCTGTGTCTCTGTTCGCCTGTGATGCCGTTGGACCCAATCAATAGCGCGAACGTGAGACGGTCGATGCGGCGTCACAGGACGGATGCTGGGGCCCGTCTGAGCAGAGTGATAGCAAAAATGAACCGCAGCCGTACCTCCGTGCCTTGATGGAGGAGAGGACCTCGTTTTTACTTATCTCCAATCTTCCGGCGAAGAATCGGCACCGGACCGCCGATGGCCCGCAAAGGCCCTCTTCGCCTGAGTGCCCAAGATAGGAAGGAGCGGGGTGGGCCCCAGTGAAAGCTCCAGAGCCGTTCAATCAGGTTCCTTTGCCAGTCGGCGGCAGCCGATCGGCAAACCGCACTGACTGATGCTTGATAATGATAACATGGGCGAAAGCACGCAATGTTGGTAGCAACTCTCAACCCTCTTTCAACGACATCTCGGGCAGAACGCGCAGAGGCAATTTGCTGTCAAAGTGCTTTCACGATGGCAAACGAGTAAGTAGGGCCTCAGTCGCATGCCTGGTCATCCTCGTGATCTAGGAGTTCTGGTCTGAGCTGGCGTGGCTGAGCATGGCCCGCAATGATGCAACAACCATCATCGTCAGCCACACGCGTCTCATCCGCCCCTCCTCCTCCTTCTCATTCTCCTCCTCATTCTCATCACTCAAAAACCACAAGTTCAAGTCACGCACACACGTGAGATAGGTAGCCATACTAACACGAGCTCAGAAAGCGCAGCGACGAGAAAATGTCCAACGAGCGGACGCCGCTCATCACCAACGTCTACATTGGTGCGCCGCCCCGCCGTTATCCGAATCATGTCCTCCGTCGTTTTTGCACCATCGCCCTCTCATCCACCCTCATCCTCTGGTCCCTCTTATTTGTAGTCGCCCTCTTCGTCGACGAGCCCCCTCGCCACCACGGACACCACCATCACGGCTGGACCTGGACCAACAGCATCAACCGTGCGCCCATCACACATGAGGAGGTGCAGAAGATCCTCTTCGAGGTGCCCTCATCTGAGAAGGCCGAGGAGTGGAGCAGATATTACACAGCTGGACCTCACCTTGCGGGCCAGAACTACTCTCAGGTATGAAGTCGAATGGATCATCTCGAAGGCACTCACTTACACTTTGCAACCAGGCTCTGTGGACGAAGGAAAAGTGGGAGTCGTGGGGCGTCCAGTCCAGCATCGTCTCTTACGACGTCTACCTCAACTACCCCATCGACCACAGCCTCTCTCTGCTCTCAAAGTCCAAGGACGATGAAGAGTCGTCCTGGAAGGTCGACTTCAAGGCCGCTCTCGAGGAAGATGTGCTCGAGGAAGACCCGACCTCCGGCCTGGAGAACCGCGTGCCCACCTTCCACGGCTACTCCGCCAGCGGCAACGTGACCGGCTCATTCGTCTTCGTCAACTACGGTACCTACCAGGACTACGAAGACCTCGTCAAGGCCAACGTCAGCCTGGAGGGCAAGATCGTCATCGCCAAGTACGGCGGCATCTTCCGCGGCCTCAAGGTCAAGCGCGCCCAGGAGCTCGGCGCCATCGGCGCGCTCCTGTACAGCGATCCCGGCGACGACGGCGCCGTCACCGAGGAGAACGGCTATGAGGCCTACCCCAACGGCCCTGCCCGCCACCCGAGCGCCGTACAGCGCGGCAGCGCCCAGTTCCTCAGCCAGCGGCCCGGAGACCCCACCACCCCCGGCTACCCCTCCAAGCCCGGCGCGCCCCGCGCCCCCGTGGACGACGCCACCCCCTCCATCCCGTCCATCCCCATCTCCTACGCCGACGCCATCCCCATCCTCAAGGCTCTCAACGGCCACGGCCCCTCCGTGACGGACTTCAACAAATACTGGAACAGGAACCTCGGGCTCAAGTACAAGGGCGTCGAGTACAACATCGGCCCCACCCCCGACGACGTGGTGCTGAACCTCTACAACGAGCAGAACTACACCACCACCCCCCTGTGGAACGTCATCGGCATCGTCAACGGCACCATCCCCCACGAGGTCGTCGTCGTCGGCAACCACCGCGACGCCTGGATTGCTGGTAAGTCGATCGCCCGTCTCCAGACGATCGGTCTGCATGGACACGAGCACTGACACGAAGCCAAGGTGGCGCCGGCGACCCCAACAGCGGCTCCGCCGTCCTCAACGAGGTCATCCGCGGCGTCGGCGTCGCCCTCGCCAGCGGCTGGAAGCCCACGCGCACCATCGTCTTCGCCAGCTGGGACGGCGAGGAGTACTCCCTGATCGGCAGCACCGAGTGGGTGGAGGAGTACCTCCCCTGGCTCTCGGCCGCGTCCGTCGCCTACGTCAACGTCGACGTCGGCGTCCGCGGCCCCAACTTCAACCCCTCGGCCGCGCCGCTCCTCCACCGCGTCCTCCGCGAGGTCACCCAGCTCGTCCCGTCCCCCAACCAGACGGTCCCCGGCCAGACGGTCGGCGACGTCTGGGACGGCCGCATCAGCACCATGGGCTCGGGCTCCGACTTCACCGCCTTCCAGGACTTCGCCGGCATCCCCTCGCTCGACTTCGGCTTCGGCGGCGATAACGGCGAGGCCGTCTACCAGTACCACTCCAACTACGACTCGTTCCACTGGATGAAGGAGTTCGGCGACCCGGGCTTCGTCTACCACCGCACCATGGCCCAGATCCTCGGCCTCGTCGTCGCCGAGCTGTCCGACGTGCCCGTCATCCGCTTCAACGCCACCGACTACGCCGACGCCCTGGACTCCTACGTCGACCAGGTCGAGACCAAGCTCCTCCTCGCCGGCGACGACGTCGACGCCGAGCCCGCCTCGGACGAGGAGCTCTTCCGCGCCCGCGCGAGCGTCGTCGCCGCCGACGCCGACGTCCGCGGCTCGCCGTCCCGGTTCCGCGCCTCCCTGCAGGTCCTCCGCACCTCCGTCGCCGCCCTGCGCGCCAGGGCGGAGAAGCTCGACGACACGGCCGCCTGGGTCGACTGGGAGCTCAAGGCCGGCATCCCCTGGTGGAACCTGCTGCGCCGCATCAGGGTCGCCCTCGCCTTCGTCCGCGTCAACAAGGCCTACAAGGGCTTCGAGCGCCACTTCCTCTACCCCGCCGGCCTGGACGGCCGCAGCTGGTTCAAGCACGTCGTCTTCGCGCCCGGCCTGTGGACCGGGTACTCTGGAGGTTAGTACTTCCCGTCTCACGAACCCCTCCCCCCCCCAAAGTCTTTTTTGCATTCCCTTCACTCTTTGGGAAACAACTGCTGATCCGCGACCACAGCCGTCTTCCCCGGTCTTCAGGAGAGCATCGACGCCAAGGACTTCGAGAACGCCCTCAAGTGGGCCGGCATCGTCAACGAGTGCATCGCCTCCGCCACCAAGAGCATCTAACGACAAGCTTGGTCGGTGAAGCCTCCCGCCGTCCGGTTCCATGAAACATCCATCATCCCCCCCACCCCCCTTCTCTTTTTCTTTTCGTGACACCGCTTGTTGGAAAACCTCTATCGTTTATTCCATAGCTTTTCGGCCGAAAAGAACCCTCCCCTCATATACTCGCAAATAGTACATCAATCAAATGCATATCTCGTGGAAAAAGAAAAAAAAAATGCAAAGCATTATGTGGGGAGGGAAAGAACCCCTCCGAAGCGAAATCCCTGACCAGCTCGAACTGGGGACGTGAGAAGAACCGGTGGTTTCGGGATACGGCCCGCCATGCTCTCTACACTTGTACCGTCATCATTCAACGTGAAATCGAGCGCATGTTCATCGGCCAACATGTATCAGCATTTGATCAATGGCTTCTATGCCTCTATCGTCTCGGCTATTCATACAATCACAGATCACAGAATCTCTCCCAATAAGGGCGCTCTCTACGCTCCCCAGACGGTCTCACCCCCCGCGCGCTTAAAACTTGTAGACCTGCTCGGGCTTGTAGCCGAGCTCCTTCAGGGCGCCGACCAGCTCGCCCTGATCCTTAGGGCTCTTCTTGTTGCCCGAGATGGCGTTCATCATGCCGGGGGGCCGCACACGAACACCTTGATGTTCTCGCTCTTGGGCTCGGGGAGGACCTGCTTGAGGAGGTCCTTGGTGATGAAGCCCTTGCTGCCGACCCACTCCTTGGGCGGCTTGTCGAGGACGTAGAAGGCGCGGAAGCGCTGAGGGTACGTGTTCTCTAGCTCGGCGAACTCCTTCTTCAGCAGGATGTCCTCCTCGGTGACGTTGCCGAAAACGAGGGTGACCTTGGTCTTGTCATCGGGGTTGTTGAAGATGGCGCGCGCGAGCTGGTACATGGGCGTGATGCCCGTGCCGCCGGCGACGAGGGCGATGTGGTCGTGCTTGTTGGGCGACCAGGGATACTTGGGCAACGGGCCCTTGAAGTCGAGCCGCTGGCCGGGGGTCATGTCGTGCATGTGCGTCGACATGGGGCCGTTAGGGTACTTCTTGACGATGAGCTCGATGTAGCCATTGGCGTCTGCGTAGCTGTTAGTCTAAAAAGGAGGGAATGAGGACGCAGACGGGTCGCCAAGGAGGGATCGGAAGGAGCAGACTCACCCTCATCGCTGGTGGGTGTGTAGGGCCTCAGCGTAGCCTTCTCGTCCTCGGGGCCCTTGTACTTTGTCAAGACGGCGCTCGCGACATCGAGGCCGGAGACCATGTCGTCCTCGGGCAGCTTGAAGCGGAACTTCTTGGTGTTGTGGTTGACGATCTCGACGTCGTCGAGCTTGAGCGACACGAAGCCCTGGTCGCCGCCGGTCAGAGCCTTCTTGGGCGCCGCTCCAACGGCCTCCTTGACCTTGGCCTCGGCCTTCTGGGCGCCCGCGGGGGCAGAGCCGGAAAGGAAGTAGTAGGCGCCGCCCGCGACGGCGGCCGCGGCGCCGGCGTACAGGGCCGCGTTCGAGCCGCCGCTTTTGGTGGGCTCAGTGGCATAGCGGCGGGCTTGCTGTTACGATGGACTCTGATTAGTTCTGGTGATTCAGTCTTTGGTAATGGTAGAAGTAGTTCAGTTTGGGGGACAGCAGCAAGGCAGGGAATGCGCTGAGCATCTTACCAGCTTCAGAGGCTGCGCGGCCCGGAAAGCAGATCGAGCAAACATTGCGATGGAGGGCTCGATTGAGATCAAGTCGTTTAGAATCGTTCAATTGATAGGCGTCGAGGGAGAACAGAGCTGGTGGTTGATTGGGAAAGCCTGATTCGTTGCCGGGAAGCTTGCGTAGATTTGGATCCGAGACAACAGCTCCAAAGCCGGGCAACCCGCAAAGCTCTCTCTCTACCTCTCCATCCAGTCGGGGGTGGGGGCAGTGCATGACGTAAAATGTCACGTGAATCCACACAAGCTCCTTCTCGCTGCCTGGACCTCCGTTGGCCGGACCGGAGTGATAACCGTGTGGCATTTATCGATACAGTTGCCAACGTGCTCAAAGGACATTGGGACGGTGGTCAGCGTCATAGTCTTTTCGGTGAAGAAAATGGGCAGATGCCAAATGCTGAGTATGTTGGTTTGTATCCCCCTCGCACCGGGAAAGTCCCGGCGGCGGTCGCGCCCAATAAATTATGTACAAGCAAACAGCTTCAAATTCAAATGCTGAGAGCTGAGCTTAAACATCCATTGCACATTTGTTGGGTGCTGTGGCCAGAGGCCTGGTACGCACCCACCCAGCATTACGGCTTTCCATCTGCATTGAACCCAAATGGGCCCTTCCACGGGGCCATGACCATCCACATTCTTCGTCATCCAAGCTACATGCTGAAAGCGACCGACCAGGGGCTCCTCTCTTTATGTCTCCTGAAATACAACAATACGCCTCTTGATCATCAAAGAAAAATCAGAAACGCTCCTCCTTAACGTTCCTCATAGTACATGGTTTATGGCAGATGCCCTGAGAAAAGGGATCTGCCGAACAAAAAAATCTAGCCCTCCTCGCACGCTGCGACAAAAGCCTTGCCAGCGTCTCCAACAACATCACCGGTCTGTTTCCACTGCGTCGGGCTCTGCGGGCTTCTCGCTGGGAGTCTTGGCCTTTGGCGTGCTCGACCGATCTGCTAGCTTGCTCTCTGGAATCGTTTCCGTCAAGGGGCTGATTTGAGAGTCCCTTCTTTTGGCAATCGTATCCTGGCTGCCTCGACGCATCGTGCCGATGTCCTGGTGCGAAGCCAAAGTAGGCGTGTTCGCCTGACTACCACCTCTCTGACCATGATAGTGAACAACTTGGGGAGGGGGCTGTCCAGCCTGGATGCCGAGTTGCTGCGTGGGATATGGATCCAAGTCTTTGCTGGATGTAGAAAATGTCGATACCACGGGCTGGTGATAACCATTGGATGAAGACTGGCTGCCGGTTGGCGTGTGGCCCTGGGGTTGATGTTCCGCTTGCGTCGGGGTTCCAACATCATTTGGAGAAGTTGATCCCTCGCCCAAATTTCCGGTGAGGCTATTCATCCCGCCTTCAATGTCACGGAGCAGGCGGACATATTCTTCCGGTACGAGTCCACTTTCCTGCGTCTTTGGATCCTCAGCCACGAGCCAGCCTTGGCCGTGTCGATACGAAACCCATATAATCTGACCCTCCAACAATGGCAATTCGTTTTCGTTTTCTCTCTCAAAGTCGAATAGGGCAACGGCCTTACCGTGCATCTCCTCGTCAGGTGAGGTAATGGTGAATTGGTAGTCCCGTGAGTATCTGGATTGATCGTCACCGCGGAAACCCGGCGAGGATGCTGAGCTGGAGGCGTCCGAGTAAGCCTCCTGTTCCGCGTACTGCCGAGGAGGTAGGTCACCCAGCTGGTATGCATGGCTGGAATGTCTCGCATCGTCGGGTGGGTAAGTGACATATTCCCCGCCCGGTCCATTTGCTTCCCCTCCTTGATTCAAATAGTATCGCTCGCTGCCATCACCGCCGGTTCCGACATAGAAGCCGCGCTCTTGCTCGTAGAGTGAGGGATTTAGCACGTCGTTGCTGTTCTCTTGGGAAATTCTTGAGCGGGAGCTTCCGCCAAAGGCCGCAGCAGAAGACTTGTGTTTTCGGTGCCGGGAACTAACAACAGGGCTCGCCAGATCTTCGTCCTCGCTCCACGGTGGGCCGTCTCGAAATTCCATCGGCGGCAGATCGCGGGCCTTGCCAAAGCCGTCCCATGAGCCGTTATCCCAGGTCATTTTGAGTTCCCAAACGGCGGCAGGATCGGAGAGGCGGCGCGACTCGCTGGCGGGCGTACTGAGACCAGAAGCAGGATGTGACGGCTCTGGCACGGGACCGTAGTGCATGGGGTGCATCATGGGATATGCGAAATCGCGCACCAGAGTGTAGGGAAGGTTCGAGGTGAACATTGGGAATATGTGAGAGGGCGGTCGCGAACGCGACGGGACAGAGCCCGTCGAGTATTGCGACAGGCGATTCTTTGAAGCGTGCGACATTGGTCTCGGTGCGATTGATCGTCGGGCGACCGGTGATGTTATTAGCGGCGGGAGTGGGGGATGGTTCGGGTTGGCGGAGGGAGAAGCAGCTGCAGGCGGGGATGTCGTGGGCGAGGAGTCTTGTGACAAGAGCGTGGTCATCCTGAGATTATTGCAGACGTTGGGGAGCCAGCATGAGTATGACAGGCACTCGATTTGCAGATCCTACGGCCTCGTGCCAGCCATGCAGCAAATTCTTCGCAGAACAGCCGACCGTGGTTTGCCGACGACAATTGAAGGGGAAGAGGGGTTATGATTGCTAAGTAGCCAGTGTCAGGCAACAGCCGCAGTGAGGACAAAGGTATGCGCAGGCGTAATCGAGGGTTGTACAGCGCCGCCAGAACAGAGCGGGTTGGCCTAGGTATGCGGGCTGCTGCGAGGGTCGTGATTTGAACGAGGCGAAGAAGAACAGCTTTGGGTTGAAAAATGCAGTAGAGGCGGCAAGCGGGCTTGCTCGCAAGGTGTCGCAAAACGAAAGTCGTCGCACGCGACGCTGTAGGTTGGAAATTGAAGAAGGAGCGTCGAGAACGAAAAGCCAAGAGCAAGGGTGCCGTTGGAAGTTTGGCCGCGGGGTCGCTCGGCGTGCAGCAAGAGGAGGGTCGAAGAATGAAGCGGGCCAAACGGTGCAGCGGATGGAAGGATGGAAGAAGAGAAGAAGAATAGAAGTATGGAGGAGTGGAAAGGAGGAAGTGAGGTTGGGAATAATCCGTCTGGGTTCAGGTTGCTGGCGCTGTTTTGGTGCTGAGCAGCCGCGCAGCGAGAAGAGAGAAAGAGTCCAAGTCTCAGGTCGCTTTGCTGGTGAGATGACGGGAGGGTGTGTGTTGAAAAGAGAGGTACCGCAAACTGTCTAGCACCCGCGTCTGTGTTTGTATACTATAGGGCAGAACAGGGAGTGGAATACCTGTGGAGCGACACCTGGAGAGAAAGACAGAGAGAGAGAAGGGGGGGGGGCGTGGCGGGCAGAGAGAGAATGTGTGTACGTGGGAGTGGGTGCGTGTGCTGTATCCGGCCCGCAGCTAGAAACGGCCGTCTGTGCCTTTTTGCACCAGAGGCAGCACAAGATTGGACTGGACTGGACCAAAATGGGCTGCAACAAGCTGCCTACCTCAGGTATTGGTCCTGGGCCAAGGACACAAGTAGAAGTACTTTGATGTTGTACTTTTGTTAGAGCACCCTTTCACCAGTGAGCAAGCAAGCTACAGAATTACCCCTTGGGGAGGGTTACACGAGGAAGCCAGCGGGGGGACCACTTACTCATCGGCTATCCCAAGGTACTTGTGACCTTGAGAAGGAAAGTTCAGGGACGCAAGAACAGACACTTCGACCCCCAAACGCACTGGGACTGCACCTTGCTGCCTCTAAGCGCGTCGCGCAGTGATCCTACTGGCTGTTGGCGGTTGGAAATGGCGGGAAGGGGCGGAGGGGTGTTGATGGATTGGGAAGCAAGGAGGGAAAGGAGGTAATGGGACGGTGGGGAGAGGCGCAGATGTCTCCGTAAGGTAGAGAGAGAGAAAGAGAGAGGGAGTGTGTGTGTGTGTGTGTGTGTATGAGCGCGCACATAAGAGGGAGAAGAAGATGTGTTGGGAGGTGAGGGGGCGGGAAAAGAGAGGAGAGAAGGAGGATCACAGCAGAGAGAACGGTGACAACAGCGGCGGCGGCAGCAGCAGCAGCAGCAGCAGCAGCAGAAACAACACCACCGGCAGGGACACTGCTACAACTTGGGGTGTTAGGCAAGGCAAGGCAAGTTACGAGAGGGGAGGGAAAGAGGCGAAGAGAGGGGTAATTAGAGGGCGGGATTCGGACAGGATTTGGACCTCGCTCGTCCGCTTTCTTTCTTTCTTTCTTTTTGCTTTGCTTCTTTGCTTCCTTCCTTCTTTCTCTCAAAGAAAACACACAAAAACAGCAAATGACAGAAACAGAAAGAGACGCCCTGGAACCGAGTCAGCGCCAGCTGCAATCGGCAGGATGGACTATGGAACTTGCCGCCCACTGGGCCGGCCACACCTGAGTAGAAGCATATAGTAAGTAGATCTGAACTGGAAGGGTATATCCTCCGTTGTTGTCGTGGGTAACAATATCTGGAGACTTATCTGGGAAGCGGATGCTTTGCAGCTCGTTCTCGCAGGGGGGTGGCGGTCACGGCTTCCAGCCCAATACGGAAGGCCCGGCGAAAGCAGCGATATACGGATAAATACAGTAGAGTGCCTAGAGCAAGTAAACAGACAGATCAGGAAACAACCTGGAGAGGTGCAGGTCCAGATGCGGGTGAAGTCTTGTGTACAGGCATAGCTCATGTATCCCGGATACGCATTCGCGCAGCTGCTGCCTTGCGAGATGGTACTTGATCATGTACTCGCAGTGGCTTCACTTTTCCGGCTGCCGCTAATTCAACAGATTTAGTCACACTCTCCATCCTCCCCCCATTGTCAACAATACCATCACGCCCCCCCCCCCCCCCCCCTTCCCCTTCAGATGCTATGCCTCGACTTCCTTGTCGACAAAGTATGTGTCAACCTCGGATGCTGCCTACCTAGTTGCTAGTCATCGTCGACCGCCGAAGCAAGCTTGGACCGAGCCATGTGCCGTGCCTTCTCGCTTCCTCTCACATACCTGCTTGACTTGCGCCTCGTGGGCGATGAGTCTCGCTTTGCGCCGGAGCGTACTCTTCTCCCCCACAACGGCCCAGAGTTTTCACGGAATCCAAAAGGAAGAAGCCTGTCGAACAGTACAGGGCTAGAGCGGTACCCGGCGTGGTTGCTGGTCCGCCAACGGCTGCTGTCAATTAAAAATTCGACACTGACCACTTCAACACCGGCCGGCGCAGATTCCCGTCCAGGTCGCACCATGGTCCGATAGTGGCTGACCCACAGCTGATTAGCGAGGACGTCGCTGGCGCAAATCGCAGGATCTCCAGTACTGGTCACCCACTGACGTGAAATTCGCCCTCATGGTCCGAACCATAGCGATGGGAATCTTTGCGTAAGGGCGCTGATCACAAGGGGCTGGACTGGAACTGGAACTGCTCATAATAAAAACTAGCATAAACTACCTACGCGTACATTGCGGACAGACGGAACCGGAAGAGGTGGCAAGGATCGGCATCGAACCCCATGCCATAGCCGTCACCTATATTGCTCCAATATCTCCTCCATGCCCAAGGATATTGGACTCGGACATATATCCAAGACCTTCCTACACAATGGTGCCGCATGCTACGATCAAGCTCTATACCCAGGAAATTTCCATCCGTGCAGTCTTTCTGCCCGAGAGCGGACAGCCTAAAGCACAAACAACCAGCGACAGGTTAGCCAAGCACCATCCAATCAGCTGAATCGTCCCGAACATCTGTGCCAACCGTGGGGCAACCCACTAACCGATAGATGGGTTAGTCGAAATTACGTTTTCCTTTCAGTCCACAGGGTGGAATAGGCATGGTGAAACTGCAACGCTGATCCATCGTCTCCTTGAAGCTCCTAGTTTTGCCATCAACTGCCCGCGGCCCCATGCAGAAAAGCAGTCGCTGATGTTTCTGATTGTTAAATGGTGCCGGCGTGGTTGGGGACGGGCAGGAAGGGATCCGGCGGCTCGAGGGTCGTTGACGAACCTCAACCCTTACCTGTCAGCAGTTCCAGCCGGCCAACTGCCATTGACGTTGGCTCATCAATCCTCTTCTCGCACGAATGCATCTGAGCGGCAGCGGCAGCGGCAGCACCAACCATGCAAAGCACTGAAGGGATGCGACGGACCATAGGAAAGCCTGACTAGGACTAGATCGAGCGGGAAGCTTGAGCGCTGCATCAAGCTCGCCACAACGCAGGATGGGTTTACAGCTCAGCTGTCGACCCCAAAAGAAAGACAGGTGTTCCGATCTGGGCCATTCTACTCTCAGCCAAGGGTGGCACCATACAGGTGCCCAACACTGGACTGATGGGCCGACTGCAAACCCTTGTGAGAGAGAGGTCTAGCCCGTCAACGCTCCAAGGACTAGAGCCGTCAGAGTCCATTTCGCTGGCCCAGCTTTACTGTGGCTTCTACTGGAGAGCCTGCAAGTGAGGTGCGACCTGCCCTACCACGCGTGACAAGGACGTGTGTATCTGTACGTCTCGCCGAGGGCGGACAAATGTCTCCAGCCGAGACTCAAGACTCTAGACGCATCCTCCTTTGGCTGGGCGGCGGGCGCCGTCAAGTCGCCTCATTCAATGGCTGTTCTATTTCTGGGCCGTGTGCGCCGTACGCTGCGCACGGCATCTGCAGCTGGACTGCTTAGAGTTGCTACTGATTGGTGCCCTCGTCGCTGTCGTTTGTTTCAGAATCTGCGAGCGTCTAACAGCCAATCAAATGGGCTGGTTCGGAACAGCCACGTGAGGTGACCAGGTATCTACCTGGTAGGTAGCGTGGACCCGGAGGTTGGTTGAGCTATGCGAGCCTCAGGCAGGGAAAGGGTTGTGTCATCCCTGCTTGTTCCTCATGGGCCGACGTTCAGCCGAAAAGCGAGCTGTCTGCATGGGTAATTTTCTCCAGCCATAAACAACGTCAACGAAATTCGATAAAACTTTTCCTTTCGTCAACAACACTCGTCAGCTTTGGAGCTTTCAAAGCCACGACTGGCAACGTTGGACTAAAGATAGATCTTGGGTTTCACGCACCCCTGAGGAGGCAAGGACAAGATAGATATTCCACACTCACACATCCACGAATTTGGTTCAATCAATTCCTCTCAAAAGGTAAGGCAAAACTCGAGCACGAAAACGCCTTCGAGCAACCTCGCATGATGAGTCTTTTATTATTGGAGCTGTCTAAATCCCCATGTTGACACACTTTACACCGTATACGCTTTATGTCTGATATCGCGATGAACCTAGTTTACAATGGAAAGCATTTAAATGTGTCGGGATTCTTGGCTAATTCAAGACACAGATCAAACTGTCCCTCAAACGACCGGCAGACGAACGAGCAACGCCCACCGCGATTTCGAGTGACTAACCAGCAAGCGCGGGGGTTTTTTTTTTCTTTTTTCTGATTTGCCCTTCTCCGGCCCCACGTTTTTCCTTTGCTTCGTTTGTTGATTGTCGCCCATCGATACCCACTCGAAGCTCGTGGAGCTCGATCCGTCTCCACCACCATCGTTACTTTACGTACAATTGCCACCATACCCTCTGCAAACATCACGGACACAATGGAGGTCGTGAATGGTACTGGCGCCGCGCAGGCCGCAGCTACGACAGCAGCGGCGGACGCGACAACGCCTAACAACGGCAGTGAGTCGGGGACTGGAGACTTCAAGCTCAAGTTCTGCACAGTCTGTGCCAGCAACCAGAATAGGTACGTGAGGCTTACTGCCCGTCAGCATCAACCTACCGTCGCAGCAGTGCCGCATGCTTTGCTTCGCTTCAGCGGCGCCATGAACAACGGTCTAACCCAGTCATTATTCCACAGATCAATGGTTTCCCACCTTCGACTTGCAAACGCAAACTATCCCGTCATCTCCTTCGGCACCGGGTCCCTCGTCCGTCTGCCTGGCCCCTCCATTACGCAGCCCAACGTCTACCACTTTAACAAGACATCGTACGACTCAATATTTAAGGAGCTCGAGTCGAAGGACCCGCGACTTTACCGCGCCAATGGCGTCCTCAACATGGTCGACCGCAACCGTCATGTGAAATGGGGCCCCGAGCGCTGGCAGGACTGGCAGATTGGCATGCCACGCCTCAATCACACCGACGACCGCGGCAGCGTCGGGGTTGAGGGTGGTGTTGTTGACATCGTCGTCACCTGCGAGGAGCGCTGCTGGGACGCCGTCATCGACGACCTCATGAACCGCGGCGCGCCTCTGAACCGCCCTGTCCACGTCATCAACGTCGACATCAAGGATAACCACGAAGAAGCCAGTATCGGAGGGCGCGCCATTCTCGACCTTGCAAACTCCCTCAACGCCGCCGCCGTTGAGGAGCGCGAGGCCGTTGGCGCCGCCGCGTTCGATAGCGGCAGCGCTTCTAGCCGTGCGAGCTTCGACGAGAGGGTTCCGGATATCCTGGCCGCGTGGCAGGATCGGTGGCCGCATCTGCCGGCCGTTTGGACATTGGCTTGGTTTTGAGCGGGTGTTGGAGCCAGACGGCAGGTTGGGAAAAGCATTTTTTTGTCGCTTGCATGAGGGAACGGACAGAAGCGAACGATACATCACATCGGCCCATTTATCCCTTGCGGAGCCCCTGCAACATATTGATATCACCGATCCGAGCGACGAAGAGGCTTGCGATGTCAACATTGACATCAATACCACGGAGCTCTTTGTCTGGCTCCGACCCACGAATCGGCTTGCAGCGTCCAAGGATGCTGCATGACACAGCCCAGAAGGACCGTGTAAAGTTAACATCAGAAGCCGGAACAGAAATCCAGCTCGCGCCTTTATTGACCGACCGTTTATGTGGGAGTCGGGAGACACCACTATCGAGCGAGGAAGCTCCACGGTACTACTGGGTAGAATCGGAATGCCTTGGGGTGGCAGCAGAGGCAAAACGATAGTTGGCGGGCTAGGAACAGCGACAAGGAGGCGTCGAGTGTTCATTGTTGACGGGAGCCCTTTGAGACGTGCCACATGTGGTCGGTGTCGTAGGTGCGATTCAGGGAGAGACTTGACGGAGCACGGAGCATGTTCCAGAGCAGCTCCTCGACTGGGGAGCAAAGCTCGGGGAAATGACCAGACAAACGAACTATAACGACGAACATGAACAATAACCATCCTTGAACGAAGATTTCCTAATCCTGCCGCGCATCGCCTTATCATTGCACGGTTCACCATTGGTTTTTTTTTTTTCCCTCTCTTTTTTGTGGTTCCGACCTGACGAACCCCAGATAACGGTTCCATAGCGTGTCGCTACCGCCCGTTGAACCCCAGAAGCCATGTGAGGCCGCGTTTCGAGCTCAGCCTCGGTCGAGGCAAGTTTCAAGTCACGAAGCCCCGGAGAGGAGCGGATGCTTGCACGGTCGGAGCCGCCGAACCTGCTGCGGCGTCGACCGTTGGCCCCTCTCACAAGAGATTCGACGAAGAGGGAACAGACTCGAGACTCGGTATGCAAAAGACCAACGGCGCGGCATGTCTGGGGGGGGAGCAGCAGTGCGGCTCCGTGGTGCGACTCCCGCCGTTGTGGTCGCGTGTTTGGTTTTCGTCCTTTGGAGCTGGCTGCTGGTCCGTGAGCCTGTGTCAAAATGGTTGATAAAATTGCCGCGGACGGTGGCCTGTGGCATTTGGGGGAGGGGAAGGGGGGTAGGCGGGTTTTCCAATGAGAAACGCATCGCGTTTTCCTCCATCATAACCAAAGCAAGTTTCGTGTGAACTAGGAGGAGAGGCTTTTGGGCGTACCCATTCCCCCCACATTTCTTCCTTTTCTTCTTCCTAGAAGATACAGCTCGCCGGTACACGTCTGGTCCGAGAGGGAAGCAAGGCTGTGGTATAGTTTATGAAACGACTGCGATTTTTGAACATTAATATCATTTAGATATCGCAAGGGGGTCGGGAAGGCTTGGGCCGGTGGGGTGCGGCCTCACGCGAGCCGCGTCAAATGGGCATTATAACATACGGAAGAAAAAAAGACTTTAATTGTATGCAGTTTGTATCATGGCCGACTCGCTTCCTGTGCTTTTTCTTACATCGTTCCCGTGTCGTGCTGCTGCCCCCCCCCCCCCCCCCCTTCCCCCAAAGTCGGACAAAGGGTTGATGCGGTCTGAAGATGCCATGTTACACGTCGCCCCCAGAGCCTCACCCCACGGCTAGACTTCGCCCCCATCCTCCTTCTCCCCACTTGGAACGCAAACCCTCAGAGGCAGCCGAATCGGGGTTCATACTTGAGCCCCGGGCACGGGGACGCCCGCGAAAGTGGTGATCGGCGTGTGTGCCCGAAGGCTCGAGGCACTTTGTGGCGGGGGGGATCCCGCTTCGCGACAGCCTGCGAGGGCCGAAAGGGTCGAGGCTGTGGTCTGATTTTTGCTTCGACAAAAAAGTACTATGTAGGAAAGTGCAGGGCGGTCCAGATGAGGCGTAATCTTAGAGGCAATCAAACGACGCATGGGGCCCGGGCAAAGAGAACCGGTCGAGGCGCCGACACCGACGGCGGCTGGACGGGGGTTGAGTGGTTTTTACAAGGGGCATCCATTTTCTAGAAGCCTATTCAGGAATGAACTCTCGATGGGATCCGGGTATTCTAGTTTATTCGTACGGCACCGCACTGGAAACTGGATCCTACCTTACCCTGGACTGCGACGCTGACAGTCTCTTGGTGCGTTTATCACAGCAGCCACTACTACGTATTAGCAAGGCCAAGAGTCTGGGCAGGATGGCAAAGCCAACCCGCATCCGCGGACGCGGGCACCAAAATGGGCCAAGACGAACGACAAGCAGCTGTTGATGTGCAGAGTACTCCGTACGTAGCACACTACTTGTGCGGCGGCAGGCAGTATGAACCGTTCGTCAGCGAATCGTCAGCGAGAGAAGGGGGGGGCCGATGGCCCGTCTTTTTGGCTTACCTCGTCAACGTCTTTCGGCCAAGGCATGTCATGGGCATGGAACCGGTCATGCTGAACCCGGCACTACTCGCGCAGGGACGCAAGCAAATCGCATCTCCACCATGCTTAAAAGCCATCCATGTCAGCGGGGTGGGGGGGGTCCCAAAGAGAAAAGGGAAAGAGCACGTCCGCAATCCGGAAGTATGGCCAATGCACGACGGCGAGGCCCCATGTCGTTGTCTCCAACTCCTGTCCATTTCCCATGCAGACAGACAGACACTGCCACCGTTGGGCGACAGGCCAGGTCCCTGACGGATCCACCCTTTGGAATTTGAATGCTAGCGCGCGCCAGTAACAGAGAACCAATAGGCGGGGGTTGGGCTGCGCCATCAGTGCAACGGGTGGTTAACGTATTTGCTCAAAGCAGGGGAGAGACTGCATTGGTCGTCAAGATCTGGGCCCTACATGATAGGTCAATGGTGCAGGGTCGCATGAGGGACGGGTACCTGGGAAAGGATGGCGATGCGCGGAGGCACGTGAAGTAGCTAGCAGCAGGGGACTCGGTGACGAGATCGAAAGGGAATAGGCGGTTCAAGGAAACTCTACACTGGATGGATTGGTGACCACATGTGGACGGATGAATGAACGAACGCACGCGAATCGTTCCCGTCACAGAGCGGTACGTACTGTACATGTCGAGGGCAACAACGTTAAAGTGGCAGTTGGCATGGGTTCATTCCTGCCAATACCCGCCCAGAGTGGTAGCGAAACCCACACATCCTGGCAGGAGCTCAGGGGTAGGCTGGCCTGAGAGGGACAAGATCGTGGATGGGGATCCGGATTGTGCCTTTGTCTTTCTCGGTGCGCTTCGTCCCCTCCCCCTTCTCCGTTCCCGTAGGCGTAGGGCTCGGTCCTGCGTGTCTCGTGTGCCTCGAGGCAATGCCCTCACCCGACTGCTCGGACGAAGGAAGGGTTCAGAGGCGCGAACGGACGTTGAAGGCGGCTTGTGCCGCGTTCCAAGCAGGCAAGCAAGCTGGAGGCCTAATATTGTAAGCAAGGTTCATGTATTCATACGTTGTACGGATACATTAGAAAGAGTTTGAAGTCTGGGACCATGCGATGCCTAGCCTAGGACTTCTCGTTGCGCCCGTCTCCACCCAGCATTAGCTTGTTTTGACCGATCTCTGGCTTCGTAAGAGTCCAGTGTCTTGTCGGCCTATGTGAAGGTAGTTTGCTCGCTTAACTTCAAGTCGAGTCAATTTGGGTTGCGTTCTTAAGGCCCGATACGGGGAAATAAGAAACATAGGTTTGAAGCTTGCTTGTTTGCCGTGTCTTTGTCCTGCCGGGTAGTTGTTGGATGCTATGATGACATGGCACCACCCACTGGCGTACATAGGTAATAAGCCAGCATACGGGTAGCATCTGAGGGAACTTGAAAAAAAAAAAAAAACCCCCAACCCCAACCGAGTGAATTCTTTACCACCGCGTCATTCATCGCAACTATGGCCAGATTCTTGGTTTTCCAGGTTCGGCATTCTTGCCGGATATCGTGCCTTGGTTGCTGCTCTTCGTGCATGTACTGTCTGCACATACAACCGTCCTTTGCTCTCGATATGGTCGAGGATGGATAGGAAATCATATCGGCGCCATCAGGCAGGCCATTTGGGCTAGACACAAAAGAGGAAATGGACATCGCTATGAGCAAGGACCTGTTTTCCATCAAATCAGTATGGACATCAACATGTGCACAGCTGCCAGGCATTTCGTGGTGCGAAACTCATTACAACAGCGGCTGTGTTCTCCAGTGTCATTTCCCCTCCTCCACACCCCCTGCACCCCCCTGTCGTTCGCCTTCCGCCTTTCCTTCCCTTTCCCTTTCGCTCCCTTCCCTGGCTCTAGCCTCTAGGTCCCCAGTACGTGCCAACCCATGATTTCATTGCAGTCGCGTGCCAGCTCCAGCGCCCAGATCAATTCATTACCGCCGCCAAGTTCCTACTCCCATTCCCGTTACATCTGTGCACAATAGGTACAATATACAGAGTATTCACACACATCTGCATCCACACGCAAGGTACCTACCTACCTAATTTACCATCCCACGGCGTCCACATTGCAGCACATCCCTCCCGGTCTAAGTCCCCGTAGCAGCATTAACTGAACTCTCGCTAGCGGCCTAGATCTTCCTCCTCCCCGAAATCCACTAGACTTGCTCATTCACCCCCCCTTTTTCTTTTGCCCTTTCAACCCCCCAGAGCACCTGTTCCTCTCCCGGTCCGTCCATTGGCCAAGGCGTCCAAGCCAGGCAATCACCTTGACGTTTCATGCCTCACCACCTCCGTCGCGGGTTCTGCTCTTGTTCTGCTCTCCGCGCGCTACCCTCAACTTTTCTTTTACGCTACTTTGCTCTATCCGGGCTCTGCTTTGTCCTTATTTTTGCAGCTCGTACCTGACTACTTACTGGTGGCTGCAACATTTCGTCCCATTGCTTCTTTGCGGCATTTGCTTTTTTCCCCTGCATCCCCTTTCGTCAACCTACTGTGTACCGCTTCCGAGTATCCCCATTCGACCCGGCATCCTCCCGCCAGCCCTGTCATGCCGTGTCGCAATTCCGGTCCAATCTGAACGAGAGCAGCCACGCAGGAACCCTTTTTTCCCCCTTCACCCCCCATCGCGCCACCCCCGAGCGAGACATCGACACCGCCAGTTGACGCATTTCTTGACCATTTCCACCTTGAGACATAACCTTCAGCCGACGGGGGACAAGAACACAACGGGAAGAGAGAAGGAAAAAAGAAGAGAAAAAAAGGTTTCTGCGACACACTCACACACACACAGTACGTGTTTGGTTTGACTTTGGAGGTTTGACCCGGTCTTGGGTACGAGCGTATTCTTCCTTGGATTAGGATCCCGTCACACACCCGCCAGCCGAGAAGAGTGTGCAACAGAGTGGAACAAGAAAAAGGGCCTCTTTGCTACTGCCCTCGATCGAATTGAAACGCCCATCCTCCGACCTCGATCTCGACCTCGATACTCCCCTTTGTTCACTGCGCCGCGTCCTCGTTCTCTCTGGGTCGTCTCCTGCTCTGCACGCGAAAGCTCCCTTCCCCGACGCATCTCGAGATTTATCATGAACGGTCGCAATGCGCCCCTGTCACCTGTTTCTCTAGGTGGAAGTGAGTGGTCCGTTGGCAAATACCCAAACAACGACGACCCGTACGCAAGCAATCGCGGCAACATCGTTTCGCCCCCGAACTCCGGCGGCTCCAACGGGGCCATGAATGGAGGCTTCCCTCCCGGGCCTCGAAGCGCCAGCGGCCCTTCGCCGCCTCCCTCTGTCGGACGATCGAGCAACGGCACAAATTTATATGCGAGGAGTGAGAGCGGGAGGAGCATCCGCGAAGAGCAAACCGAGGGCATACTCGCTGAACACTACGTCGCTCTCAAGAACTATCTGAATGGCGGCCAAGGAGGGAAGCCGACACCCCCGAACAAGGCCCGCGACAAGCTGCTGCGTCTGTCGTCTGTGCAGTTCCTCGAACTAAGTACTGATGTCTTCGACGAGCTGCTGCGGAGGCAATCCCTTAACCGCCGACCTTCAGCCCCCGGCGCCCCCGCTCCTCCCCCTTACCTGCTACCTGAATCCAACTTCCATCCAAAACGCAACCAGGCGAGGCAGAAGCTGTCCTCGCTTGGGCCGCCACGCTTCCGTGATCTCGCGACTGACGTATTCTGCGAACTGGAGAGGAGGTTTCCCCGCTTTGCTGCTGGAGACATCCCCAGAGTGGGCAGCCCCGTATCGGTCCGCTCACAAGCCACAGTCAACGGAAATGGCTACCCACCCCGGAGTCAAAGTCGGATGCGCCGCCCTTCCGACGCCAGCTCAATGAGGGGAGGTCCACCACCGCCCGACCCCTACGGCGTGCCACCTTCGCCAGGCATGCCGCCCAATGGCGACTACAACCGCCCGATGCAGAAGCAGTTCCAGAGCAACACAATCGTACCAAACAAGAGCACAATGGTGGAAGAGGACGACGACGGCAGTCCCAACGAAGATGACGCCGAAGAGTTTGGCCTCGAACGGACTGCCACAAATCGCAGCAAGAGAAGTGAAGTAACAGAGCGGAGCGCTGTGGCGTCAGAGGTGGTCTTTACCCGTCCTGTTCCCTGTTTCCGGTGGAGATGTTAACACGAATGACAGGCCGACAAGAAGCTCCTAGACGAGTACCAGTCACAAGTACGCGAACTGCGGGAAAAGCTCGACGCCATGGAAGATGCGATGAAGAAGAAGGACGACGAGATGAACAGTCTTCTGGACGGAGAGAGATCACGATCAACAGCCGCCAACTCGGAGAAGAAAGAGTTGGCTGATCTCCGGTTGAGCCTGGAGAACAAGCTCGCCGAAGCTCAGGACCTGAACGCGTCAATGAAGCAAGAACTGGATCGCATGAGGGACGACCATGCCAACGAATCCCGGCAATTAAGAGAGCAGTTGGACGAATTACGGCAGTCCGGTGCGGCCGCCGCCAACATGAACTCCGGCAATGCAGACCGGGAGCTGCAAACGGAAAACGAACAGCTGCGCGCGGCTCTGCGAGAGCAACAGCAGGTCACGGAAGAGGCTCGGCGCGAAGCTCGGGAGTTCCTCCGGGAGATGAAGATACTCTCGCAACAGAGTGGCTCGACTTGGCAAAAGCAGGAAGAGCTGGAGAAAACGATCGAGCAACTCGAAGCAGAGGTTCGCGAGTGGCGGAACCGATACGCGCGGACCAAGACGCAGCTTCGCAACATGCGCGCCTCCTCGCTCGGGTTGACTGTCGAACAGGACGCGGCCAAGTACGTCCGAGAGAAGGGATTTGTCCACGAAGGCGGCGCGGTTAAGGACGTCCACGTTACCAAGTTCCAGATCGCCATCGACGAGCTACTCCAGCGCGCCCGAACGGAAGACCCTGACAAGGTCATTGACGCTATGAAGCAAGTTGTCGTCGGCGTTCGCCGGATCACTAAGGATATTGACACGGCGGCAGCCGGCAACGAGGAGCTCCTCCAACAGCGTTCGAAGCTCAAGGGCAAGGTTTCCTCCACCGCCAACCACCTCATTACAACATCCAAGAACTTCGCTTCGTCGGCCGGCATCACGCCAGTATCCTTGCTCGACGCCGCTGCCACTCACCTCGTTGCAGCCATTGTCGACATCCTCCGGATTGCCAAGATTCGATCCACTCCCGCCGAGGAGCTTGAGGACGACGACGACGGTACGGTCACGCCTGTGGACTCGACAGGCTTCTTCTCACCCAGGACTGCTTCGAGGCAGGAGTCGATAACCCAGGAATCGCTGCCGGCGGTGGCGCCATTCCGAGGCCTGGGCGGTGGCAGGACCAGCATGGATTCCTCCGCTTACAGCCCTGTCAACTCCCCCCGCCAGTCAGCAGACGCATACCAGTCTCGAGCGCCCAACGGAATGAACGGGATGAGTTTTGCGGAGATGAACCAGAACGGATCGATGAATGGATACGGCAACGGCATGCGCCAACAGAACCAGGCCGAGGATCTCAAGATTTATCTCGAAGATCAAACCGCCATCTTGGTCCAGAACATCCAGAACCTCGTCGGCTCCATCCGAAGCGATGCATCAATCAACCAAATCACATCCGAGATTAACGGCATTGTCGAAGTCGTTGACAAGGTCATCTCCGAGACCGACGCCTCCGGAAACGGCGGCATGGTTCCCCGCCTCATCGCGTGCCGCGACCGACTCCTGGAAGCCAGTGAGCGCGGTATGGATATCGACCGTGGACAAGACGTGGGCGCCAGCGGACGCAACGATCGGGAGTGGAGGATGTGGACGCAGACTCTGCCGCCCATCGCCTTCGAAATCGCTAGAGAGACAAAGGAGCTCGTTCAGCGAGTCGACCGGTTGGCCGGGAGCCTAGACGATGATTTCTCATAAGCTCGTCGCACGGGCAAGAGTTGCGGTCGGCTGCATCGAGTTGCCGACTTTTAAATTTCACGGCAGGCCCATTCAACCTGCCACCCCTCTCACCCGCTCGACGATATGCCCAATCTCGAAACGGAACCTTCCTTTCCACTTTTTCGCCAGAGAAAGCTTTGATACCCCTGCCGTCCTCGGGGCGGCTTTGCTTGCATGTTTCGGGTTTGCGAGATTCATTCGGACGCCGAGGAAACCGAAAAGGAGGCTTACTTGCTATTCTACTCGATTCGCTTTTTCCTTTCCCATTCTGTAAGGGGGGGGGGGGGGGGGCGTCTCCTTTCCAAGGCTTGGTTTCCCCTCGCCCCATCGGTATAGATGGGCTCGCTCGTTACCACAACAGCCTGGGGGCGTTCAATTTGCTCGATGGGTGTTATTTTTTTATCTATACGCGCAGCATGAGAGTAGGACCCGAGGCTACGTTTTGTAC